GTAAATACGCAGTGGCGGATCCAAGGGGGGGGGGGGGGGGGGGGGGGGGGCAACGGGGGCGCCCCTTTCCCCCCCCCCCCCCCCCCCCCCCAAACAAAGTCGACCCCCCTCCCTCCCCCCTTCTCGGAGGGCAATTTGACATGGGTGGACCCCCCGTGCACAAGAAAGAATGGGAGAATAGTATCCTTAAAAATTTCCCGCCCTCCCCTTCAAAATGGGGTTCTGAATCCGCCCCTGAAAATAAAATACATTATACAAAAAAACTGTCTGGAGACATGTTGGACGCAAACACGCTCCGAACGAAACGTGTCCGCAAACAGTTCTGTTATTACGTTCGTAGCGAACGCGTCCTTTGTCCGCAAATGGACTTGTTCGCCGGACGAATTAATCAACGTCGCGACCCGATGCTCGTCTGACGGTATGCGAAATTGCGGAAAACGCGGGCGTCGTCTGCTCTCGAAGCCCACAAGAGCAACGACAGAATCGTGCGTAAATATCGCGGTGTCGTCACGAAGGATGTCCCGTAATTGTATTGTCGAAAAGGTCTGAAGTCGACGGACAAGTCCCTCCCTCAACCTGAACAAAGGCGTCTCGGTTCGATTGGAGAAAAGCGATGGAACTAAAGCTTTCGAAACGAGGAATCAAGCGCCAAAATGATGTCGAAGCAATCCGATAAATAATTGAGCGAAAGATTATGCTATCGTGAAATCAACGCGGAAATTATTTACTCGAACAAAAAGAAACAGATATACGGACCGAACGCCGCATCTCTGCATCAGTCGATTGCGTGTTCCAATACAAACGAACCAGATACTTTACTTCTTTTTTCTTTATTTTTAAGCCGGTCACCTTGGCGACCTGACAACATGGTATAGGTCAGCTGAACGACATGAAGCTGCACGATGCCCCACGGCGGAAAGCTTTGCGGTAGACATTTTGCCCCCCAGATTTGTACACTTTATCTTAGAACTCGACAAACTGAATATGTGTAAGATGGACTGAGAAATAGTATTTAATATTTTTTTTCTAAATAGTGAATGTGGAGTGCTGAGAATGATTTTGTTCAGTGCTAGATAATATATTGAATCTTTCTGCTATTTCAGCCCCTTCATAATAAGTAGACGTCGCTGAATGTCTACTGTATTGTAGTCCTGATCTTGTATGTTTGCGTGTTCTCTTATACCCCGCACCCGTTAAATCCCCGGACTCGAAATGAACAATATTCACACAAAAAAAAAAAAAAAAAAAAAAATATATATATATTACGATGCCAAACTGTCTTAAGAGTTTTAGATTTAATAATGAAGTCTACGAGATGACACTGGGCTTGACGGTTCAGTTGCACTGAAGAGCGATTCGAGTGCTCTGCGGAAAGGTGCACGCGCGGGAACCTTTTACAGTCCATACTTCCCAGCAAGACATCTGCACAAATTCAAGAGCCTTCTCAAGTACGATACTCGGATCTATTTGCAACGAGAATTACTGAAAATTAATTTTAACACCCTCTTAAAAAAAAAAAGCGTTTTTGAAACACGTTGATTAAATTGTAATAACTCTAAGCTTTCTTTTCTTTTATTTACGGCTTTTTATAATTTAAGTATAGGCTCATGTGTCAGCTGATTTGGACACCCCACAGAAAGAGATACACTTGGACAGCTTTTAGAGCGAAACAAATTTTCAAGATTACTCCCCTCATATCAAAGCCTCGAAGTTTCCTTCGATATTGTACATACATTCGATATACGTTCACACACATACAGACACGAATATACAATATGAGACACATCGTGAAGGTGAGTACTGCCAAAATAATCCCAACTCTGCAAACACACACGCACAACACACACACACACACACACACACACACACACACACACACACACACACACACACACACACACACACACACACACACACACACACACACACACAAAACTTTATAAAAAATCTGTTAATCGAAAAATAAGTACGTTGCGCGACGCCCACAATAAATGTTTTGAATCGTGGGTCCGATTTCCTTAAAATAAATCCCACATTAAATATCTGCACATTAACTTCTTCCGACGAGATGAAGTCTATAACACGTGGCAGAATGTTTGTCGGCCTCTGGTTCACACACTAGCGACTGCTCACGACCGAGTTCCCTGTGACCTCTTACGCCGAGAATGGGGACCTTAGATCAACGAGAGAACCTACTGGCGCCATCTATCGGGTACCGGAACTTCATGACGTAATAGACTTGTTCGTACGGAAGCTTGGGCGAGTTGGTTAGTCATAAATCTAAATATGTATAGCGCGAGAGACCAACACTGCGATGAGTTGTATACCATGGGCTGTAAGTCTTTAAAGACACACGAAGCACTCGAGGCGCAAGTTCTCCCGACTTTCTACCGTGAATACAATTTTCTCGGTAGTCGGCTATTGGCGAGGGACAGCGAAAGTGACACTTGTGCTTACGATATTAACGCACAAAGAAATGCGTTCACTAAGGACGCGTCGGGGCTTATGCCATAGTCTCCTATATACCGACAAAGCGAGGCAGATCGCCACGAGAAGAGGCCGCCGAATCGGAATCAGACAACGAATGAAAAAGAGCCACGTGACTGGCGCCCCGCTGCGACGAGACGTCGAAACACACTTTTCTCGAGCGAGTGTGTTTCGGGCCCTCGCCGCTGCCAAAGCTGTGCGCTGACGTCCAGGTTTCCCGAGAAATGGTCAGTGCTACCAGATCCTCGCGCTCCATATCTTCGACCTATGGCCCTGTCGTCAAACTGCCAGGCTTTGTGAGTGTAGAGGAGGCTATGCTTATGCATATCACGGGTACACCAAACGTTCGTCAGGCGGCACGCTGCTCACGTTCACCAGCGTGTAGTGGGGCCGCTCGATCACGTCTCCATGTAACATAGAAACATTTCTGGGGCGATAGGGGGCCGAGTGAGAGGGCACCGTGTGCATAAATAAATAATGCAACAGTTCTGCTATTCTAAAAAAATATATTAATCGATACTTCTTTATTGATATTTATACGAACGAAGACATGTAGTACGTTATCTCACTATCCTTCAAAGCGAGCGCATACTTTTTATCGACAGCTGCATGAATTAAATTATAGCCGCGCACAAACGAGGCAGGGGAGGGCTCTCGAAAACAAGGAAACCAGGGTTTAGGGCGAACCAAGTCAATAAATGACCCAGCCGGGCAGCACAAGGCATCTAGCATACGCGGCCAAATCTTGTAGCGCACAATTAAAGAGCGGACATGGGGTACACTTACACCGTATGTAACTGCGTCGGTATTACTAATGAACAATGTGCACGGCTGATAGGAACACCGGGCACTGCGCCGTAGCGGACCGCAAAACTTTAAAAACACTTCGAAATGATATTAAGTTGTCGGAACGACGGCACCCACTCTCTTTGGTCATTATCTACCAGGCCCGGAAAAAAACTTAATTCTCAAATAAATGATACCTTTGGCACCATCGAAGGCCAACATAAGCAGGACGCTTGCAGATATACGTCCATGGACATCAAAACGAAACGCGACAGAGGCAGCCAAACGGGCGTTTCACCAAACATCGGACAAACGTTTCGTGCAAAAGCTTCGCAGAGCTCAGAAAGAAGATAGCTCTGCCGTTCTGATCAATGTCAAAGGGGCCTACTGAGTGAGGTATCCAGCATTTGTGGTGAATTAAAGTTTTAAACTAGATCTTTGCATAATTAACTTTTTCATTCGCGAAGATAAACAGATAGTTCAAAGTATAAATTTGATAAGCATAATCTAAAACCACTATCAATTCGAGAAGGATTTAGAGCGCGTGCATCCTTGTTCTGCGCCCCGAAAACTCGCCCAATTTGGAGTCTTGGATGCGGCCGTGCGTTTTCTTTAGTGTAACCCCAACGGTGACTTATGCACACGACTACACTTACCACGTGCTTTCCATATATATTTTAAATTGTCTGATTTACTGGTCTCTAATTTCTAATTGGAACCGAATATGTGCAGATTATCATCGTGCCAAGCATAGTTGGAAGTGTTTCCAAGGAAAGTCTCTCGCTTTTATGAGCACTTTTTACCCTGATATGATTGTTGTTGTTTTTTCGTCAAGATCTGGCACAACAAGTTACGTGACATAATTAATTTATCGCGTTTGACTAAGTTCACGTTAGTATGCTTTGCCCTTTTGTCTTTGTGAACCTTACGTAATACGTAATGCTTTCGGTCTCTTACGTAATGCTTTCGGTCCTTAAATTAGGGTCAGTATAATTAATAAAGAAATATAAATGTTTAAAAAAAGTTAATTGCTCCAAACTCATTAAGGGCTTAATTATGGGAAACGCTACGTGCCTCGTGAAATGGGTCCCTGGGCAGTAACTTAAACGGCGCCAGTCGTTTCCCCCCGCGATGCGTACAGTTTTTGCGGGAAACTTCGGCCGGCGATGTTCGGTAAAACACCCGACATATTACTTGCTTTCTTTTTTTTTTTTTAATGTGAATCCTCGGGTATATTTCCATTAGTGTTGTGTACCCGCGAGGAGACTAGACTGCAGTTCACTTGTTCGGACATCTTTTTCTCCCAGGTTCCTCACTTATATTACGAATAAATAATCGAAATACACGTACTCAAATGTGGCAGTAATGCGTACGCGGTCCACCCAAGTTGACCAGACTGAATATATCTCTGATTATATTATATTATCCTTCGAGCCTTTTCCTTTTCTTGAGACGTTATTTATTTTCCAATGTCGCCATACCTCTACCAAATGCCAGTGGCGGCCGCGCCTTTTGTTCCAGTGACGTTCAGCCGTCCCACAGCTCATAGACCATACAAAAGACACAAACGTGACCGAATCACCTGCGGACAAGCTTAATGCATGTTCGAAGCATGTTCACACGTCTGCAGACTTTCTCTTGTATGACGTACATCAGCAGTGTGAGCGCGGCTTTAGAGCGTCCTCGTGGAGCGCGTGCTGATATATCTACTCGTTGCGACGTTTCAGAAGCGACCGAAGCGTCCCTCGGGGTGGCCCCGCCATGGCCATCAACATCCCGGGCATCGTGTCCGTGATCCTCTTCTACATCGTCATCCTGGCGGTGGGCATCTGGGCCGGCCGCAAGAGCAAGAAGACGGGCAGCGAGCCGGGCGACGCCGACGAGGTCATGCTCGCCGGCAGGAACATCGGCATCTTCGTCGGCATCTTCACCATGACCGGTGCGTCCTCGTCGCCGCCCGGAGGGGCTACGACCACGATGCGGACAGCAAGTTCGTCCGCTTCTTGTACAGGGGCTGCGATGATGTCAGAACGCCGAGCTCTTATTGGCTGATTGAAAAACATAGTGGCTAGCAGCGTGAAGCGTACTTCGAGGCCGCTTCACGCCGGCAAGGGAACCGGACAAATGTCTCCTCTACTGCAGAGACACCTCATGCCATTTTAAGAAAGAATAACTTCGCACTGTTCAAGCTTCCCTGCAACAACTTTTGACTCTTTTTTTCATTTGGAAGGACAGTTTTTAAGTTCTGTGCACGAGGACTTGTCTGGATCGGCGAACCAATCACAGCGTCGGAATGAGGCACCTGACAACGTACACTCGGAGTGTGTAGAGCATACCGCGTGCTAAGCTCCGCAACTAACGGGAGCCCTATAGCTCTTCCTTGCCAAGCGAAGAGCAAGCTAGCTATAGAGCCAAGAGCATGAAGTTTCAATCGCGGAGTTTGATTGGATCGTCTTACCCGGCTCTCAACGTACGTTTCGATTTCGGGCTGGTTTATATCTTAGAGCAATCATCGTTCAAAAATACAGAAGAAGAAGTGGGCGGTAGACAGAGTTTTTAAGGAGGACGAGACCGCTTTCGAGAAGGTGACGAGTGGTGGGACTGAGAGAGCGCGTCCTCGCAGCCACCTGGGTGGGCGGCGGCTACATCAACGGCACCGCCGAGGCCGTCTACAGCAACGGCATCATCTGGTGCCAGGCGCCCGTCGGCTACGCGCTCAGCCTCGTCGTCGGTGAGTGCTCGGCGTGAACCATCGTTGGCGCATGGGCCATCGTGCACTGCGCCACACAGTGAGCGCGAACACATCGGCACTTTTGGGGAAAGTGCTGTGTAAGCGCCACATAGTGGGCGCCTATGAAAACACCCACCATGAGCACATTCATCTATAAAGTTATTATAATGTACGCTAGAGGTTCAGCTGGCGCTAGTGTGCTGTTGCAAATTAAAGCAGACAGCAACCAGCCAAACACTGACTTCCAGTAACGCATTTCTATAGGGAAACGCGGGTGCATTTTTAATGCGTTAGCGTTAGAACGCTCGTTTTGACGAAGACCCGGCGGTGTCTTTCGTTAGTCAGTTGTTGCGTGCGACGCTCCCATTGGTCCTAAGCACCGACGTGAGCACGCGTCAACCTCTCCCTCTCTCCCCGGCTCTGACAAAGTGACAGACACCGCCGGGATCTCGTAAAAACGAGCCCTTTCATTTTTGGCAAAGTCACGCGTACAGCTGGCGCGGAGCCAGAGAGGAAGAGGCGCCGCGCAACACCTCCGGATAGCAAAGCCGTAGTGCTGAATGAGATGGCTTCATCAGAGAAGGCCAGCGCTGGCCACAGATCGGTAACGAGTGCTGCTTCAGAGCTCGGCTTCGAGTCAAGTTTGAGCCGAACGCTGACGCAATCGACCTGTCCAATCTGTGCCCAGCGTTGGCTTTCTCTGGTGACGCAATTTCGTTCAGCATTACGGCTTTGTTATCCACGAGGTGTTGCTGTTGCGCCGCGGCGCGGTGGGATGCGGGCGTGCTCAGTTGCCGCTACGCCATCGCCGGTTGTTCTTCACCCTGGGTCTCCGTAGTAGCGGTGCGTAGGCTGTGATGTGTGTGTGTAGTTAAAAAGATGGATGCGGTTCACTCCACGAGTGATATGGATGACCGTATCCAAGGGCGTCGACGTACTCTGACAGGCAGAGTACACTAAAGGGGTGAAAACAATCACAGGAAGATCCGTTGGTGGATTCTTGGGGAATCTGTCAGCACAACCCTTGGGAAACGGCACACACGTCCTCCTTTGCGTCCAGAAAGAAAATATTACAAATAATTATCATGTAGTAAATGACTTGGAACATTTATCAATAGCGTAAGTCAAAATATTGATCAGTTAGAGTATAGTCGTTTTCCTTTTTTCACAAAATTCATGACAGTAAACACAGCACTAAAACAGATTCACACATGCATTGATGTGCACTGTTGGACACTATTAGTGCGAACACGCCGTAGGCGCTTTTCTGCATGAGAAATTCAAGTACCAAGTGAACGAAGGACCTGTGGAAAACCAAGAGAGACGACAAGAATTGCGAAGCATACTCTGGATCAGTAACTCCCCGTGCACGTAGATGATCAAAATAAAGTAAAGGCCAAGTAATATAGCCGGATTTCCAATAAGTAAGTACTGACTTATTCATTCTGCGTAGGCATATGTGCGAGGATGCTCGTTCTGCGTCCAAAACATCCCACGCGCGCTCTAAATATGTGAAAGTACGAAAAAGCCAGAAAAGGTGCCCGGCATAGGAAATAACAAAAAAGAGGCACCCTTCATAGCCCGCGTACTTTATTCTTTACGCTTTGAATGTTTTTAACCGATCGTAAAGGTGCACGACGGGGTCATTTTTATGAAGGGACAGGCTTGTCATATAGTAGCTAAGCGCCACCGGAATGCTGGCAAACCTCGAGCGCACACTACATTTTTTTCGATATTTATTGTGCTTAAAATGGTCGCATGTTTTTACACACCTCCTGCGGAACAGAAGTTTTGGGCCACAAATATAGCCAAGTGTAACAGCGCTTATCGATGAAGAAAAATACTCTAACTAAAGCAGCTACATGTTTACAATGATAACAGAGGTACGTACATACTGTTCGGTGCGACTCGAATGACCAAAGTGATCCACGCTATTTTCCGTCGAAGAGACAAAATGCACGCGCTTTTCCCGATAGGAATGCACGGAAGCACAACAAAAGTAGAGCTGGTTGCCGTCTGCTTCAATTTGCCTCCTGGAGGTCGCATAAACACTAGCGCCAGGTGAACCTCTAGCGTACATTATGATAATAACTCTATGCATTCAACCACACTGTTCGTTTTTTATGACAGCATTTGAAGTTCGAGAAAAAAAAATATATTGCCGATATCTTGTTCGCGTTAAGAGTACCGCGGTCTGTGCATTTCTGGTTCCCTGCCGAGGCGAAGAGCGGACGTTCCGCGTGGTCTCTTTACATCTTCAGAGGAACCAAACGACGAAGCCAAAGCAGGGCTTTTCCTTTCGCCGCCAACTTCTCAATGATGGAAATGGGGTCCCTCGCTAACAGACAATCCAAATGCAAGCAGCGAGCGTTTCCGAGCGAAAGAGTTACCGCCGGCGCACTGCCCGAGCACAACATGAACAATGTACACCTTAAAAAAGAAAAAGAGCCATAACAGTATTTTGGTTTGCAAGCGGAACATAGACATTTACACTTGATCACCTCGAAGACTTTTTTTGGCAGTATTACAGGGTTACATAAGGGGTGAGGTTACAGAAGAGAAATGAGTTCAGGGTGCCATGTGATCAGCGTGAAAGGTGAGTAATCACACCTCCCATAAAGGTGATAAAGGTCATGAACACGTGTGGCAGCGATACGCGGGCATAGGTTGTTCCAGTCTGAAGCTGCACGGTGAAGGAGTGAGGCGCAGGAGATCCGAATGTGAATGCGAGCAACTTGATGTGGATGACCGGTGCGTTGAGATATGCGAGGTATGGTGTAAGGTAAGTTACCCCAAACGGAGAATAAATAAATAATAAAAAAAGCAATTAAGACACGATACAGCTTTCAGTAACGATTTCGAGTGAGTTGATGAGGTACACTAGTAGACGCCTCATTGTCCTTCTTGGACGCTATTTGGTGTGTCGTCCTCCAAAAACGTCATAGTGCAAAAAAAAAAAAAAAAAAAAAAGAAGAAAAGCTTAACAGGATGGCGGAATGACGTTGCGTGAACACCAGTCATAAAGTTCCAGATTCTGCGAGGAATGGGCCGAAAAGTAGCCAGTGTTCCAAACGTTCTTTTTTTCATATCCGTCAACCCATTTGACAATCTTAAATAATAATAATAGTAAAAAGAATAGACGCAGTTAATAAAGCAAAACTGGAAGATTGCAAGCAAGCTGGCGGCAGTGATGGAAATCAGATTGAGAAGCATCATAGGTGGAGGAGACAGAAACACGAGTGCCTCGAATGCATTAAGCGCTCAAGGCCACCGCGCGAGCACACCAGGATTGTCACTGTAACGCTATTTGCAAACCCTTTGCACAGACCAGGCGTGGGCACCACGTAGAAACCAAATTCGCGTGAGCCGAAGTGTCTGCGCATGCGCAGAGCCGACAGCGGCGCCACCGCTGTGGTGTGACGTCAGAGAGTTCGAGTTTCGGATGGCACGGAGCTTGGACAGCTTGAGGTTTGACCGCTCGGTTTCTGCCGAGTCTCCTCCGCTTGGACCAACAGCGTCTGGTCAATCTGCCCAGGCGGTTACTTCTTCGCCAACAAGATGCGCGCCGAGGGCTACGTGACCATGCTGGACCCGTTCCAAGACCTGCTCGGGGGCCGCATGGGAGGCCTGCTCTTCATCCCGGCGCTGTGCGGGGAGGTCTTCTGGTCAGCCGCCATCCTGGCCGCCCTCGGTGAGACACGCGCCCCCCCCCCCCCCCCCCCCCTTCCCTCCTCATGACGTCACCGTTAGGACCGCCCCAAGCGACGCTTGACGACTCTTGGCATTGCTAGCGTCGCACTCGTTGTGAGAGACACACTGGCGGCAACGTTGACGCGACCTAGGCTGTGATGCCTGGATCCACTAGAGATGACGTTGACGTAGGGTCTTCCAGTGTACATAGAAAAAAAAATTGGGTTGTGTGTGTGTTTCTACAGCCTAGAACTTGGTCTGCCTCAACGGGCGACGAGTCTCCCAGCTGTAGATGAGCAATTTAGCCAGTGCAGTACAACCGCTAGCCTGGGGTCTTTAACGTGCATCACGCAGTAGTGATACACGACCGCACGCCGGTACGATGCTCATTCAGATCAAAACGGGCAGGGGTGGGGATAGTGTACGTAGAAATCCAGCGATACAGTGCTGGACTCCTACCTCACTACCGGAGGTCAGGCAGTCATCAAAGCGGCATTTAACCTACGGTAGCAGGTTCTCTTGGGGCAGCCACTGACGCTTTTGGAGCAGATGTCAACCCCTGTCAAAACACCACTTAAACAGAAAAAGAAAGATTATTGCATTGTTAAACGCCTTTGATAATAATTCAGGGTTCCTCTTTGATGCTGAAGCATTTTGTAAAAAAAAAAAAAAAGTACATAAAACGTACACAAAACACTATTTTTTTTTTTTTTTTTTGTACGCAACACTTCGGTCGTGATAAGGGCTGGTATTCACTTACGGCCATAGCAGAGCTTGCTGCTGCTTCCGCATCACCGGGGAAGAGAGAGAGGGGAAAGCTGCTCTTGTACGTATTTTGAGTGACGGGTTAATCTTCTAGAGGGAGAATTGCGACGTCAGGGGAAGTCTGGAACACACAAAGGAAAGTCTCGGCGAGAAGAGAGTTTAACCTTCCCCTCTTTTCTTGTGGTTGCCGGAGAGTTTACGGGAAACTCCTCTCGAGCATGCGTTGCGAGCAGTCACCTCAAATATGGCCACCTAAAGAAGCGCAAAAAATACAAGGACGAGGAAGTAGAAAGACAAGAGCGCTGGACGCCAAATATGGCGTCCAGTGAATACCACCTGTACCCTTTCTACATTCGTAATTTATTTAGCCTGTAAATAAAATTTCTCCAAAATGTCGGCCAAAACCAGCATACGCGCTCAAAGTCGACCGAGGAATATACGAGGGATGATCAATAAGTTACAGCCTCCTAGGCTGTGACTTTTTTTTATTTAGTGATGGAATTGAAAGATGTTACATTCGAATGAAAGGTTCTCCAGCTTTCTCAAATGAGAAGTAAACCTAAAACGAAGACCGCAGAAGGTCGAGCTGTAATAGTACCCGAGCATAATTTACGAGCCCATCGCACCAACGCAGGTGCTCCTGCTAACATACCGGTGTAAGGCGGTGAAGCTCGACGTAGGCGCGACGGTGCAAAGCAGTTAGGTTTGACGCACGCGTACCGGTGTGAGGCGGTGAAGGTTGACACAAGCGGCGCAAATGCCAGCGATCTTGTCAACATTAAAGTAATCTGCTCCTGCCTTATCACAGCAGTCGCCGTTCCACCATTTCGTCAATCGTTCTAGCGACTTTTTAGATTGTCGATATTGTCTGGAAGTTGAGCGACGCAGCCTTGATCCCATCGAACCAATGGGATCCATCAAACGGCATCAAAAGGGCGACATCGTTCCTTTGATCTTTTTGTATACGCGTTCTTTCATCTGCTACCATTGATCTTTTTGTATACGCGCTCTTTCATCTGTTACCATTGATCTTTCTGTGTAAGCGTTCTTTCATCTGCTAAACCAATCAAGCGCAGCAAATGCCCCGTGACTCGCTTATTTATTGTGTGTTCATGGCATTCGAACACTCTACTGTGCTCTGAGCTAAGATGAAACGAAGTGTATGGTGAGTAGAGATGCTCCGAAATACATATTAATGCGTTAGCATTAGTGCGTAGTGTACGTGACAGGGAAAAGCTGACGCCGTCCGTCTGCGGACAAAACAGTGGAAAGGGAAGCGAGCCGCGTAGGGAGGGGGAGAGTAGAGAAGGAAAAAGGCGAGAGGGAGGCGACGTCACGGGGAGGAAGCCAATGAGCGCGCGGGAAGCCGGTGAACAGCGAAAGCAGCGTCAGGCGCCGAATGCCGCGTGCAAGGCGGGCGAACAAGCTGCTTCTTTTTGGCTTCGTTACGGGATCACTGTTAGCGTTTCCCAAAGGGGTATGCGTGTGGCGTTTCCCAAGGGCCATGCTAACGTTTGTACCAATTTCCTTTCCTTCTACTTTTCTAAATATTAGATCAATAGAATAGGTTTTACTTGCAACATACAGCTTCTTGTACTAGAGTACAATAACGAGCTGGCAGAAGCCTAAAGGGCTTGCGTGTCTAGCTCGGCAGGTGGCGAAAATTCGGTATATTTAAAAGTATACATAGTTATGTTAAGCGTTTGCATTCAAAGTAACACATCTACAAAGTGACATCTTAGACATATATCAAAAAGACCAAGCAAAACAATCAAAAGCGAGCAATATATTAGATCCAAAGCAATTAGTGAGACCGATAAAACACACACACACAGACACAAAAAAAAAAAAAAAAAAACATCTTACTGCTTTAAATGCTTTAACGATTGCCTGAGCTTCTGTCTAGAAGTTGAAGAAACAAGTTGTCTGGGAGGTCATTGAAAAGATGTCGTACATAAATAATACATGCGCATACGTTCGCAACATTTTGTTCTAACTCGCGGAACCTCCATTTAATATACCCCTATAGCGCCCGGGCTTTACATAAAAAAAGGGGGTGGAGGGGCAAAAACAACAATACACATAGAAGTCAACAAGAGTTAGGAATCACTTCCTCTTTCCGCCCTTTCTTACATACTGTGTAAAGAGTGGCAATTGCGGAACGAAATCTAATAAACCCAATTTAATCTAATGAATCGAACAGAAGGTCTCAGTGGCCGCGCTGCACAGTGTGCGGCGTTTTAAAATCAGCATTCCATAAACGTTTAAGTATGACTGTTTCTCTAAAAAGTCCGAAAAATGATGGCAGATTAATTGTGTTAAATACACATGTACACCCGTGAGCGATATGAAGGTGAACAGCCCTCTTCTTGTTTTTGACGCTCCTGCAAGTTTTGGAACAACCTCTGTTCCAGAAGAGGGCTAGAACGCAAAGTTTAGACCCTTGGCCACGTACCATTTGAGACGTTGAGAGTTAATATAGCTTTAGGGAGCTGTAAAACAGGCAAGAAACCAGGTAAGGTGTTCACCTTCATATTGCCGGCGGGTGTACTTGTACTTTCAGGTCTATCAAGTGCCATGCTTTTCAATTTTTCTTTTGAGAGTTAGTTCTGGTTTGCCGAAACAAAGAACAACCAGAAAAGATTGTTATACCGTAACGTAAGTAACTGTACGCCAAAACTTGCACCAACAATTTTCTAAAAAAAAAAAAAAAGAACAGTATAAGCATTTTTATATTCTAGGAATATGTCAGGAATGACCAATATTAAAATGTTTTTATTATTTTCGCAGGTGTGGCGCAATTCTGAGCAAAAATGGTCTTTTGGCGCGGAATGTAGCGAACTATCGTTAACGGCGCAACTGGGGCAGCACTTTGGTACTGCCAGCGCGCGTCGCAGATTGGCCACGGTTGCTGCGTCAGCGTGGTGTTCTCACCACATGAACGGGAGTCCGCACACACACCTAATCAGTGGTGTCCCGAGCTGGCCTCCAGCACCACACGGCCTCGCTATCTGGAGGGTGTTGTCTGCCCGACTCGCTCTCTGCTGAAGCCGACACTGCTGTTCACTGCCTGCCGCTCGCTATTCCAAGTGGGCACCGCACTTTTAGACGTATCGCGCATCACGCAGTAGTGATACACACCCGTAGCAGCGTGCAGTCGCGTATCACTACTGCGTGATGCACGTTAAAGACCCCAGGCTAGCAATTGTACTGCACTCATTAACTTTCTCATGTGTACAGCGTAAACTGGTGTCGTCGCACCTCAAAGGCAGACCAACCTTACACTGTCAAAAACACGAACGTCATTTTTTTTTCTTTTTCACACACACACACACACATATGTGTGTGTGTGTATGTGTGTGTGTGTGTGTGTGCGCGCGCGCGTGTGTGTTTGTTGGTTTTGGAGCGACGCGTTCACTCGAGCATAATCTCAAAAGAGGGAGTCCCGCCCTAAACCCTACACAACTTATTTTTAGTTCGGAGTGATTTTGTTTGCTCGCGGCCGCTCGTAGCATCCGCTCCCGTTGGCTGGACAGGCGCGAAGGGAAGGTGCGGCTATCCTCTTCCGTTGTCCCCGTTGTCCCCGCGTTGCGAAAGGGCATGAGAGAAACGAGTAGAGAGGACTGATTCGTACGGTTCTGTCACGTTTCGTCTCTCGGCGTAAATGTTGCGTTAGCAAGTCTTTTTAAAGTAGAATGCAGTATCTTTTTACACAGAGGATTATCCGGACAGCTTAAAATAAGCATTTGGAGAAGGGGGTTGCAGCGTCCCTTTAAACCAGTGATCGGTGTCGTACTGACTGATCGTCTGTAGTCTCAGCAGCTAAAGGGTATATGGCTTGCCACTGAGACTGCACGACCATCGGAGTACGTATACACTATACTCTAGTGTGGTGATGACGTTTCTTGCTTCATTCTTCCTCTCGGCTGAGACCGCAACATCGAATTGGCGGTGGAGTGATAATAGGACGCCGCGAGTGACAGATCGTCCGCTGGAAAGCGAATCATTGGTGGTCCGAGAGAGTGCAGACGCCTGAGTTCAGCGTCCAATGTTCCAGGTGCCACCGTGGGCGTGATCATCGACATCGACACGAACACGTCAATCATCGCGTCCGCCTGCATCGCCCTCTTCTACACCTTCTTCGGGGGCCTGTACTCGGTCGCCTACACGGACGTCATCCAGCTCTTCTTAATCTTCGTCGGACTGGTGCGCCCCGGCTCTGCATGCCGCTCTCTCTCTCTCGTTGACCCGGTACACTCGCGGACTGAACCGAATCGGAACGTTACTAGTCATCATAGGATGACAGTTTCACAAGTTGCGTCACCGAATCCATGACACTTGTATGGGATTTGGACCTCCGTCGACAAGTTAAAAAAAAAAAAAAAAAAAAAAAGAAAAAAAAAAAAAAAACGCATGATCTGAAAACAGTATTAACGGACGGCAAACAAGGTAATTTATTTCACACGAACTTTGATAGCCGTGGAGAACTGCTCAATTATTTAAATGGTTGGCCGACTCTTTTATATGGCAAATGACGCGATTCGTATCCACGCATCTCCGAAATCTGCAGGACCCCATTTTTCTCCTCAAAATATCGCTAAAGTTGATACAATCCTTTAAACCAGGAGTTGCATTCCGAAATTTTTACCTCTGACCCCGATATCGCTCAATGCCTAAGCTATTCGCGAAATTGCTTTCACAGCCAAATGTGAGAACGGTAGCTCGGGAGCGATTGCGCAGGTATGTGCCTGTATCCTCTACTTTAGGATGTTGCGCAAAACTCTCGCGCTTGCATCGTCACATCCGAACAATTATTGCACAAATAAATCAACGAGTGAAAAAAAAAAAGTAAAACGAATGATGCAAACATTTTGTTAATAATTCTAACGAACGAACGAAGAAGGGCGTCCGCCCGCAACGTCGTTTATACCTCCTTGTCAGCATATTTTTTCGAGAAGCACAACCTATATATTACTTGCGATTACGTGTTTTGACCGTAGAAATCCGCTAATACGTATATGGTAAGTTCCCTTAAAATAAATAAAGCGTCTTTCCGGGCGCAGTGGCTGTGCATCCCCTTCTGCATGTTGAACGAGTCCGTGGGCACGCTCACGTACCCGACCAACGACTGGGTCGGGTCCCTGGAGCCCAAGTTCATCGGCCAGTACGTCGACTTCGGACTCCTACTCATCCTCGGCGGAATCCCCTGGCAGGCAAGTGCACCCAACACGCCACGTCCAAGCGCTTGCCCCAAACCCTCACGAACAACTTAACTAAAAAAGAAAACAAACAAACGAGTTAGAGGCGAATTTTAGAGTATTTCTATCCCGTGAACCTGAATATCACGCTCGTTTTCTCCGAACTCTAAATTTTGAAAAACATTCCACCAGGTGGCGGTACCCAAACTTCATAGCTTTGATAGGCGCTGAAGATGCGCGAGAGCGGAGATTCCGATAACTCTGGATATGACGTCACGCTCCGGGAAGGAGAGGCTTCAGCAGTACTTTGAAACTGATTTTCTGCAGCCTCCGTGGACCAGATTGAAGAATAATCTGGATATTCGTGATCCTGGAGGCCAAATGAAGACAACATAAGTATTTTTCTTTAAATGAAGAACAGCTTCAGTTTCCATTGAAGAAATGCAGGCTGTGGCAGGCTGTGTCCTGAGCATCTTATGAGCGCAGCCAATGAGAGATTCACGTTTCTCAAGGGCGGGGCGATAATCATAGACTTTTTGGCCAGAGCCGAGGCATTTTTCTGCGAAGCTTTGAAGGAGAAAGGGTTCGCAATGTTTCTTATTAGGGAATTATAGTAGACCGTTTTTCTCTTCCGCAACGGCATCCGTGAAGAAAACGCCGCAGCTGCGCATGCGCGCCGCCAGCTTTGCCTGCGTAGTTCAAGGTCTTGTGGCGGATTACGGAGCGCTATCCGGGTGCTTAGCGGGCTCCGGGAACGGTCTACTACAATTCCCCTTCTTCGATGTCCCTTTGGGTAGGTGCGTTAGCTCCGCTGAGTGCGCTTCTCAACGGACATCGGTGCGATGCGGAGAAGCGACATATGCAGAGTGAACGTCCCGGGTTCACGCTGCGGACACCTCCGCAGCGGAAGCGTCGGTGAATGTTCGTGTTGAGTAACGTAACGTTGACGATTGTGCTAGTCAACGTTACTAGAACACTCAGTTGGGAAACTCGCCGTCGAAACTTGGGCCGCTGGCGTCCACCGAGACCGAGCTAAATGCGACAACAGCGCCCCTTTTTATCATTTGTCTGTACTCTGGTCACCTTGAGCTTTTAGAAAGCATGTTTTTGTGTAAAAACAAACAGAAAAGACTCTTTTTGTATGGAATTTATTAGAGTTTAGTACCAAATGATGGGCGCGTGATATTTTTAAAATCTTTAGGTTGCAGGGTTTTGCGGCACAATTAATATTGTTTTTATACAACCATGCCTCAGCGGTGCTTTCAGGTAGCGCGTCCCGACCTAGGTGCATTTTAACTTCGGTAGCAGCACGCGGCGCGTCCGCCGGGGAGACGGGGGTGGCACCCCTGTATCCTCTTCCGCTGTATCTGTTTCGGCGCCAAAATGGCCGATTAAAGCCAAAATAGACGTCACGTGCGGTTCCTCGAGTGGCCACTGTGGGAGAAATGGCGGCGCTGTGTTCGCCATCAGCTCGGTGCTCGAGGAGAGATCGGGGCCACTTTTTCAGAGCAGTCTTTATGGCAGTTTCCCAACTGTGTGGTTCTAGTAACGTTGGTGCTAGTTGATTCATTCTTAAAAGTGCAAACAGCGTAACGACGCGGACAGAGTAAAAAAAGACCGTCCTGTTGTCTGTCAGTTTCTTTTTCATTCTTTCCGTGTCGTTGCGCTGTTTGCATTTCCATTTTGCAGTACGTTTCAAAACAGCCATTCCTGAAATGTGAGACTGCTTTTTAAGTGGCGAAGTCTAGAAAATCTGTGTGCGTCAGTCGTCGCAATATCATTTCATATTAAGCATTTAAGAAAGGGTATTTGCGACGATTTTTCCCTGCTCTGGATCGTTCACTTGCCGCTTCTACGTGAGCCTTCGACCGTTGGAGGTTAGTAGATGAATAACAAGTTTAATCAAAATAGGTCCGCCCACTTTAAAACAGGGCGAATGAAAAACAAAACTGTCCCTCGAGATTTTTTATCCGAGAAAGAATATTTGGCACGCACACGCTGCTTTTGTACTTCCATAAAACTGTGTCAGGGAACAATGCCCTTTGATATGCATAACTAAGTAACAGAAGATTTCTTCGCTAAAATAAGAACAGAGTTTCACTGAAACCTTCAGAATGTGAACCGAACGTTATACTCAGACATTCTATAATGCTAATTGAAAGGTAAAATACTGCTTGGTGTACATTCGATTCCCTACCTAGAATTACCACTTGCATCTGACCATTGCAGTGCAGAATTTAAATGCAAGGGATTTTTTTCATAAACAAAGGGTAATAGTGAAAATGTGCAGATGTAGTTAAACGAAATCAACAAAACGCACAGGCCTCAGCCGTTCTTAAGACTTTCTGCACAGAGAATAGACGAGATAGATTGAAATAAATTATCATTGAGGAGAGCTAAATTTGTGTGCATGTGCACTAGAATTTGTTGTTCACTACGCATTCGTATTGTCAAACAGACCTTCGCGAGGACTTCGAAAAAGTAGCTTCGTGCGAGAGAGCGATTCTCCTCCCCGCAGGTCTACTTCCAGCGGGTGCTATCGTGCAAGAGCGCCTTCAAGGCGCAACTGCTCTCCTATGTGGCTGCCTTCGGCTGTATCATCATGGCCATCCCCGCCATGATCATGGGTGCTGTGGCCAAGGCCACCAGTACGTACCCTCGAGCACGAAACGTCACGCATGCAGAAGAGCACACTTAAAGGAAAGCTAAAGCACTTTCTAAGAAAAGTGAGCTTGGAGCAGACATCTGTAGTCCTTTGTCCCGTGAATTAGATACCGTACTGGGATTGGGCTGAAGTAAACGTCAAATGTTTTTTTATAAGGAAGAAAACCAACAAACATGCTGGGATCGTTGCAGGGCATGCAGCGAGCCTCTCTGCCGCCTGTCACGTGTCCAAGGCGTCGTGACGTCATCGTCGGCATCTTTGCCGACGATGTCGTCATCTGTGACGTCATCAGCGAGGTCATCTGACCCCGCTGATGACGTCACTTTCGCTGATTTTACTCCCTGCCCCTGTGCTCGGCATGCAGCAGCAAGCAGGGTCTGCGGCCAAATGTTAATAGATCTATTGCTATATTACCCAAGCATCAAGGATAATACAGGGACTAGTGTTCCACGCGCCACACGTGCACGCCTTCCCCGTAAAAAAGATTCGAAGCAAATAACCAAAATAAAGCGTTGATGAATGCGCGTGCAAGATGCAGTTTGTTTTAGGTGTTTGCATTAGAAAATTTACTACTGCTGAGGCCAGCAGATGCGGCACGTGGAACACCATTCCCTGCATTCTCCTTGATGCTTGGGTAATTTATCAATAGGTCTATTTACGATCACGTCGCTCCTGCTAATAAAATTGAAAGAAGACTTTAGACAGAATTTTTAGGGTGCCTACAATTCCCCACTACCCCCTCCCCAAAACAGTGTAGCCAACCAGGACTTTGACCTAGGTTAACCTCTCTGCTATTCCTTGCCCGACTCTCTCTCTCTAGAAACTTTAAAAAGTCCCCGAAAAGAAATATATATACATATTTAAACAGTCTGGTTGGGACATGTGTGTCAAAAAATTATTTTCATGGAAAAAAAAAAAAAAAAGATTTTTTAAAGAAATATTGACAGCGCGAGATTTATTTTAAATTTCGACAGTCCATGACCTCACGGAATGGTAATACTGTACACCCTTTCCACCTCAACGTGATGGCCACAGCTTCTCATTGCCACAGCTTCTCTCCTCCATGCGCTCGAAATTCCGAGAGAAAACCGGTAGAAAGGAGGTGACTGACTACCAACTAAATTGCGTCTCGTGCCGTCAATATTACACTTTTTTTTTTGTGTGTAAAATTAATTTTTTGACATGAGTGTCCCTACCAGGCTGTTTATAAAAAAACCTTTTTTTTTTCTTTTCAGGGGCCCTTTAAGTTACACTTAGAGCATGTACGCACACCCAGAGAGAGCAACGCAAAATATATATAGAAACATGTACAAAAGTCATGCACGTGCACGCATGTATGCATGTAAGTGCACATGGGCACGCGTACAGACATACAACGTCCAGTTTAGGGGCTTTACGTGCCAAACCAACGAAGTGCACAGAGACTTTTTAGTGTTGTGTCGTTTACCCGCAGTCTCGGGGTTTTTTCAACCATGTGCAACGAAGTGCACCTGGCGTCCCAGTGGGGTAATGAGGATTAATTTTGACCACATAAGGATCTTCTCTCGTGCAACCGAAACCTTGGTTGCATGCCTCCTCCTCAATAAGCCTCCGTCAGATTGCGGGCACCTCGGCTGGGATTTGAACCCGCCACCTGGGGATCTTTAGGCTGGTGCTTTGCCTCGGAGACACCGAGGTAGCGCGCACAAAGACATAACCAGACATGTCTGCAATATCAACAAGATTCCAAAGTCAAATCGACTTGATCTTTATTAAAATTCACAAATTTCAATTTGCTTTTGCCGTTCTTGCTTGCCGCGACACTTGGTGCTTGCATGCGTGGATCGAGCGGCTTTTGAGGAAGCATCGGGCGCAGGATGGAACGAAACGGAGTTCACGGGTCCCCTGCCCCTGGACAAGGAGCACACGTCGCTGGTGCTGCCCATGGTGCTGCAGTTCCTCACCCCCGGCTTCGTGTCCTTCGTGGGACTGGGCGCCGTGTCCGCCGCCGTCATGTCCTCGTCGGACTCCTCCATCCTCAGCGCGGCCTCCATGTTTGCCAGAAACGTCTACAAACTCATCTTCAGACAAAACGTGAGCGTGCTAAGCTTCCTAATGGGCCTCCAGCGGTGATTGAATGACTGTCACCAGCCACTTTTGCACGCCTGGATGGATGGATGGATGAATACGGCTGAGCCCTTTGGATCGGGCGGTAGCTTACGCCACCTAGCCATTTTGTTTTACCATTTAAGCTTTGCATGCCTCATGGCGCCATCTAGTAGTTGAATCGTGAAACTTTAGTGACAATGTTTATTTCATGCCAGAGCCACCTCCCACTTTTATGCACGTTAGGAATGGCTATTAAATTTCCGCAACAGTGATGCAACCCATACCCAAAACTTTAGTCTTTGGGTTTAGTGATGAAGGTATCACTTTCAAACATGGACTTAAATGCACGTGTTTAAACCTGTTTGGCCAACCAAGCCGACATCTCTGGTTTTGGGCAAAGTACGTCCTTACTAATACAGTCATCAAGAAAGACGTTGCGATGGGTGAATGGCCTTTTCCTTTAGACGATCCAGTTGCGCTCAATGGCCGCCATAGCCAAGTTCATTGTTGCCGAGCACGTCCTAATGGCAAGCTTCCTTAAACTTCTGCAACATGCTTCCACATCACTCACATTGTTGCTATTGGTAGGCGACAGGCGGGGATTTGTTTGGAGCATGTGCCGTGAACCATAGGATGTCCAGCGAATACCGTGCTGGCGCTGATGCATCCGCGACACTGGTTGGTGCTTGAGCAGGGGCAGTGCGCTAGCAGGCTCTCCCTGCAGGCATCCGAACGAGAGGTCATCTGGGTGATGCGCGTGGCCATCCTCTTCGTGGGCGCCATGGCCACTGCCATGGCCCTGACAGTCAAGTCCATCTATGGCCTGTGGTACCTGTCCTCAGACCTGGTGTACGTCATCCTGTTCCCGCAGCTTGTGTCCGTCGTGTACATGAAGCAGCACTGCAACACGTACGGCTCCCTGGGGGCCTACATCATCGGGCTACTCCTGCGGGGCCTGGGCGGGGAGGACATCCTGGGCCTGCCGGCTGTCATCAGGTACCCTTTCTACAATGAGGTGGACGGGCAGCTTTTCCCCTTTCGCACCCTGGCCATGCTGGTCAGCCTGGCCAGCATCGTGTCTATCTCCACCTCTCTGAAATGGGCCTTCGAGTCCGGCCGGATCCCCGCGCGCTTCGACATATTCCACTGCATTGTCAACATCCCAGAGGACGTCATCAAGGTCCAGGAGCCCCAGGAAGGCGAGATGACTGTGCTCAACGCCTGCGGGCTCAAGAGCTACCAGACCGAGATGAATGGGAGGGTCAACCCCGCCCTCAACCTGCACCCCGAGGAGGACGTGCAGGGCTTCTCCGGGACCTCCCCCGGGGGGCGGGAACCCCCGTTCGGGGCCCCGCCACCGCTGGCGGATGGCGCCGCCCGAGACCTGCCTGAGGACAAGCTGTGAGCTCGGCAGATGTTCGGAAGGGGCCCAGCTCGGGGCCCGGCCTGGGGCCCGGTTTGGGGTCAGGGGTTGTAACGAGGTTGCAAAAAAAACAGGCACCCGGCTTGTCAAGCTCGATAGGGGGCAAGACCCCATATCAAGCTTGATAAACAAGAATAATCTATTGTTACCAGGTTTAAACTTGTTAAAAAAAAAAACAGAAAACAACTGCGTCTGCAGCTTTATCGGCGGAAAAAGTGTGACGTCTCGTTGTATACACTTATGTTTACACCATGTGTTAAGAACCCAAGCACGGTTCTAAATCGTGCGAGGGGTTTCATAGGCAGTTGGACTATCAAACAACACGACGTGAGTAAAACCGCAAGATACGCATCATCCGAGGTTGAATGTTGCGGAGATGGGAGAAAAGTAACGATTGCACAGCACAGCAAATGACAATAACGTCACAGAGATATACAAGGTTAGCCGACGCAGAGATATCCTTGATAGGTGACAGTGGCGCGAGACAATCACGTCAAGTTCAGAACTATAGGAATTCCTCCCAGATTCTTTGCCCGCAATACTGTACAGACCCGGGCTAAAATATATGCAGGTTGTTCCTGTCGCAAAGTTTTAGTATACTATAGAGCCATTATTTCCGTTATTTCCGCTCACAGGGGAGGGGGGCGGAAACTTGTTAATTATGACTAAGCAATTTACAATCAAGAGGGAGCTCTTGATTTCAATCTTTTCTCTCTACACTAATGCGCGAGGAGCGAGGAGCTTCAAGAGCTCCTCACAGACATTGTTTTGTCTCCTTGCAATTGGCAAACTGCTGAAATGAAACCCCATATCCCACTCTAAAACATGGAGCAGATCGCTTTAAGGCTCCGACAAGCCTATGGCAGAACGCAAATCAGCTGCCTTTGGGAGCAACACTAAATGCCCCAGCACTTGCAGTGTGCTCACGATGACAATCACTTTTTTTTAATGTACCCACGGTATTCCCATCGAGGGGAAATGCAAAGCGAGCATATAGCTCTGACAATCACTCCTGTTCAGGACCGCCCAACTGCTCTGGTGTTGTTGCACTTCTAATGCATTTATCCCAAGCCCTTGGAGTAAAAAGTTGTGCTGTCCTGGCCTGTTCCAGGTCAGTTTGCCCTCTTATGTGAATGCAGCTACAGGTTGTTGGTCAGTGACTGTGATAGCAGTTGTGATTCGAAACGATCAGGTTTCCTGCAATAACACTGTTGGCTGAGGCAGATTCCTTTTTCTTAACATTGTTTAATATATAGCATATATATACACATATCCTGGACTGTGAAGGAGAAATAAGTGTATATACAACCATTAAGCTCGTAACAAAATGATTTATTTTGGCACGCAATTAGAACAGCTGGTATGTGATCATTGCAAACCTTCGCCTTTTTGATGCTGAGACAATCAAACCGGCTTGAGTTTCTGAAGCAGAAGAAACTCTTTCGAAGTGCTGGTTACAGCAAGATGGGGCTTCAGGTGGCAAATGAAGTAGGAAGTTCCCTCCTGCATTCCATGCTGGAATGCAAGTGTATGTCATAGGAGAACCATTCCCAAAGAGAAGGTCAACATTGTCCAAAGAGACCGTTAGTCTCCAAATAATTATAGTTGTTATTTTTTTAATTTGTTGTATCCATTCCTTGACCCGTCATTACAAGGAGCAAGACATGCGTGTTTTGTTGGCTTCTTTGCTCCGTCTTGTCGATGTGAGTGTGCATTTGTGTAAACGATGGTCTTTAAAAAAATGTGTTTGCTGTTGTGACGTACAAACAGTTGACAATCAAGTGTTTAGTGTGTGCATGACATAGACTGTATTATACACGTTTTTGGGTCGAGTTGCTTTTTTTGAGAAACATATATAAAGTGCAATTAGATGTGGAGACGAAAAATACAATGTTGTGGGATGATGCGCCGTTGCTGCGAAAATTTGTTCCCAACTATGAGGCGCACTACGGCCAATACATAAACCCTATTTTAGTAGCCATTGTTACAGAGAGCCTAGATATTAAATTATGAATGCCGATAGCATAATTATAGCTCTGGCCCACCAAGGAGACTCTGATTGGTGTTTGTCGACGATTTTGTCGATCACTTGTCCCGCGATGTCGTAGGAATTGCATTTACCCACTACAATTTACACTGCAGCAGACAATCAAAGATGTGTGAGGTGGTAAGGTTCGAGGGTGAACACAGGTGGAAGGTTTTCAAGGGACTCTGAGGACAACTCAAAAGATTTTTATTTTATAAAATCACTACTACTCATTTTTTGATGGTCTCAATATACTGTCCAAGTTTTCGCCAGAATTCTATGACAAATAATTCTTCCCAAAATGAAGCGCATGAAAATAGGTGAAAACTGAATGCAATGATCCAATTGAACTCTGAGATAGAATCATCACTATTTCTGGGGGCAAGAAATTGTCTCAGTGGATGAGCAGTCGGACAGTATTATTTAAGTATACCCCTGCTGCTTGTTGCAAGCATAAAATTAAACTTGTGAAGTCACTGAAGTGTCCCTCTCCGAACATCTCCGCTTTTAATAATGTACTCTAAGGGATGGCCATGAGTGTTTGGCAAACATCCGGCTGCTCAATCGTGCGAGGCCTGTGCGCAAACACCTCTTCTGGCGCAACTTACTGGATGACGAAGTAAGCCACATGCCCGCTTAAGGGGAGACCCTGGTCTTAATAAACAAAAATATAAAAAAAAAGTTTTTTTTTAAATATTTAAGTTACAAACAACATATGCCGCACATACTATACCCAGGAAGCGCATATTTATATAGTTACGTCGATTCAAAGTTTCGCATCCAGGCTGCTTGCTAGCACATCTCGAAAAGCCCTTCCTGTTTTCTGAAAATAAATTTTTGCATCACAACACAAAATGTTGCCCCGGTATCTTTTGATCTAAAATTTGAATCTGCAAACTTTTTTCAGGGTTGAATACTTCATAAATCAGATAGTGCGACGAGACTGATATTTTTGGAAAATGTTAACTGCAAAATTTTTTAATTGGTAAAGACTTCAATGACTCCATTTCTAATTATCAGCGAAAACATTTCAATTTCTGATAACTTCTTTTGAATGATGTTAAACATATTAGAATAGTTTTGTTGCACTTCCTACTGTTTGTGGAACATCCTGATATACTTTGTGCCATATTTTTTTATGGGGGCATTGTAAAAAAGTTGGACATGATGGTAAAATTATTAGAATAGTTTTCTTGCACTTCCTACTGTTTGTGGAACATGCTGATATACTTTGTGCCATATTTTTTTATGGGGGCATTGTAAAAAAGTTGGACAGAAACATTTGTGATAAAGTTGAGGTTTTTTTGAAAACTATATTAGAAGGAAAAACAAATGGGCGTATGCCTGCACTTGGCACAAAAACTTAGGGCCAAGGTGAAAATTTAATATAAATTAGATCAGAAATGGCAAAAAAATGTCCAAGACCGGGTCTCCCCTTAAAACTCCAGGAGTTCGATTTTGGTCCCCGGGCAAGAGCGAGAGCCTTCTCAATCGCTGATTGGACCTGCTGTCACATCTTTCTGCTGGGAGCACATTTGCTGATTCGACCAGTGAGAAATTTTGACTCTTTCCAGAGTCCACGATCGGGCAGTATTCTGCCGAGAACTTTACCAATAGTGAATAAATGGTGAAAGAGGTCTCGTGGCCTTTGGTGCGCTCGTTCCAAAAGCTCCCCTGTCCCCTGGTCACTCTCGGCCAGTGTGAGACAGCAGAACAGCTCGAGATTTGTGTAAGAAGCTTGGGTTGTCAATCTTTTTGGATACAAACTAGCAGATGATTGAAATGTCAGCCTGCATCCGGCATCACCTTGCCCTAGGCACTCGGTTCGTAGCCAACGATCCACTTTTTTTTACGTCTGTCAGGTGACGACATATGGTGTTTTCTTGTTTCATTTATGGCTGCGAACGACGCTTCGTGGCGGGCAAACCCCATTCTTTGCTCGCATTAGCGGAAAAACCATCTGCGAATGGTATCTTATCTTGCTCTGTGGGACACAAATTATATCTTGCTCTTGCTCTCACAGTGACCAAAATTACACCCCGGGCACACTTCCCATCATCCAAGAGTGCATGGTTAGTTCGAAGCAGCATGGTATCTGTGAAGTGTTGATTTGCGGACACTTTCCACCTTGCCTGGTGTCCACCGGCTTTGTCGTGGCATGTTCTCAGTGTGTTTGTTGACATAGAATGTGTTCTTGGTCTAGTTTGTGTTTCTGGTCGGGAGCTAGGATATTCCAGCAATGCGGGGGCGCATTCAAGCGAGCCAGTTTCGTCAAACATTTCGCAATTGCTTTGTTGATTTCATGCGAATGAAAACTGCAATGTGCTTGATGACTGCCAGCTCCTGCGAACTATGTTTTACACTGTTTTTGCACCCGGAACTACAAGAACAGCTAGTCATTCATTTGTGCCGTACGAAAATCCTGCGTGCGTATGTGTGTGTTCCTCACCATGCCTCCAATCTGACGCGATAGATTCAGTTGTGCTCAATCAAAGTTCCCAGTTCTAGAATATGTATATGAGTTTGGATAATTGATTGCAATCGGACGTATTCTCAATGGCTCTACAGACGCATAATTAGTGTCCCTCAGCATAGTGGCACGAATCCCAGAAAAAAAAGAAAGAAAGAACGGTCCTACATTTTTTAAAGGTACTCCTGCGTCTATACTTCCCCGGGAGCACTAGGGGAAGCCAATCACCAGAATCTAAGGAAGGAGCCCGACAAATGATGAGTTAAAAAAGAAAAATATCTTGATCGAAAAATTAAGTATGCGCTGCAACACTGATCATGGCGTGAAATGCCCCATTTGGTGCACACCTAGCCTCTTTTTTTTTTTTTTGTCCTCATCATTAGTTAGCCCCGACATCATAATAATTAGCCCCACTGTGTGAACTGCAGAGAAGTAGGCGTCCAGGAATTTTTAAAACGTAAAAATCTGGCTCTCAGTTTTTTTTCCAACTTTTTAATTATAATAACTTTGCGAGCTAGGAATATGGCAAAATGAAATCGGTCTGCCATTAACGGACAAGCTCCCAGAGGCATCTGGCAGACTGTTACATTTGAAAAGGCACGGTCGTTGTGTAAAACTGCAGAACGCCACCATTAGTAGTGCCAAGCATAAAAACCAGGTCACCAGAGTTGTCTACTTAGCAGCGCTGCGAGCACTGAACCGACCTTTGTGGCAAGTGTTGTCCGTGCGCCTGTGCACCAAGGTTATGTGTGAAGGGGGTGCCGATGTTAGGCTCTTCAGTGCTGCTATCTCGCCTAGTTGTGTTTGTGTGTAGTTGACGGCGTAAACGACAATCGTGTTCTCTCGTGCCGACGACCGTGTAAGTACTTGACAAATATCAAGCCATGTGACAACAAGGTATGAAATAAAAATATGGCTGTCCCCAACTGTTTCTTGTCTCAAGCGCAAGTCTATGGAGTCCGTCATGGATGTTGTTTTATTCGACGGTAAGAGCTGCAGAGATGCTGAAGAGGGTCTACTAAGCAGAAAGCGGGGTTTCTGTAATGGGCCATTAGCAATGTCCAATGGGGCCATTCCAAGCCTGGATAATTGGGGGCCGATGTAGCACAAGCGCGACACTTCTGGATTCACTTCTCGTCGAAGCAGACGGGCTATACAGTTAACAGTAGATGACACTGCAGTGGTGCACGGGTAATCACATTTTTGAGTATATCATATTGTCACGGACGGAAAATTAGAGACTAATGTAAAACTTAAAATAAATGTTTATTGAGGCAGACTTGTGCCCACAAACAAAAACAAAAAAGGAACTGTACATTGTGCGATGGCGACGAAAGAGCAGCTGCCCCGAAGCAGGACGTTACCGCTGCTTTTATGCACGCGGTGCGTTCGGGAATTTTTCAAACCAGAACACTCGATGACTGTCGAGAATGTGCTGGAACTTTCCGGAAAAGTACAAAGTCCCAAATCCAAGATCTGGATCGAGCGGGATTCGAACCCCGTCCCTGCATGTGGTAGTCACGTGCGTTGCCAGCTTTGCCACGTTTGTGGCAATACTGCCTGCTAGCTTGCATACATAATTTCCTGCAGTTGCGCTTCAGACTGCCGACCTGACGGAAGTTTGGACCGTGCTTGCCTATAGCCAATGCAGGCTTAGCACTCTGGTCCGAGGGCAAAAATTTCCTTTTTTGCTACGATCCAAATGGTAAGGTCTGTAGAACCAAGATGCGCATCATTTCGACCTGCTTTTATCGAATGCATTGTTAACAACCTCCTTATTCCACCTGTACCACACACACACACATACACAAAAAAAAAAAAAGAAGTTACACCCAGAAGTTTGGAATCAGAACAGTGCACAGTCGAGGATTCAGAATACTAAAAACTATTTGTGCGTGGGAACCGTCACGCCGTAGATTTTTCCGCTTGAACGAGGTAAAAGAAGACAACCCATGAAGGCAAATTGTGCAATTATTATTTTTCTTCTAGTAAAACAAGCATGATACCATCACACAAGTCCCTGTGCCCATTAGATGCAAGCAAGGTCACGTGAATCTGAACTATGGTACAGTTTACGTGGAATACAATTACAGGAATTCCCCCCTCCTTCTCAACTTTCACACAATATGTGCAAGAAATGAAAACCAGGAGCCTACCAGATTTTTGGGAGTGCTGAGCGCCTTTCAACATGAGATGGTTCACCAATGCCTTCCCAATGTTTCCCGACATTTCCGGTAGCTTTTCCTCCCGATTACCAGCCAATTTCTTGGGCCAATGCAATAGTGCATCCTTTTCGTTGCCACAATGATCAAGGTTTTTGCTGTAAATGTTTCTCAGTCTGTGCTTTTCTTGAGACTACAAGTTTGTAAACAGGCAAAATATCTAAACTTGCTTAGGCGTTAAATTTGCGAGTCCTTGCGGACACCAAAACTAGAAAGCAATCGAAGTGGGGAAAAAGTCAACATGTTGTAGTGCTGGTAGCATGATTCTTGTTTCTCCTGCAGTTCTCAGAAATGCAGAAAGTCGTCTTCCGAGGTCAGGCCTGTAGAGAACTCTTTAGTTGACGGCAGAGCGTCTATCTGCAGACCCTCTCTGTTTCGCGACACGAGAGCCTAACATGTTTTCATGCTTGCTCAAACCGTCCTACGGAGTAAAAGCAGAAACAGTTGAAGAAGCAAAAATAAAAAAAACAAACAAACTACATTGGAAATTTTTAACAGGAAATAGACAAAGAAGAATCAATGACTGGCCGTGGTGTTCTTTTTCTCTGCGGCATTCTCGGTAGTTAGCTTAATCCTGGGTGCTATTCGCTGACTTTGTGATTTTCGTTTCTGTTTGCTTGACAGTGTACTGAAGAGATGGTTTTGTTATAATGCTATTGTCATTTCTGACTGACCCTCCCTTCATAGGGAAGCGCCTACGATACTCTTTAAAATTATGTGACCGTTGATTCAGGTTGATTTAGACTTGATGTCAACGCAAGGCATCTCAAACTCTGCCATGAGCAGAGCGCTAAATCGAACTGTAACTATCTTTTCCCCGTTGGAAACCGAGCCACTGGTCAACATTCGAAGCACACCTCGACATTGAAGGAGCAATATATTGAAACCACTTTTTTCAAGTAGCCAGAACTGGACAGACCTGTCAGAATGTAATTACAGTAGACTCTCATTAATTCAAACTCCAGGAAGCCACGAATTTTGTTTGCATTATCAGATATTCATCTAAAAGCCCGTTCACACTCTTGCAACCTCTTAAACCTAGGTTCCTTACAACTTCTTAAACCAGAAAACACACTGGTGCCATCTATTGGGAAGCAGTGTAAACTCGGCGGTCCGGCATATTTTTTTTTTATTTCTCGCGCATTATCCTTTCTTTCTTGGCTCGAAAAACTTTTGTCAATGTTATAAACGAGCCTTTCTATGGGTATTACGCACATTTGACCCCGGAAATCCCGCAAAACCTTTGCCCTTGTGAAATGCAGTTCCAGGGTCACCACATAGATGGCGCCACAATGCCAGTTTGCTCCCTCATTTTAAAAACATTTAGCAAGTTTTAAGAGAACTCGTCTCTCTCAGTCGTACTCGGTCGCACTCGGTCGCAAGAGTGTGAACGGGCCTTAAACATGATGCGAGATAGAATTATGATTTACCACATACAAAGCACATACAAAGCAGATATTTGATGATTTCCTCTATGTCGGTCTACTGATCATAAGGTATGTCACGCATGAAACATTTGTGAAATCTATGACATAAGTTTATTTATCCCTCAAAATGTTGTTTATTGAGAACTGCTTAGACAGCACATGACAACTCAAAACAAAATTAAGTTTGTACATTAGGCGAAAAAGTTGTCCAATGTGGACTATTAAGCAAGGCAAAGAAAACATAAGCTATGAAAATGGGCACAGCGCGGCAGCTTTCGTAGCAACTTGTGTGGACGCTGTGCCGTGGACCTATGCCATGTCGCCATGTCGCAGCCTTTGCGCAAGTTGCTATGACAATTTCTGCGTGGTACCCGTTTTCATAGCTTATGCGTGCCCTGCTTGAGCCCTGTTGAGTGCACTTCTCACCGAGCACCGGTGCACTGTGGAGAAGCAACACCCACAGAAGCAAGCCCCGCGGGCGTTACCTCTCTGCAGTGCACCGGTGCTCGGAAAGAAGCACACTTTCAACTGAGCCGCAAGAATGAAAAGTATCAATTACACATAAACGCTGCTCAAATTAAGCAGCTTATGAATACATTTAAAACATATTGAGCTGACCAAAATTTTAAAATTAGTTTGAATTAATCAAAAGAATGAAATATCAGAGTTTTAATTATCGCGAGCATATATCTCAAGTTATTTTAATTACCTCCAAATTTCCACAGGTATGGCACGGAGCACATTTTGTTTCATTGGTTTCCCGTACCGAGTTTCGGTTGTATGGCATGCCGACCGATTTTCCGGGTGCCGAAATTTATGACATTCTCGACTGTTTGGACATTTCTGCAGGACCATCACCCACCTTGCAGATTTTATAACGGTGACAAGGTTGCGACGCCACACAACTCACTTTGCTTTTCTAATTTGGCTCTCATGGCTTGCACTATGCAACCGTCATCTTCACCACAACAAGCCTCCGTCGAATTGCGGGCACCTCGACTGGAATGTAGGCCCACTGACCTTGAGTCCGTAAACTGGCGCTTTTTCTCGAAGCCACCGACGTGACAGCAGCCTCTACGAACCGGCCAAAGCACTGCCCCGAAGGGCATGACGCAGAGCGAGTAGAGAAGAGGGACGGAAAATGAAAGCACTCTGAAGTCCTGTCTCGAGCTCTCACTACTTTGCGTGGTCGCTTTGTGCTTGCAGCTCCAGCTTGCAGTGGCAGAGGGCCTCCGAAAGGTCTCGGTACAGCCGGTGATTTCTTCCGTGGCTGACGGTCACAACTTCGGAGGCCTGCATATAAAGGGTTCGTCGTCAACAAGTTTGTATCCCGGCAACCCTGAAGATGTGTCAGATGGGACTCTTAGTTTAGGCGTGCAATCATGTACTAGTAAGTGATGGAAGGCCTCAGGCTATACTCAGGGGCAACTTTCTGTGGCATTACCCAGGATAGGAGGAGAAAGCGTGCACAGCTTTAAGCGGCACTCAGTCTGGGAGAGAGCACGTGTGCTTGTACCTCTGACTGCGTTCCCACAGGACGTTGCCCCCTACTACAGAAGTCGTACTGCACTGGCTAGGTATTTCCTTCACGGCTTGAAGCAGCGTCACCATACCTCAAAAACAGACCGACCTTACCAGGCAGCGCTGAGTTTTGAAAAGTGTCTCTTGGCAATTTTCGTTGCATGTTTTTGAACCTACTTTCGCGGTTTCGTCTTTATACCGCCAGGCGGCCTGAATATCCGATAAGCTCAAGAAAGCTGGCGAGCAAGCCTACCGCTACAGCTTTCCGTTCTAGCCGCTAGGCGCCGACGATTTCGCAGAAGTCACCAACACCAGGGGTGTTTCAGTATGCAGCGACTGTAGCTGCCCCAAGCGCTCGAAGCAAAGCACCGCACCTTCTCGAAGTACTGCAGTGCCTCCTGGAGCAAAGCCTTGTGGTGATAAAGCTTGGCAATGGTGAAGAGCAGCACGCCATAGACGAGGCTGTAGGGGCCGTAGCAGCGCCTGCACGGAGCGAGCGAACGAGACGTGAGCAACACATATGCGACAAAACTTGCAGATAGCTGCAGGATTATCTTCGCATCAGAGCCAGATGATGATTCATTTCAAGGGGGCCAACCTGAATGCAGCGATTGCAACGCCTCTAAGAAGTGGCGAAAAGCATCCCGAAAGACGGAACCTAAGCGCACGGGTGACAAAGAATTTCTCACTGGCGGTCAAGTGAGAAATGTTCTTTTTATGCCGAAACATTTCAACGCCAAAAGGCAGAGTTTACGGTTGTAGCAAATGAATTTAGCCTCTTTCCAATTGCGTTGTAGAGCAAGTGACGCGCCAAAGTGCTTTGGAGATTCCCAAGGTCGGTATCAAAGAGGTGCCATGTTGTTGCCTGCCATGATCCTGGCGATGTCGCAACAGCAAAGGCAGACGCCTGTTCCGCTGCAAATCACTCTCTTACTCGAAGAACTCGCAGAACTTCAGCAGCCAGCGGTCGGGAAGCTACAACAACGGCGATACTCACGTTCTTTCATACTTTTATGACTAACCGCCAGGATTGTGACGTGCGACAGCGGGACACGCCGACTCTGCAGTGATGCCATTTGTCGCCGCTTGGGAACAGCTCTCGGTATATGAGCGGGACAGGACACTAAACACGCCTGTCAAAAAGATGGGTTCCGGGCAGTGTACCTGTAGGTTTCCTCCTTGGCAAGGTAGTAGGGCAGAGCGGCGTCGAAGTCGCCCATCTCGAGGCAGCTCTTCGAGAGCAGCTCCAGCGCCTCGCTCCTGGCCGCGTCTGTGGCGGGGAGCTCGTGGGAGCTCAGAAGGGCCTCGGCTTGCCCACGCAGGCGCACTAGGTCCTCCCTTGCGTGGACCTCTGCGGGCGGGAGAAAGCGACCTTCTTGGTCCCGATCCGCAGCGGGCGGAGTGGGCCACGAGCTCATGCCACGGACCTGCTCGCATAAACTCTCCGAGAAGCTCCTTGGCTTTGGCAGTCAGTGATGGGGACTTTTCAGTAAGGTACTCCTGCGCCTGAGAAAAAAAGCAAAGTTGCTTGAAACATTCTTTGGGTCCTCAGTTACACCGTTCATGGCTCTTATTTACTTATTTCACATTTTCATTACTGGCAGATGTCTAATGTCCTTTCTTGATTACGACATGAGAGTCGATGAGCCGCACGCAATGAGCACACCTCGGTGTGAATTGAAGTGGCCAACAACGAGAAATGAGACCCAAACTCTCTACAACGCTTGGGGGGAGCAAAGCAGGAGAGAGAGCATCAAAGATGGGAAAAAAAAGAACAAGCAGATGATATGTTAGGTGTGTTTGTTTTTCCGTAACACGCTGAGGATGCTGTGTTCGTCACCTTCCGCTTTCCTTCATACAATGTGCGACGTCGGTGTTCACTCGCGAAATGATGCTAGAAAAGACTACGTATTGACCTTGCAATTGGCATCTTGCTGCTTAATGTTACTAAAGCTTCACCAGCAATCTGAACCCACCAGTACTACTCAAGTCTATGCTTTGCCGCTCCAATACGGCCGAAATGAGTGGGAAGACGGCAGACATTTTTCTTTTATTATATGGACTTTACGGAGTAAAGGGAACCCACCTCATCCGCACTGCACCGCGGGCAGTTGCAGCTGAAGTAGTAGCGCTCCCTCAGCTCTTCGATCCTCGTCCGCCTCAGTTCCTTCAGGTCGATGTACGAGACCCTGATCTATGTCGGAGAAAAAAGGCAACGTTTGGCGCACAGCCACGACTCTGGCCCGCATAAGTGTGCACACTTCAAATGAGTCCCATACTCCGTCCACGGAGTCGCACTCGATGTCCGCCGCAGCTCTCAGCCGCAGTGTGCGGCCGTCAAAGACGGCCTGTGCGTTGGGCGTGCAGGAGTGGTCCAGAATGGAAGGGCTGTCGAGAAAACAGCCAGCACGGTGAGAACCTGCCGCTCTGTTTGTCCCCGCCAGTATGGAGGCTGCTTTCTAAACTAGACGCGAGCGGCGATTAAATGCGACCGTAAACCAGCGAGTGCACAACGTCGGGAGAATGAAGCTCGGCTCGCTTCCGTTTTTACCGCATCTAGATACAAGTCTGTCACGATGAAAGCTCATTCGATGCTTGCGCAACAGATCCTTCCAGCTACCCCAGAATATTAAAAAACATGCAAAAAAAAAAAAAAGAAAAAACATTTTTTTTTATTGTTCTGATGGAAAATGGATGTCATACAATGAATTTACAACAAAAACTTTTTTGTTAGAGCCATATTTACGGCATTAAACGAATTTGTAGTTGGCTCCCACAGGAGCCCATGGAAAAATGGCTAATAGCAGACACGTGACTGGCTAGAGTCACGTGGTAGACCTGTGCGCTGCCGCCACCGCAAGTTATGCCAGAGCCGTTCAGTGCCGCCGCTGAAATCCCCAGAACACCCCCGCCGCCGCCGCATGTTGAGCGTGGCGCTCCATCAGCTGAGCACTTTTTTTGCTTTATATGCAAAAAGTAATTTAAAATATATTTAAAAAAAAGCAAAACCTTCACAAATTTTATTTAATTAAAACAAAAATTCAGAGAAAAAGTCATCATGATCATTACTTAGCGACTTTTGTCGACTCCGCAGCCGGAAGGGTACACTGCGGCGCGCCGCTGCCGCCGTCAATTTCTGACTGGTGCAAAGGTCTATCACATAGTGCTTGCGCTCTTTCAAGAGCTTGCTATGGGTCCTAAAAGTTACTCATTAATCTTAGTTTCTTAGAACGAAGATTAATAATCAACTTTTAGAGCCCATAGGAAGCTCCCAAAAGAGCGCAAGTACCACGTGACTATAGTGGCCAGCCACATGATTCTAGGAGCCACTTTTCCGCAGGCTCCCGCAAGTGCCAACTACAAATTTCTTTTCAATATAGCTTTAAAATTTATTTCGTTATACATTTTTGTTAATGACATCCCATTTCCATTGAGGCTGTTTAAAAAAAATATTGTTTTCCTTTGCATATGTCCTTTAAGCCCTACTTCCAATTGCACAAATCGTCTTCCAGTTTTACCTTTTTTAGAAATGAACGCATAATAATGCTTCACGCAGGCAATGCATAACCAGAACCAGCTAGTAGACACTCGAAGCTGAAACCTCTCGTGCCGCTGCAAAAACTGCCGTAGACGCACCAGTATGCTCAGCAAATGGGAGACACGGTACATGATCTTATTAGTTAACTGAATATCTCCATACTCTCTGGACCTTTGCCAAGTGACAGTTTCTTTTCTATTTGTCCGATTGTTCGTTACTTGGTTGAGAGCTCAGCTGCGGCTGGTGATTAGGGAGGTGCCGAACAGGTCAATCTGACTTCAACTATGAATCGTATATAGAAGATATTTCCTTTTCTCATCAGGATATGCTACTTGACAAAGGCATGCTCTAACAACAACTCCTCTTCAATCGCGTAATAAGTGCTTTAAGTACTCTGTTTTCCCACGAACAATAACTGAGTGCAATGACCTCGCTGAGAGTGTTGTTATGCAGCCGTCGTTGTCGTTTTTTGCATCTAATTGAAATTAGTAGCTCCTTTTCGTATTGTATTTGTTCAAGTGTACTACAACTTGTTTTCATTTGTGTTCTTCTTGGCAGTCTGTTGTATTTTCTTTACCATTATACCCAACTACAAAAATCCCATCGAGAAATTGCAATATTAATAAATAAATACAAAAAAATTCAATGTAAGAATGCAGAAATATCTGAAATTAGGCATATAAAAAATTAAATTGAATCAAACATGTTATAATTTATATTTCCACCCTACTTGCAAAGAAAACCCAAGGATCTATTTACAAAATATATGAGGACGAGTCACTGATATGGTCAAAGAATAACAATATGGCCATCAATGCCACCAGCTTACCCAATGTATAGGCCCGTACCTATGGGACATTCCTCGTAATTGGTGATGGTGTATGTGTTCACCACCATCTGAAAGTGGAGAAAAAAAGCTACACGAATCACCACAAGGTGACGAGCAAAGCTTCTCAGTTTGCCTTTCCGAAGATCTCGAGGCCCGTTTCTGCAGGAGGCAGGTACTCGTCTCCCAAGAACGCCCCGGCCGTCATCCACAGCCTCTGGAACTGCGCCACGCGCTTGGCGTCCCTCTTGATCTCTTCCACGTCTGTGGAGCGGAAGAAGTCGACGCAACATGACGCAATGCGCCGGCTGCACCCATGCGGACAGGTCAACAAGCATTCTCACGTGCCACCAGGTCTGCGAAGGAACGCCCTCGCCCAAACACCGGTTCGGTCCGAGCCGCAGCTGACGTGTCCTGCGTCCCCATAACAGCAAATTGTGTAATACCCATCCACACTCTCCTTGATAAAATCTCCTAAAAAACCTCCAAATGTCAACAAAATGATGTACAATAAAAAAAAAAAAAAGAAGAGAGGAAAAGTAAAAAAGAAGAGCATTCTAGGATGAAAGTAATCTCCAGAAAATGTTAATAAATTGTATTTCTGAGCCGAACAAATCAGTATTGATACAAACCGATACAGTGTCACCATATGTTTAATATGCACACATATAGGTATCACTCGTTTCCATGCTTTGGTCACTGCAAATACTCGAAATAACATGGAATATTACTACAGCAATGTTTTTTCGTTATGTTCATTCCACTGAGCATCTCAAATCTACTCTTGTTACATTAATTTGTTTCTTGCCACGTCCCACGCACACGCCTTGTTGGCTTGTGTAAAAATTAACCTGTGAAACGTTAAGAAAAAAAAAAAAGGAAGGAAAGTTGTATAGTATTTACGAAACTGATGATTTTATCGAGGCTGTTCACGTCAATAGTTTTTTTCAGTCCATTTTCTCGACAGCAACGAAATTTGTTGCACCAAAATCTTTTGAGACTAATCTTGATGCAATGCCTGAGTTTGTTTTTGAGGATGATGGAGTACATAAACTACTTCGCAATCTTAAATCTCATTCAACCACGGGGCCTGACGGCATACCCAATCATGTCCTAAAGATGTGTGCTGCAGCAATTTCACCTTTTTCTAGTTATTATTTTCAACAAATCACTCTTTTCTAGCAGGCTGGCATCAATATGAAAAAGTGCAAATGCTCTGCCTATTCATAAGTCAGGCCAAAAAAGACAAGTTTCTAATCACAGGCCCATCGCCCAGCGCGGTTTCCGGTCTGGTTTATCGTGCACCACGGAGCTGATAGAATTTGCACATGATCTTTCACTTTCCCTAGACAAAAATGTTTGGGTTGATTGCATGCTTCTAGCCTTTCAAAAGGCAATCGATAAGGTACCTCGCTCACTTCTCATGCACAAAACCTTCTTGGGTGGATATATAATTGCTTATCCAATCATATACAAAATGTAGTCAATGGCGGTCAAAATTCTCCGTACACTGATGTAACCTCAAGTGTCCCCCAAAGGTCCGTACTTGGGCCACTTCTGTTTTTGATATATATCGACATAGCACAAAATTGAACAAGCAACAGACATTCATATGATGATGTTTGTGTTATTTATAGACAGGCTAAAAGCGAGGATGATTCTATTTTTCTATTTTACTTTAGTCAGACCTCGAAAAAGTAATGAATTGGTGTGACAAATGGGAAAAGTTCTTAAATATCAATAAATATAATTATGTTAGATTCACCACAAAAAAGAGACCATTTCATTCGAGATACAAACTGAACGGTGTTGTTCTCCAGGAAGTTAAAGATGTAAAATATTCAAGAGTTTATTTTAGCAGCCATCTAGCAGGCGAATTGCATAATAAATTTTGTCAAACAGAACTTCAAAAAGACCCCGGCCAATATTAAAGAGCTGTTATGCATAGCCAATGTTAGGCTAATCTGAGTATGCATATCCAGTGTGGGACCCATATTACCTAAATTTAACATCCCAACTAGAACGCATGCAAAATAGAGCAGCTCGTTTTGTCAAACAAATAATTATGAATTTCGCTCGAGCGTAACACATTTGAACAAACAACGGAATGGAAACCGTTAGATTTGTGGAGAAATTGTCTTCGAATAAAACTTCTAAGAAATGCTTCCTTAAAACAATCAGGTATAATAATGAATAACTATTTTCATAATCCTGATTACCTTTCCTTAAGACCATCTGCTAAAGATTAAAAAAAAAAAGAATAAATAAATATTAGGTGCAGAACTGAAATATTTAAAAACTCTTTTTTTTCCAAATCGATTAGTGATTGAAATTGTCTTCTACAGCACGTGGTCACCGAGACTTTGTATGAAGTATTTTCTTCTTTGTTATCGCACATGCTTTAATATTGATGTGCTGCAGTCCATTTCTTTTTACTGTGTCTTATGATGCTTGAAACAGTCTTATTGCACTTCCTTCATGCACTGTTAGTCTTTTATTCACACGCTCATTATAAGTGACAAATTGTTTTATTTTCTGTAACATATACCCCCTACAATAATGTCCTCGTTGCGATGTAGGCACTGTGTAAATAGGTAAATAAAGATATGTACCGAGACTACCTACAGCTTGTTTCACATTATGTGCAAGTGAAGCCGAAGCTATAAGCACGAGCATGTTGCCCCGAATGATGCCTGCACTGCATGAGCACGCACACTTGGCAGGCATGCTGATAGCCGGGAACCCACTCTTGTAGCTCCTGCTGTGCCTGCACTTGCACTGAAACGGGGGCCAGGCGGCAGCCAGTCGTACCTTAAGCTTGATCAGGAGACGGCAGAAGAACCTCACGGGGTTAGCTGGCACCTCTGGGGAAACCTTCTCGAGGCAAGCGCACTCCACCTTGTGGTCGGGCCAGGCTGCAGCCTGCCCAGAAATGGGGGTACGGAAGTTGCTAATAGCTCAGGCCTTGCAGACAAAATGAGGTCGGTAAGCCAGGCGTGTGCAGTAATAAAGTATGTTTCAATAACAGCTTCCGTTTCGCAAAGTAAATTTTTGACTGTATTTTCCGTGATCAAAGGTATCTATTTTACGCTTTTACTTTTGCCTGCTCTTTGCTGACACAACCCTCAGATATACAAAAATGGGTGAAAATTGCATAAAGAAGATGCAAACATACAACTTCTTTTTTACTGCCAATGTCAAACAGTCAGATATTTAACAGCGTTTTACTTTCCCACCGATTAGTTTACATAAAACTGCCCAAATCTTGAGTACTACATAATTATGATGAGAGTGAAAATATGTAGGCGAGCTAGTAAATTAACTCCATAATAATAGTAATAAAAAAAAAAAGGCGAGACTGTGAATAAATAAAATAAGGCTGTGGCTAGGGCTCCGTCCAGGCGGAACCCTAGCCACAGCCTTAAAAGGCAATTACTGTCGTTCTGTCTGGATGAAATTCTACTAGGTCTTCTGTTGTTCCGTCTGGGTGGAGCTCTACTGCATCTGCTAACTTTCCGTCTGTACGGAACTTTGCTGGGCCTGCTATTGTTCCGTCTGGACAGAAGTCTACAGCATCTGATATTGTTCTGTCTGGACGAAACTCTAGACACTCCCATAACATAACAGTCCAGCAGGCACTCGACACCACCTCAGAACACATAATTATGAGGTGATGTCTGTGGAAAGGGCAAGCCCTCTTCCTCCCTTTGAGGGGTGTTTTTTGTTTGTCTGTTATACTTCGTCTCACCCTACGATGGACTAAAGGCCAAAGCTACGGACCGCCAGATCCAATCACAATCCACTTAGAAATTGTGCGGTATTTCGCTTCGATGACCGTATCGGTGCCCGCGTCTCGAATCACTGATGAGGGGATGGTGGACAGTGGTTCGAATCGAAGAGCACTGAGTGACTCAACAATTTTACATCGCAAAGAAAGCCACGACATAGAGGCTCTTTGCAGCGTCGAAGCCATAGAAATGATGCGGCGCTTTTGGATTCGAGCATTATTCGTCCACCCCTAATCAGTGTTAAGCGTGCCATAGTATAGCGTGGAACGTGATTGGATTTGACGGCCCGTGGCTTTGGCCTTTAGTCCATCGTAGGATGAGACAGAGTAGAGGGCAAAGGGAAGCCGAGAGAGGAAAAGAGCTGCCACCAGCAAAAAAAAAAAAAAAATTCTATCATCGCTTAAAAAAAAAGAAAAAAGTTATTAATTATACAGCAGGAGTTTAGTCGACCTGAAAATTTTACCAGTGCAGTAGGACTGCTAGTCTGGGGTAACGTGCATCACGCAGTAGTGGCGTAATAGGGACTTTTAGCAAACCGTTACCGTATTCCTCGTACCGCACTTCAAAGGCAAAAGCCTTTGAAGCATGCTTTTAAGCGCGCGCCCCGCGGTCAAGGTAATAATATCTCACCAGTCAAGACCGTAGTGAGATATCCGACGAGAAGGAAGACGCGCAGAGCTCTCCCACGAGCATTGCCACGAGCGAGCGCTTGACGATTCCAAACGGAGACGAGGGAAACGTTTTTCCATCCGTCTCGGTTATGTGGTGGTGGACTCGTTCTCACGCTGAGCACAAGCCTGCACCCTCCCCGAAAGTCACGCAGCTCATCAGGCAGGCCGCCAAGCAGACGAAACCGGTAAGTGGTGTCGCGTTCGACGACACGCCAAACCCACCTGGCACTCCTTCCCGCAGAAGTAGAGTATCTTGCACCTCGAACATCGCCGAAGGTTTTCCGAGCTGGATGCCAAAGCCGTCGGCCAGTTAGCACAAAGTCAAAAAGAGATCGTGTCGCTTCTTCAGAAGGCGCGCGCTTACCCGGAGAAACAGAAGTCGCAGATCCGGCCCCTCCGCTCTTTTTCTGAGATGTAAACAAACGGATGGGAGGTCAGAATTTCCGTTCCTCGCGCGTACTTTAGCATGGCAGGCAAAAGTGCTAACTGCAAGGACAGACTTTAGAGCAACGATTCGCGTGAATCGTATCACCGCGGGCAAAATCGCGAGAACACTCACACAGCGCTCAGAGTCACTAGCTTGGCTTGGATGTGATCGTGGATAGGATACTGGATATAAAGTAAACAACGTAAACAACGACTCGATTTGAGAGGTTTGAGTTTGCCATGTTTACCAGTTTGTCCCAACTATGCGTTGAAAGTACTCAACATCGCAAGGACTTAAGCGATATTAACTATACCAATCGGTTGAACCATGGGTTTTGTTTATTTACGCACTACGCTACGACGCTACGACCGACCAAGGTCGCTACTATGGGTCGCTACGGTCGCTAAGGCTTTTGTTTATGTTATGAAAGTTGCGAGTGTAGCCGGAAACATAGCCGCATCCAGTGAACTCTTCCCGTCCTCCGGAGTTCGGTGCTCTTGTCCTACGAAATCCATGCCCCGTGACCGAGAGCAATCCCTTTCGCCGTTTACTTTACTCCTAGCACCGCGTTTTTAGTCGCCTCATTGACGCCTTGCGAGGGCATGTGATATTCCGCCGGGGTAGGGGACTCGTAGCTCGAGCGGTTCCTCTTGAGTGCTCTTTCGACATGTCGTCAATGTTGGAGCACTTCGAGGACCTTTGCTTCAACACTCCGTACTGGGAGTACTGGGACCACGTAGTGCACTCGTCCTTTCCGCTCGTCTTGAGGCACTTGTACGAGCATCACCTGGTAAGCTCGCGGGGCCGCCGACGGCCGCACCGACCTTCGCGTGTAACTTCTTGCTTCCTCGCAGGTCACGATATGCAGCTTGGCGTTGGTGGTCCTCGCCGTCGTCTTGGGCGTCGTACTCTTCTTTAGGAAAATAAAAAGCAGAGGTGAGCGCTCGATCGCTCGGGTTCCCGCCCTGGGTTTTCGCTTTGTCTCGCTGTGGAGCCGCCTCGGTGGCTCGGAGGCAAAGTAGGGAGGCTCAAGTGAGGGTGGGTGCAACTGCTAGATCGGGGATCACGGGACATGGATGCCATTTAATTGCTAAATTTTGCTGGGAGTCTATGGGGAAAAGGGTCGTTTTATTTCCTAACTCAGGTCATAGGAACCCATTAATGTGCTTGAATAATTTACACAAGGTATAAATGAGTACTTTTCCATAGCCACCAGTTTTGTTGCGATAGGTTAAGTATTTTTTTAACGCGAAAAATGGTAAATTCCGCCATCTTGGACGTTGCTGCTTGTCTGGCAACCCTGCTTTCTTCTCTCGACGTTTGCAATACTCTGAGCGAGAAGGAAGCGAGAGAGGCTGCGCCAGGGCATTCGTTGCTTGCAATGGGAGGCGAGAGAAGGAAACGTGCACGGAGCAACAAAGTTGCAACAGAGCGGGCGTCTGCTCTCGTGCAAGCAACACTGGCGCATATCCTTTCCCGAATCCTCTCCCTCAGGTGCCGCCATTAAATTGCAAACGCTCTCCAGGTTTTGAGTTGCACCCACCCTCACTAGAGCCTCCCTAAGGCAAAGGGCCGGGCTACGGGTCCCCAGGTGGCGGGTTCGAACCCCAGCCGAGGTGCCCGCAATTCGATGGATGCTTTTGCGGAGAAGGCTTTCTGAAACCGAGCCCTCGCTTGTTAAATTTAATCCTCAGTCCTCAGCTGGGGCGCGTGCCAGATGCTCTTCCTTGGTTTGACTCGCGAAAAACCCCAAGTTTGTTGTCTCGCAGTGGACAGGGTCAGGGCCCAGATGCTAGGTTCGTCGAGGCCTCGGTTCCGCAAGAGGGACAAGGTGCTTTTCTACGGCCGGAAGATGCTGAGGAAGGTGAGGCCCTCGAAACACCTTCTGCTGCTCGATGCCTCATCCCTGTGTCCCTTTGCAGGTAAACTTTCTGACAGACCAGGCTTCCAGTGGAAGGACCCGCTTGCGCAAGAGGCAGATGGTCCTCCGCTTCGCCAAAAAGTGAGGCGCTGGTCGGCCACTCGAGAGATATCCTCCGAGCATGATGCTATTTTAGGGCGACATCAATAGCTATAAATCTTTGGGCCACCTTTGCAGTCTATGCTCCATCTTGGTTGTTGAGTGCTGCACAACTGTCTTGGTTGTGAGAATGGAGCTCTGCGGAATGCCTCGTTTGCTAGAGTGAAGCACTTTCTGGAGCCACATGAAGGCACGTGGAAAGGAAGTCGGTGCATATGATCCTTCCCTCCCTTCTGCAAATTTCTTGTGATGTGCACTTTCCAAGTTGCTATTGGCCGCAGAGATTTTTTCTTCTCCCCGCTTCGCTGCTTCTGCGACCGTAAGTCGCAGATGCAGAAGTGCATCTTGCGAGTTGAACCAAGCAAATAACCCAGAGCCAAGACATAAAGCCCATCTCAATAATCAGCGTTGTCAATTATCCACAGAGTGGGCCAATGACAATGTGAGAGCCATAAGCTTTTCTTTTCGTGCTTGAAAATCGGTGCATGTAAACAAAAACTGTTACTACCTGTTTGATACTTAGTGAACTTGGAGGGTTTATGCTAAATGCTAGTTTACCAAAGTGAAAAGAAAAACAAAATTGCAGGAAGATCCATTGGTGGATTCTTAGAGAATGCGTTAGCATGACTTATGAAATGCCACACATGTTCCCTTTTGGGAAACGCCAGTGCGCTTTTCTTCACTTTTCTGTTTTGGTTTTGTCTTTTACTTCTATTTTTTGCTGCCTCTTTTTGGCTTTCTGACAGGGTCAGTGTTAGCGTTTCCCAAGGGTCATGCTAACACATTCCCTAAAAATCCACTAATAGATCTTCCTGTAATTTTTTTAACCCCTTTTCTGCACTCCGCCTGTCAAAGTGTGTCAGTGCTCTTGGATACGGTCATCCATATCACTTGTGGAAAGAACCACATCCATATCACTCGGGGAGGGAACTGCATCCATCGTTTTGACTACACCCACGCAGCACAGCCACCACACTACTACTAAAAAAACCCATAGCGAAAAACATCCAGCGACGGCAGAGCAGCAACTGAGCATGCCTGCAATCCACCACACCTTGGTGCTTCCTCCTTTCTGGCTCCGTGCCAGCTTTGCGACACTTTTTTGACAAAAGCAAAAATGCTTGTTTTGACGAAAACTCGGCGGTGTCTGTCAGTTTGTCAGTGCTGGGAGGAGAGGGAGAAGGTGATGCGTGCTGACATCAGCGCTTCGGACCAATGGGAGCGTCGCTCGCGTCACCCTCTCCCCTCTGTTGCCCTCTCTCCCCGGTGCTGACAAACTGACAGACATCGCTGGATTTCCGTCAAAATAATTGTTCTATTGCGAATGCATTAACCCCTTAAGCGCCAAATTTCTTTTTCCAAAAGTAATCTAAGAGGGCCATATCTTTTTTTTTTTTTTAATTGTTCTTCCTCTAGTATTACACATAAAATTTGAAAAGTTTATTACGCAAAAATCAGCGGAGGCGAAAAAAATATTTGCCAACTAAAACGAGTGCTGCCATCTATGATCAGCGCTGCAAAACTACTCGGACGAGCCTAACTCGTCCGTGGAATTGAGGGCTACCGAAAAAATTACTGGACGAGGTGAGCTCGTCCACGGCATTTTTAGCCAGAAAGTGGCCGACGAGCTCAGCTCGTCCAAGACACTTAAGGGATTAAAAAAAAAGTCTTTCATAATATTATGGAGATGTAGCCTGTTTGCTTTGTTAGGTCCCTCCAATGAGTCTCCAGCGTTAGCTTTGCTATAGTGAAAAGAGGTGGGAGGAGCTTCCACTTCCTTCTTGACCTGTCGCCGACTATAGAGCTCTCATGCCTTAGTGGGGGGGTAGGAGGTGAGTGGTCTGCAGATCTCTCTGCAGACCACTCACCCCCCAGCCAAATGCCTCCCCCCCTCTCCCACAAGCCTGACCCATACTTCCTCTCACAAGCCTGACCCGTAAAGCTGCTGCTGCTGTGGACACGCCGGGTGACGGTGCCCCTTGTTTGCCCACAGGCTGCTGCGCCTGAAGCGGGAGCAGCCGCTCACCCTGCAGGTGAAGGAGCCTTCCCAGGCCTTCTTAGAGGAAGACTACACGGAGCAGATGGAGAAGCGGCTGCCTCCAGATGTCCTCTACATGCTGCGCAGCGTCAGGTGCGCCCCCTTTGTTTCTCCTTGCACTTTTTGAGAGGCTGTGCCCCAGACGTCTCTGCTCGTCATCCAGCCATCTTGGAAAGACAGAACCGAAATCTTGACTCGCATCTTGATGCTCACATTTGGGGTTTGCATCAGCCGCCGAGGTCCTTAGCCAACTCCTCAGTTTATATATTAATGCGAAAGCATTAGCTATCCGATGAAGCGCCGCCGGCATTGTTTGTGACTTTTACAAACGGGCAACTAATTTGACAGCCATGGATCGCAGCTGGCATTGTTTGTGATCGCGAAAGACAAACAACTAAAGCGAGGGTGGCACGCGCTTGGCATCTCTCTCCCCCCTCTTGGGTCACGTGTCAGGCATTGCCGGAGGCTCAAAAGGGGGGCGAGGGGGTAAGGGGGAGCTGGAAATTCCTGCTCTTAACACTCTGCCGCTGCTCTTGTGTCAGGGTTCGAGGGGGGGGGGGGGGGGGGGGGGAAGGTGCTGCAACCGCTTCTGCCCCTCTTGGCGCCGAGGAACATGGTGGCGCCTGAGGCATCTATATCGGCGGCGGCCACAACCTTGGCAGTAGTGAAACATGGCCGTCCATGCCTGCACACCGCAGATGAACTAAAGGGGTGGAAGAGTGACGTTCATGCTTTCGCATATACAATTCATAAGAAGTGCTTAGATGTCTTTCATGTTTTTTTTATTTGACATTTATATATTTCAATACCCCCTTTGTCCAGACTGAAGGGATGGATGTAAAAATTTGCATTAAATAAGCGGTCAAAGCATGAACTAAAAGTTATGGGAAGCAGCTGTGCAAAATAGACCGGGACAACAGAGAGGACATACAGAAAGAGAAACAAGGGCACTGAATCCCTCATCTGTAGTTTGTATCTAGTACTAGATGAATAGTTACTACGGTCAAATCTCGATAGAACAAATTTCTTCGGACTCGCGAAAATCGTTCGTTATTTTGAAATTATCGTTATAGTGAAAAACTCGTAAATTGTAATTATATCTGAGCAAAAATGACCTACCTTTGCAATAGGAATATCCGGACGCTTGGTTTTATCCGAAACACAAAACAAAAAATGCTTTACGTAATTGAACACTACACATTAATTGAAAGAAATCAGAAAAATTCTGATAGGTCTAGCACAACGCTACAGGAAGAACGATTTGATGTCGTCCACCTTGTTGACGGCCTTGGTCATACTGGCACCACTCACGCGATTGAACACGGCACAGTTACTAGGAGAAATCCGAAATCTTCTTCTGGTAGGTGTAGCACAAACGCTGCAGGGTGAACGATTCAATGTCGTCCACCTTCCTGTGGAGGGCCTCGGTCGCACTAGTACACCTTCTAAGAAATATGCACAACTTGCTGATGGCACTAAGGACATCGGAGGTGGAGACCGATTCTTCCTGCTGATCCGTGACGATGACCAAATTCGTGACGGACAGGAGTGTACGAGCAGCACACCTTGCGTCCGGAACAGTCCACGTGAAGGAGAGGTCTGACAGGAATGTGAAGTTAGGTGGGTAAGGTTAGGATTTGTTTCCCGGCTCGATCTTTGATGATGGTTGGGCGTTGCGGGAGCCGCCAAGCGGCCAAAATGTGCGTCTTTCTGTAATTTAAAATTGTTTTCGCCATCCATCGTTGCTTTTGACCGTTTTCTTGCGATATAAATTTTAATAGTGAGGTGTTGTTCGCATATAAGAGCATTTAAATTACGTGTGTTATTCTGAAATATTCGGCATTTTGAAATTCGTAGTACTGAAATATTTTGCATTGAAACCAATAGGCATTTGGAAGAGGATTTTTGAGATGTTTGTAAATCTGAAAAATGTGTTATAATGACGTTCGCAATCACGAGATTTGACTGTACTCATCTGTACTACTCTGTATACAGGTAAGTTGTTAGTCAGCACCTTTGTATGTCTTTCTGTATGTCTCCCCTGTCGTCCTGGTCTATTTGCTTTGTTTCTTCCCATAGTAAATCACTAACTTGCCCAAGCTTCCATCTTAACAAGCTAAGAAAGCAAATTTGTTAAAAAATAATCAGTCTGCCGTGGTATTAGCAAAGACGATTAGTTAACACCCCTTTAGATCAATAAGCGAATGGTATGTGCACGAAAGATGCTGGAAGCTGGTTTCTTCCGGAGTATCTTGGCATGAAGGAATGAATGTAAACTGACATTTCACGATGAGGTATGCCGACTTTAAAATTGTGGTCGGCTCATTGTAGATGTCCTAGATGACTTTCAAATGAATGGCACTCGTCATGACATGCCATCTAGCTCCTCGTTTTAGCTGCTTGCTTCTACACATTCTCACCCTTTCTACTCTAAGTTTTAAGGGGTGAAACCGATTGCTAGAATACAGTTTCAGGGAATACTTGAGTTCTCTGTCTCGTGGGTTCGGTCCTGTAGCCACCTCGATGGCTGCGAGGCAAAGCACCAGTTTACTGATACCCAGGCGGCGGGTTGGAATCCCGGCCGAGGTGCCCGCAATCTGGCGGAGTAGGGGCGGCCCTGCGAGTTAGTCTATACTTAAATAGACTGGAACTTTTAAAAAAACACAGACGGAAGATATAAAATTAGTTTCTTGGAAAAAAGACTATTCAGAAGCCAACCATCGCCGATGTTGTCCAAAAAAGTGTCTGATTTAATCCTTTCTTACTTTTCTTGCCTCGACAAATGTTTACCGAGCGGTTGCGACGGTAGCTGATGTTTTGTTCATTTGAGAGATGTAGCGGGGTAGTGGCCACGGGGCCCTGTGGGTGGGAGGAAGTTGAGCGTGGGGACTTTCGGCTGGTTGCAGGGTGTTCGGTTTCTTCGAGAAGCCCGTCTTCATGGAGCTGTGGAAGCACATTGAGACCATTTTCGTCCCGCGAGGTACCATGCTCTTCTCCCTGGGAGACAGTGACGACAGCATCTATGTGGTGCAGTCGGGGCGAATCCACGTGCACATCGTGGAACCGGTGAGTCCCCTCCTTCTTGCACTTTTGCAGCGCTGCCATTCATGCCTGCAGGTCTGGGAAGCTTTCTCGGCCTTTGGAGAGCTTGGCAAAAACGGAGCATTGTGCGTTAGATCCATGCAAATATTCTAGAGTTTTAAGTAGAGATTTGAACAAGTCAGGTTGCCTTGGTGAGGAACTACACGGGAGTGGCAAAGCATGTTTGTTGTGCAAGTCACTTTGTTGGAAGGATTGAGTGCGAAAAATTGAACTCCCGAATGTGAGCCATTGTTTAATGGTGCGCCTGCGTGACATATAGGCTGTTTTGGTGTGGTTCCATTGTTTCTGTCGGTTTAACTTAGATTCCCCTGTCTTAAGGCAAGCCGCTCATAGATAGCTATCCTCCTTTTCATATTTCAATCAGTCTTTCTGTTCGTCAAATAGGAATTCGTTGTAGCGGTCATAACTCCTTGAACTCATGGGAAATGGGCCAGGGCTTTGTGCTCTATTTCAGTAAACGGGCATTCTAATAGTACAGTGTAGACCGCATATAACGTATGTCGCGGGAGTCGCGAAAATCCGCACTATAAGCGGTACCGCGTTATAACCAAAACATAAATTTTTCAGGCCAAAATACATGCCATGAGACAACTTACCTTTGTAAAAGAATTTATTTTATGTTAGATGAAAAATAAAGCTTAGTTTGAGGAAAGTCTTTATTTCACCAGACTAGTACACTTCTTTCTCAAGTGTGTCACACATTTTGAAAGAAATGAGCGACTTTTGCCTGGCGCATTCTTTTAACGGCGTCGCGGGTTGCGGATGGACGTTGCGAGCGTTCAGGATTGCTAACCCTAATCACTTTTCTCTGGTGATGAAAACGCATGAAAATTCGCATCCTTTATACGGTACGCGCCAGTAATACCTTCAACTTTAGAACAGGCATGAAATGCTCCAAATAAGAAATCTGGGCGATGTTCGAAAACACAAACGCTTAGAAAGCACCACTGTAGGCGGAAGTAAACAAACACGACCACACGGGTGTTTCTGCCGTCTTGAGAGTGCCGCCATGACATCGCCGCACGAGTAGGTGGATCTTCCCTTCTAGTACATGCTGGGTTATCATAGCGACACACAACGAAAATTCACAGTCAACAGTCATTCACAATTCAGTCATTTCACAATTCACAGTCACAACGAAAATTCACGCTTTTACGCGGAACGATGAGCTTCCACCACGCTGTCTACGTCGACGATCCCAACCGACGCCATGCTTGCGGATAGAAGAAGCCGGTCCCGCGTCCGGCATGCAACGCGCTCCAACACTTCACCTCGACTTGCGATTGGCCTGTCGTTGCGGTTGTTTCCAACGCAGCGGGGGGACGCACGCACGTGAACGACACGTGCGTGTGTCCCCCCGTCACTATGGCAACTGAAGCCTCTCTCTTCGCTTCTTCGAGCAAACTCCTTGCCCCGCGAGTGCCGCTAGCGGCTAGCCAGGCTAGTGTCGCACAGGGAAGCGTGCTCGCTGCGCCAATCGGTCGGCGCGGTCGGCGCGCTGTTCCAGAAACCGCACTATAACCGGTATTTCCCTTCGCGCGCCTGCATTTTAAGCGGTATGTAATTACATGGAGTTCTATGGGAGGCGAACCGGTGGTTTAAAAAGGCCGCGTTATACTTGGTCCTGCACTATAAGCGGTTACGTTGTAAGTGGTCTATACTGTAGTGACATTCGTCATCGAGGCATTAGACTTATTGATCTATTCCGTTCGGCCTTTAAACTAAAAAAAAATATGTGTGCTCTAAGTTTCTAAATTTGTTGCATATTAATTAGACTACTTGAGCTGCATTACTGTCGGATTAGAAATAGATCCAGCCCTGGAATTTTTTTATGATGCGTGCTTATCGAGACACCAAAAGTTTGAAATAGGCTGTATCTGGAGCTCTCTTCTGCTTGTTGGAGGCAGCCGAGGTCTCAAGGTCAAGCTATTTGAGACTGTTGCTAGCTGATCTACTGTGTCCCGCAGTGTCCTGTAGCCTAGGAACTTGGGCATATTCCTTAGCAAGTGGTATCTAGCCTCCGGCAAGACTCCAAGAACACTATGACAGTCCAGATACTCGGTCATGCAATTTGTTGCCTGTATAGTTTCTAGCGTGGTTTCACGGCAGAACAGCCGGCTCTGTGGAAGCAAGCACCGACAGTCTTTTCTGTTGTATCAACAAGCAGTTAAAAAGAAAGCCGATGCTGTTGGAAGTGGGGGACATTGGAACAGTGAATGACGGCGGGTAGGCCCCAGACAGATGGGAAGGAAGCAAGCAGTGACTTCAGTGCCAACCTTGGGAGGAGGCAGCTGTTTCGTTCACTTTCTCAGCCTCACTAGATGGTTCCCCTAGCTTACGAAGAGGGGTGCACTTACTCGAGAACGCACAAAAATATTTCACGGACGAGCAGACGCTTTGGGGTTTTCCTTCGATGCTGGCCTCCCAAATTAAAAGTGGTCCCTTCGGTTATCTCGTCGTTCTGAGTTGCCAAAAAGAAAACCCATGACTGGCGTGCGGACAATGTTTTCTCAGGACGGCACGGAGCTGACCTTCAAGGAAGTGACGGCCGGGGAGAACATTGCCAGTCTGCTCAGCGCTCTCGTGGTCTTGACGGTAAGTGGCTGGCTGCTTGAGCTGAGAGTGGCTGACTGAGTCCTTGGATGGCGCAGGGCGTCCCCTCCACCTTCAAGACTGTGGCCGCCCGTGCACTCGAAGACTCTTCAGTTCTCAGGTGGGCGCATTCCTCCTGGCTCTCTCCCCTTTTCTACCCGGTTCTGTCTCGAAATCCTTTTTTTCCCCTGCAATTTAGATGGGGAGTCTGGCAGTGGGAGAGGCTTATTCCGTCTGTTTTTAAAAGGGCAGTAAAGTGGATCTACGTGTCCTAAGCGCTTCAGCAAACCCAAAAATGCAATCATGCGAGGCCTTTTCCTTCATTAAATACGTGACCAAACATTGCAGCACGCCCCTTTCCTGAGATATGTGTCAGAAAAGGGGCATGTTGGCATGATTATAATGCAATTAAATGTAAAGGTGCAAGCGAGCTGGACAAGAATGACGAAAGTAATCCCTGGAGAAGGGGAACAAGTGGGACAAAGGACAAACAGAAATCTCCAAACACAGCTAGGTGACTGGTGCGCGACCGAAAAAATCCGCCTGGTCCGGGTATCGAACCCGGGACCTCTCCATTACAGGTGGAGCGCTCTACCAATTGAGCTAACCAGGGGTTAGACATCAGTAGAGCAAACAGGTTTTTATCAGCCGCCACCAGTCTTAACACCAACAAGGGTGAAGCTTGCAATTCATTATAATCATAACCTTAAATTGCAAGCTTCACCCTTGTTGGTGTTAGACTGGTGGCGGCTGATAAAAACCCGTTTGCTCTACTGATGTCTAACCCCCGGTTAGCTCAATTGGTAGAGCGCTCCACCTGTAATGGAGAGGTCCCGGGTTCGATACCCGGACCAGGCGGATTTTTTCGGTCGCTCACCAGTCACCTAGCTGTGTTTGGAGATTTCTGTTTGTCCTTTGTCCCACTTGTTCCCCTTCTCCAGGGATTATTTTCGTCATGTTGACATGTTTGGTTGCAGTTTTAGTGGGGAAATAAGTCACATGATTTTAATTTTGTGTTCTTTAAGATGCGCTGGCAACATAGATTAAGTTCAGATTATAAAAAGCCGTTCTCAATATTCACTTTTGTTCAGCTCTAAACTGGCCCTTGTAGTTCTCCGAATTGGGTTCTCTTTTTGGTCTCTGTCCTCGGCTTGTGCCTTTCCCTGTTTTCCTAGTTTGTGTCGCTTCGATGCATAACCGTGGGCCAAACTCTTCCACATTTCCCTCTAGTGTACATATGTGTTAGTCTTAAGGAGATTTCCAGGCATCGGACTCCTTCCAGCTAGCTAGGTGGGCGGGTCTTTGGCATTTTACTGCACGTGCCAGCTCCCGAAGTTTAGCCATCGTCCTCGTGGGCTCTGACCTCGGTTGCTTTGTGGCTCCAAAAGCGTGGCTCCTGGTTTGCAGGCTACGGTACGACAACTTCAAGATCCTGCTAACCAAATACCCAGACTCCATGGTGCGGCTGTGCCAGATCGTCATGATCCGGCTGCACAGGGTCACCTTCACGGCCCTCCACAACTACCTGGGACTCACCACCCAGCTCATGCGCACTGTGAGTCCCCTACCTGTCGCGGATGTGTTGGAACGGTTAACATCCTGCTTGTTTTAGGGGCGAAGCTCCTTAGGGTCTAGCCTTGTCCGTCCAATGTCCAGGCTCACATCGATTGCCATCCCATCTGTCTTCTTAAAAAAAGGAAAAGATGTTTGCGCAGTTGACAGGATTCGAACCTGTGCGGGGAGACCCCAATGGATTTCTAGTCCATCGCCTTAACCACTCGGCCACGACTGCGGGACGAGTAGGGGGCTCTGAGGTGTGGAAGTAACTCAAGAGCTGGGGATGTCCTGGATGAAACGTTGCATGTAGCCGCTCAACGTCTATACAGGACAAGGCGCTGCGGTCAAATGCGTATATATTAGCGTTAAACTTTGCATGCATTGGCTCAATGTTTATAGACGAGAGGGCGCTGCGGTCAAATGCTCAAATGCGTACATAACCACGTTGCATACCACACATTCTCTTTCCGACATGGACTGTCGACTTAAGTGGTGGAGATGCATTCCCACGGCTTCTAGCGGATCCATGCTGATCCGCTAGAACAGGGGTGGCCAAGCTGCGGCTCTTTCCGTGCTAAAGTGCGGCTGGCGGCTCCCTGTCTACAACCCCCCCCCCTTTCCACTTCTCCGCCTCCTTCCCGGTCACATGAGCACTTCCCCAGAAAGAAAAATGGAACGCGTTTTAAATCAAAAGACAGGCTGCGGTATGGTAGTCTTGTGCTACTACTTCCTTATGTACAGTTGAACTGCTTTTGATTGATAGATTAAAAGTAGTTTTAGTTTTTATTGCCCTGGACAACAGTCCGTCTTGCATCCCCCCCCCCCCCCCCCTGCGGCCCTTGGAAGTTTTATGGTTTTGTTTGCGGCTCTACAGACGGGTCAGCCTGGCCACCCCTGTGCTGGAAGAACCACTGGCTCTGCATTTTACCGACCATAAAGCAGTAATAATGAAGTCGAAATGCAACCCGGAATTCAGCACTACCTATGAGCAATAAAACAAAAATCAGCACCATCAGCACTACCTATGAACAAAATCAGTACCATGAGCACCAACAGAGCTTCGCCCCAATCAACATCATTCACCACGTAGAGACGCGGTCATTTTTGTTTCTCTTGACTGTGGCTGTTGTAGGGTACTTTGTTTGGTTTGCTGCCGGCTCCTTTGCACACCTGGTAGGCCGTTAGTTCAGAATGGGTATTAATTGCGAACAGACACGAAAGCGAAAGAACATATGCAGATATATCTTGAGGTTTGTCTCTGTGGAAGAGGTGTGATGTCATTCAGGTGATTTGGCAACCCGGGATGAGGGCGATTCGTCACATGCGCACTCGTCACAGGACGATTGGTCACAGGACGATTCGTCACATAGGAACATTCGTCACAGGATGACTCGTCATGCGGGCAACTGGTCACATCGATCGGGCTGGGGACGATAGTAAATTGTAAATCTCAACGACCGCCCTTCCCTGATGAGGAGTTTCACGACTTCCCACAGTGACCATAAACCAATAATTAGAAAAACTAATCTTACGATACTCATCCGCTTTTCCTTTCATCATATTAAGACTCTTCAGCAGGTTGACCTAAGTTACTGGGTTGAACGAGCAATGACCCGACTGGCAGCCAAATAAGTTTTTACTTTGCCTTGCATACACCTCTTCGAGAAAACCAATAAGATCGGAATCCTTTCTGCTGCATGCATATGTATGAGTACCCCTCGTGCAGGGGTCCATATCACAAGAGCGAATGACATTTTAGCGAACGGCGACATTTGAGCGAATGGTCGTTTTAGCGAATAACGGGGGCGTGCGTTAACCCATCCGTTGCGCTGCGCTTTACGCCGCTTCGCGGCGACAGTCTGCGGCAACTCATTACAAAAATATGAACTCACTGGCCCACCCGAAAACGCCGCTTCGCGGCGTTCGGCTGTTCGCTAAAGTGTCGTTCGATGAAACGTGGGCGTTCGCTAAAACGTCATTCGATCAAGTGAGTGCCTCCCCTCGTGCAGCTGCATGGCTCCACCTCTCTCTGTTGCGATCACCTCCATCCTTTTGAATATAGCCCGAGTTCGAAAATAGTCGCTTTTATATGGCCTCCCCATTCACCGTTTGGGACGGACCCAGAAGTTAAAACGTCTGCTACAAATTCTTCGACCTTGAGAAGCGAAAGGCATGCTAAGATAAGCGGTGACCCACTTTGTCAGGCCGAACCAATATTCAATGTTCGGGACCGAACCCGAAGCTAAAACGTTTGTTACAAATTCTTCGCCTTTCAGAAGCCAATGACATACTAAGATATGAGGTGAGGCACGTTGTCCGCCCGAACCAAATTGGACAATACATTTTTGGGGGGAAGAACTATTGTAGGACCGGTTGGCCGCTTGACGAGTCATCCTATGACGAATGTTCCTGTGTGACGAATCGTCCTATGACCAATCGTCCTGTGACGAATGCGCATGTGACGAATGGACCGTATCCCATTCAGGTGATTTGGCAACCCAGCTTGCAGCTTCCAGACTTAGTCATTGTAGTGTAATGTCCTAACCTATGTTGATGTGGAGCTTCCGATAACATGCATGAAAAAAGATAACTGCTTTCTCTAGCCTCCTCATAGTTTTATCTTACTCAAAAAAAAAAAGCACACTTGCCATATGGCGGGCTTCCCGCTAGCATAGAAGCAATAGTTACAATGGTGTGAGAACTGCTGCATTGAAAGGCTGGTTATGCAGAGGTGGATGACTGGCCAGGTAAGGCTCTTGACATGGGAATCCTTGTTGCTTGACATCCTCCAAACTGAAGGGCTGTTGCCAGGGGATGGTAATACTCATTGTAAGGCCAACTGATGCAGTTGCCTGGAACAATAAATAGGGGGGGGGAGGTGGGTTAACTTTGAGCAGACATGACAGTAGACCATCCTCCTAACATCTTAAAGATCAAACATTCTTCTCGCCAATGTCACTGAAGTTGTAGATTTGAAGCCGTTCAGAGATGCGTGAGCAGGAACCAAGGAGGCTATTTCTCCTCCTTTGACAGACGGCACCGGCCAAGCGTGCCCCAAACCTGTCGCCCAAGTCTAGCCCGTCCCGGGCTTCGAGTCGCAAGACGAGCCAAGCCAGTGGCTTTGTGATGGCCCCGGTGTCCATGGCCAGCTTCCCCGGTGAGATGGTGCACCACGAGGATCCCCTCCACGGTGAGTTGGCGACTGTCAGTTTCGGGTTCACCGTGGAGCAGGAGAGATCTTAGCGCGTCAAATGTAGCACCTTCTGAGTTCCAGTTGGGCTTACCGAGAGACAAACTCGATTGGTACACGGACAACTCGCAGTAGGTAAATACATGGGCAGTGTTAAGTTTGGGACAATTTTGAAATTTCCTAACGGCTTATAAATAATATTGCTCAGACTTGTTTATTTTTGTGTTGACCATCATATTTGAAAGAACCGCTGATCAGGCAAGGAGTAATAGTCTAGTTTTGTTAAGAAAGGGGAGCACCGTGCCCGCATTTTCTTTGCTGACACAGAACGGGGGGAGGGGGGGGGGGGGAAGTTTAGCTTTTTTATGAGTTTGCTTTTTGTTATGGGGACGGTCGCGCTTCTGCACGCCCCTGGGGGACCTATAAGATTTCGGCCAGGGCGCCGTGCTGGCGGGACCCGACTGTGCAGTGAACTCTACGAGCGTTGTGGTTCTGTCAGTCGAAGTCGGTTGCCGGCTTGACGAATGTCAGTGTCAACCTCCGATCCACCATTGGTCTTTCGGAATCACGTGCCTTCGTAAAGGTTTAAAATAATTGGTCGACCTCTACCCAAGGGTGAGGAAGTTGGGGCTTTCAAAAGCCAGGGGTGGAACGGCTGCGCCATTTGCGCCATTTTGCGCCAGACGCATGTGTCTGCGCCATCCTGCGCCATGTTGCAGAAACTGCGCCACAGACAATATCTCGCGCCATTATGCGCCAAATCGCAAAACGTGCGCCAAAAAAACGTTTTATTTTGTCTTGGTTTCAGTTTTTATCGACTCGATTGTCAACAATGAGGGCCTTTAGCCTGGTCGGCCTTGCAATCCCTTGTTCTGTTTATTCCCCTTGTCTATCCCGAGTCGGAAGCGCGCGAAAAAAACTCGGATTCTAAGCGCTACACCACCTGCGACTGGATTGTTACTCTTCAACCATAAGCGGTAGGGCAAGTAGGCCGAGGTGAGGTCGAGTCGTTAAGCGTCAAATTGCATGAGGCTCTGCGGCCCAGGATCCGGACGTCATCCAGTCGAAAGCAAATGAGCAAAATATTCCTTTTAGTGCTTCATCGTTAGGAGTTGGAACCGCATTCTTGCAAGATAAATCGTGATTTGATAGAACTGAAACGCGGTCCGATCCGAAACCTTGCCGGTCAGCGGCTCTACTTATCTGCTCGGCGTACTTTAACCTTGCTCCTGCTTATCGCTTTAAATACGATAACTTCGTTAATCGTAGCCTGCTGCCTCGATATCGAGTTGCACAATAGGATAAACTCGAAATTTGTTGCCCTGTTCCTCCGTGCAACTGCACGTCCATTGTTTACGCACGTCACGTGGTTCGCACATATAATTACTATGTCGAGCACGTGTGGGTTGTGCGATAAGCAGTGCTGGTTTGCATCTTGAGCGTCTGAAGGCCACTCAGAAAATATCAAGGACGCTGTCTTCAGAAACATAGGGTACTTGCTGTTTGATTCTCATTAAGGTTCACAAAGATTCAAGTTTTCGCATCTGTTACACTGTTATCCCCTCTACCTAGGTCCCTAACCGCTCATGTTCATCTCTGCTGCTAAGCACAATTGAAATTGCTTTCGTGCTTGTCTAAGATACAAGCTGAAGTGCAATGCAAACTGATCTGAGCTGCTCCTAGCCTGCTCCAGAATGTAGTTTTAGCTGCTCCCAACCTGCTCCAAAACAGCTGTTTCAGCTGCTCCCGTGGCTGCTCCCAAGTACATTTCATGAGTTCCACCCCTGAAAGCCCATGTCCGGGCCACGGAGGAGGTTTTTTGTTTTGGATTTGAACAGGAACAAGCGACTTGGGGTGACCCGGTCAATCTCTTTAGATCATCAGTATGTCTTTGTAAATACAGTTAAACATAAAGTTTTTGCCTTTTTAACGTATCATGCTTACTGTCCTTGCAATGTGCCGATAAGATAAAAAAAGAACAAGATGATAAAGAAGCAAGTGTGGCTGTTTTATTCCAGTTTATCGAAAGATGCACAATATATTTATTGGATACATAGTTGTGCCCAGTGGGCCTCACTGTGAGGGGAAGGTAGCTTTTCTTTCCGGTAAAAGATGGTACCCGAGAGAGTGTCAAATCGGAAGACGATGGGAGACGGAGAGAACTCATTTCAAACTTGTGCAACAACATTGGATCAACTCGGTTGGCAAACTTCCGATGACTCCCTCAGCCCACCGTCGACGCCGAGCTGTCTACTGGTATCTTGCGACACCAGTGGTGAATGAAGCTGCTGGCATATTTCTTTAGCGACAATTCAAAGGGCAGTAGCTACTTTGCACTTTAAGAAGTGGTCCTTTATAATCATTTTATTGCCACCCAACTTTAGAATCGAAATGGAAGAGGTTATGTTTTTACAGGGCAGTGTGCATGGGAGCTTGCCAACTGACGGCATCTAGAAACATTATTGACCTGGGTTGGAAATTAGCACTCTCGTAGACCGATGGTCACCAATTGGTTCCTGTTTATTTTGTTTGCCGCACCACTTATGAAGAATGTACCAGCTTACCACTTCCTCGGTTTGTACGCTTATTTACTATGCCCCGCCTGAAATCATCTTGGAACTGGCGATGGCATGGTTTCCTACCATTGCCTTTTGGGGGTAAATGGTATCAGTCCATTGTGGGCAGGAGTCTGACCTTGTGCCGAGAGACTGCACCATGCCAATGTTTGTGCCCCGAGGCAGCCATGTTGTCAGGATTTTGGTTCGAGGGGAGCTCGCGTATGACAAAATGCTGTATGAGGGGGAGGGGGAGAGGAAGCCCCAGCAAAATGGAAGATTTTGGAGGGGAAGCCTGGGCCCCATGGGCCCCCCCACCCTGGCTGCGTGCCTGCCCCGAAGTTTGGATGGGGACCCGGCTGATGGCATGCCCCGCCTTGCAGAGTCTGCCAGCCTCCCCGACACGGGCTCCTTCCACCTCTCCGACGAGATAACGGAAACCGAGAAGTACCCCAGCGAGGAGGTGTGTGGCTCCATCTACAGGACGGTACGTACACTGGTGCTTGGGTGTCGTGGGTGTTTGTTAAAGGGACCTCAGAGATTGCCGGCAGTGGTTTCACACGACGCGAGCTGAAAGAGAGAATGAGCAGTTGTCTCACATGACACGAAGTGCACGATTGAATCGTAGGACAAGATCCCCAAGTTGTGGCGGGCGGAGTTCGACGCACTCTTAAGAGAGAAAATGCAGGTTTGTAGTAAGGGCTGTACTCCATTTCATTATAACTAGGCAAAGAGCGAATGCTATGGCTCCCTGGAGCGAATCAGAGTGACAAAGCAAAAGCATGTCACAGCTTTCTGTTGCACGTATCTCTCCGATGATACATTGTCATGTGTCCCGTTCCAACACTCCAATGCTACAGCTCCATTGCTCCAATGCACTGTGACTATCACGTTTGCTTTTTGCCAAGTAGTGTTGAAATGGAGTCCTGCAGTGGCACTTTTAACAGGCACCATGGGGGGAGAAACGGCTGCGGTGTTATTGAATACAAACCAATCGGTCATTTCCTCTCTTCTGATCTGAGAACTTATTTTCAAAGTTGCATCGTAAATTGCGAAGCCTTTATTCCAACGTTATGGTATTTATCCAAAAAAATATCACATTAGATTGGGAACGCTTGTGCGGGCCTATGAAGAGCATTATGCTTGGGAATTGCGTCCTCCTAGTGCTCTCTCCTCCGACTTAATTTATGAGGCCGGACCTTCCTCTGGGGAATAGCAACCTCCGACAACCGCGGCGCCCGTGGGCCGCAAGACGTCGCTGTCCTCGGAAGGAACGTCTGCGCGCAAGCCTCCGCGCAAGACGTCCTTCTACCTCGGGGAGAGCGCCCGGGCCTCCTGCTCGTCTGCCCAGGAGTACCGGGACCACCTGGAGGAGGCTGTCCAGGGATTCATGGCCAGGCTGGACATTCAGGTGCGCTCTTTCGGGACCCTCTTTATGCGACTGCTAAGAGGAGCTCCCCAGCTAAAGTGGTGTATCATGGTCCTTAGATTACCCGAGGTCCGGTTTAGGTCACTGCGAGATCTAGTTTGCCTCTCGCAAAGCAAGCTAAGATAGCGTTCATAGACTGTTGGTCTGCTAACACTAGCAAAAAAAGCAGTTTGTCTGCTACGTAGCGTCATTAGCATGAAAATAAAACAAGAAAATACCGCATATTGTCTACTACAGTGTGGACCGCATATAACGTATGTCGCGGGAGTTGCGAAAATCCGCACTATAAGCGGTACCGCGCTATAACCAAAACATCAATTTTTCAGGCCAAAATACATGCCATCAAACAACTTACATTTGTAAAGAATTTATTTTATGTTAGATGAAAAATAAAGCTTAGTTTGAGGAAAGTCTTTATTTCACCAGACTAGTACACTTCTCTCTCAAGTGTGTCACACATTTTGAAAGAAATGAGCGACTTTCGCCTGGCGCAGCTTAACGGCGTCACGGGTTGCGGACGGACGTTGCGAGCGTTCAGGATGGTTAACCCTAATCACTTTTCTCCGGCGATAAAAACGCGTGAAAATTCGCATCCTTATACGGTACGCGCCAGTAATACCTTCAACTTGAGTACAGGCATGAAATGCTCCAAATAAGAAATCTGAGCGATGTTCGAAAACACAAATGCTTAGAAAGCACCACTATAGTCGAATTAAACACGACGACACGGGCGTTTTTGCCATCTGAGAGTGCCGCCACAACATCGCCGCACGAGTAGGTGTATCTTCCCTTCTAGTACGTGCTGGGTTATCATAGCGACACACAACGAAAATTCACAGTCAAGGATAGCGCTTTTACGCGGGACGATGAGTTCCCAACACGCCGTCTACGTTGGTCTACGTCGACGATCACAACCGATGCCATGTTCGCGGATAGAATCAGCCGACCCGCGATCGGCATGCAACGCGCGCGAACACTTCTCCTCGACCTGCAATTGGTCTGTCCTTGCGGTTGTTGGTTTCCAACACAGTGGAGGGACGCACGCACGTGAATGACACGTGCGTGCGTCCCTCCGTGAAGCCTCTCTCTTTGCTTCTCCCCGCTTCTTCGAGCGACCTCCTGGCCCCGCGAGTGCCGCTTGCGGCTCGCGCCGTTATCTAGTGTCGCACAGGGAAGCGTGCTCGCTGCGCGTCGGCGCGGTCGGCGGGCTATTCCAAAAACCGCACTATAACCGGTATCTCCCTTCGCGTGCCCGCATTTTAAGCGGTATGTAAATACATGGAGTTCTATGGGAGGCGAACCGGTGGTTTAAAAAAACCGCGTTATACCCGGTCCTGCACTATAAGCGATTACGTTGTAAGTGGTCTATACTGTAACAAACCAAAAAGTAGTGGATCGTCTGCTACGAACTGACTGCCACGGTGAAGTAAGGTAGGACGCAGGCTGAAATTGTGATTGTCTGCTACTATTTTACGTTGGAAGCCATTGACAGCCCAAGCTTCTTTTGTGAACCTCCAGTGTTTCTGCTGCCATGCACAAGCTGAAATCAACTGGTCTATGAAGAAGCATTAAGCACAAACTGATCAGAGGCCATGAGACCCCTCTTGCTATTAGTGTAATGGTGTAATGGTCTCATCAAAATATTGCCCAATTGTAAACTCGTGAGCGAGTAAAAAATTTCTCATTTGTCGATTTTGTGCGCCCAGCAGGAAGCTGCGATGCCACATCTAATTGGCAGCCAAGAATGCCGTCGCTCCCACCTTGACCAAAAATGGACCCCTGGTCTGGAATTTTGTTTTCTTTAGGAACAAATTGAAGTGCCATAAAGTGCACTACCGACATTAGGAGTCAGCCAATCGGGTCGCTCGGGGAACCTAACGGATGGATTTGGGTTTGGAGAAGCCACCGTGGAGAAAGTCTTTGGATGCGCCTACCCTCATAGAACCCTACGGACCTGTCGACAAGGTGGACGCTGGAAATACAATTTATGCTCGATTCCTAGGGGACATATTATTTTGGTTTAATTGAAAAGCCGCATAAAAGATGTGCTTCAAATATATTTTTTTTTTTTTAACTTTAAAGTATGAAAATAAAACTTTCTTTTGCTCCTACATGGATCAGTGCCACATGCGGTGATAAAATTTACTAGGGTTGAAACTGCTTTCCAGACCAGTAGGAAGTTTATCTAAGGACCATGGCGGTATTCACACGAGGGAGAAATCCCGCCATTTCTTCCCGGAGTGCGCCTCGCGTAACGAAGATGTCACGCTTTTCTAATACGGCGGAGGGAAGGCTCGTGCAAAAAATACCGGCTTGCGGCAGATCACTTTGCTTTTAAGAATACTTTGTTGTGAAAAACTTTGGTGTCAATTGTAGATGTTGCTAGATTCATCTGCTGCAATGTTAAGAATAGAGGCAACCGAATTTGGCTGCTTACGCCAACGTCGCTTCCGCCGCACCTCGTCCGTGTGAATGATGGAGATGATGAGGGAGTTACACTCACCGATGTCGTCATGCACGTCCCTCCGTGGATATATCTCCCGCGTGAATACTATCTGATGCGCTTGTTGCACCTGCCTTCGAATAGATGATTTGCAATTTTCCCAAGCGCCCCGGCTCTCGCGCTTGGAATTGTGGGAAAGACTGTCCCTTGCCTGGCCGCTCTGCCTTGAGATCTCATTGCCTTGTCGCTTGCCTCCTCTTAATCCTCTGTTTTTCGATTCTATTACCTATTTTTATCTATTCCAGTGTATTTTTTATTGTTCCTAAGTGTTTCTATTTTCTTCTGTGCACAATATTTCTTGTATATGTATAGTATTTATGTCTATTTTGACTTTTTCGACGGGAGTGCCGACGGACAACACACCGCTTCGCACGTCGTTCCCCGGGTGAGTATGTATACCGTTGCTAGGGATTAGTATCGTGCTGTTAACTGTTCATTTTGGTTCAACTTGACCCGCGTGCAGTCGAGAACAGCCGTTTATGAACACCCGCGCACATATCATAGGGGTAGGCAGAGCTCTGAATCAACAATCGCGACGCAAGATCTGAGTGCGCTGTGATTTGGCCACCCGCGCTCACTCTATTGACTCGTACTGTAGCGTGTGCCTTCGAGTGCCGCTTACTTGACCAAGATACAGCACGCCGCTTTGTTGCCGCGAATCATTTGTCCGAATGCTTGCGAAACCCTAACACCGTTCGGCATATCCAACGTTGCGGCGCCTGACAACTGCATGGAGCGACGCAAGCCCTTAGCAAGCGCCGGCGGTTCAACGTCGTGGCTTGTATGCGCCTTTGGCATGCATTCATGATCAGTCTGCTCGGCGGTTGTCAGTTGCTGACATCTTGACTCGAGCATCAGCTGACATCTTGATTTGAGAAATAAAATTATTCAAGGAACTATGAGTTTCAAGATGACTGCCTGGGTGACAGCACATCTTTGCACTTGAAAAAGGGTGTTTGCAACTGACAACCGCTTAGCAGATAGATTAAGAAGGCATACCATAAGCGCATACAAGCCGCGACGTTGGGTCACCAGCGTTTTCAAAGGGCTCGTGCCGCTGCGCGCAGTTTGTCAGCCACTGCACGTTGGTTATGATAAACGGTGTTACGGCTTCGCAGGCATTGGGACAAATGATTCGCGGCAACACATCTCTGCACTTGAAAAAAGGCGTTGGAAACTGACAGCCGCTTAGAAGATAGATTACGAAGGCATGCCATCGGCGCATTCAAGCCGTGACAATGAGCCGTCGGCGTTTGCGAAGGGATCGCGAAGGCACACGCTACATTGCGAGTCAACGGAGCAAGTGCGGGTGGCCAAATCACAGTGCACTCGGCTCTCGCGTTGCAATTGTTTTTCAGAGCTCTGCCTACCCTTATGACATGTGCGCAAGTATTCATAAACGGCTTTTCTCGACTGCACGGGGGTCAAATGAACCAAAATAAACAGCTAACAGCGCGATAGGAATCGGTTGCAATGGTAGTACTCATCCCGGGAATGACGTGCGAAGCGGCGTGTTGTCTGTCGGCACTCCCGTCAAAAAAGGCAAAATAAAGACACAAATACTATATATACAAGAAATATTGTGCGGAGAAGAGAATCGAAACACTTAGAAGCAATACAAAACACACTGGAATAGATAAAAAGAGGTAATGGAATCGAAAAGCAGATGATTCAGAGGAGGCAAGCGACAAGGCATTGCGGTCTCAAGGCAGAGCGGTCAGGCGAGGGACAATCTCTCCCAGCATTCCTCGCGCGCGGGCCGGGGCGCTCGAGGGATTTTGCAAAAGGTCTATTGATTAGTGGCCCTGAGCTGACGGTGTCTGTGCCCCTCCCCAGGACAGCGAGCTGATCCGCACCAAGGTGCTGGTGAAGGAGCTGATGCCCGGCGAGTACCTGAGCAAGGAGGAGTCCGGGGAGCCCGCCAGCCTCTGCTTTATCCTGGCCGGCGCCATCTCCGTGTCGCAGAAGACCACTGCCAAGGACACGGATGTATGTATGCCGTCTCCGGCCCGGCCCCCGGTTACCAAGCCGGGGAGAGTGGCACTTTTAGAGGGGGTACTGATGAGTGATGTCGCGCAGAACCAACCCAAATAACTCGCTGATTAAAGATACAATAAACTGTCATACCAGCAACAATGATGCAACTTTTTAAAAAAGGTACAAACTAAAAAAAGCTCTTTCTTTTAATTGTGCAGGATATTCCAGTCGGAACGGATGGGAGAAAAATATACTTTAATATGTCAGTCTGTGCAAAAAATTGAAAGTAACTACGGTATGTGCACCGGCTCATGTGAATTGTAGAAAAGCTCACTCAGCTGTCGCTAGGATCTTGTCTGAATTCCACAAATGCCTATGCAGTCTAAGAGATAGAATTGTTCAGCTAGTGAGTTTATCTCCGGACTATACGCGTGCCATAAATACAAATATGAAGGTGAAAAAAGGCAGATAGTGGGTGCAAGGCACTCCTCCTTGCGTTGCTGTTCTCTCGTGTCCCACCCAGAAGCACACACATGCTTTTGCTGGCCTGGATAATTCATGTACCAGTTCATTATGCAATAAACTTACGTATGTATGTGTGTACTGTCTTGGTGAGGCCCCCCCCAGCCGACACACGAACCATAATTTGACAAGTGCTTTCCCCCGTGTGAAAGGCCAGTGGGAGTCCTGCGGTTTCTGCCTTGCCTGGTGATGCTCCCTACAAGGGACAACTGTAACCATTTCAGGACATCCTGTACGTGGCCCACGTGGGGGACATGACGGGTGCCCTGGAGGTGCTGACGGGCGAGTCGCCCATCTTCACCCGGCGGGCCAAAATGCCCACCCGGGTCGGCATGATCGCCTCTACCCACTGCTACGAGTGAGTGCCCCAGTCTCCCTTCTGGGCCGGCCCAAACGGTCGGCCTGGGCTGGCCCATGCTCTGCCGTCTCGGTGGACCCTTTTCAAAAGAGTGGGCTACCTAGGAGCTGCTGCGCCAATTATCAAAGTCCGCCATTGCTTGGGCACGCATTCTGAGCATGTACCGGTCACGAGGGATGCGTCGGTGTTTGGCGTGAACTCAATTTGTATCGAAAACGAGCTCTGTATCGGCGTTTGGCGAGGATTCGGGTCCAATCGCACGCCTTATGCCCAAGGGATGGCGACTGCCAATGTTGCTCGATTGGGTTTTGAAGAAGTCCATTTCCCCCAAAAAAAATTTAATCTTCTAACCATTGTTGAAATTTCCAGATGTGCCCTTTCATCAATTGGTATGTTCTTCAGAAGCAGCTTCTGCAATGAGAACATGGGCAGGCCTTATCGCTACGTTTATTTCGCCGTTTGTTAAAGTTAAAGCACCACTGAACAAGGAGTTGAGTGACATATTATCACCCAAAGTACTCAACAACTGGTTGAGTAATGAGGCTTGTCATTGGGCTATTTGGTGCACCATGCTTGGGAAACAGCGCAAACATAGACAAACACGAAGAGGGGACGAGCGCTTGTTCGTGTCCCCTCTCTCGCATCCATCTCTGAACCGTGCTTGGAGTTAACTGTCGTGTGCTACATTGTCGAGGGTAGCATAGCTTCCACAGTATTCCCGCGCTGCTGTGAGAGCATGAGGCTGCTTCCTGTGTCTCATGCGCTCTTGCGCGAAGGAGACCCGAAACGTTGGAGCACTCCAGAAGCTACGCTAGTTTCAGCAACATAGTGCAAAATAGCTGACGCTGAGCACTGTATTTACTCGTATAATGAACACACTTTTTTCCCCGAAAAATGTACACATATTTAGGGGAGGCGTTCATTACACGGATAAAAATTTTGCATTTACACTCTTCCTGCAAATGTCATTTGTTGCCAATATGACACGGGAAGGTACTGTGGCACATCTCCACTGATGGAGGTGCAACCACGGCTGGTTGGGGGCGCGCCACAGTAACCGTGCTTTATAAATTGCGAACCTTTTTAGGGTGCTTTCCACGTTCCTTTTGCCGAAGGAGAAGCGCCCTGCGAAGCTCACTCAGCACGGAGAGCAACGCGACCATTTTTAGGCCGAACCACTTTTAAGATTTCACTGTCCGAAAGCAGACCACAGAAAACGGTGTGTTTGTTGACTTTGCATCCAATAGGTGAAGAATGTCTGGGGGTTGATCACTACCGCAACTACGCACTTGCAGCCATTATGAGAGCGGTACGGCTTGGCTTGGCTTGGCCTGACTGCTTGGCGGCAACAGAAAATTGGCTTGGTGGCTAGCTAAATTGAATGCAATTCAAGACTCGCAGAGCCGAAAATTGGATGTGTGTTCATTGCGCGAGGGGGGAAAAAAAGTTAGAATATTGGTGCCCGTCGTGGGAGCGCATTCATTATGCGAATGTGTTCATTATGCGAATAAATACGGCATATAGTAGAGGCTTTAGCGGTTGCACTCCAGTCAGAATGCAAAAATGCGTGTCTTGGGTAGTAGTATTGCATTAGGAGTGATACATTACCGTAACTTCATTACCCTGTTGCCAACTTTTAACTGTAACACATTACTTTCTGAAAATGTAACTTGCAACTGTAGTTCTCTTACTTTTCCTGAAGTCACGAGGAAAGTAACGACATCACTTTCATCGTTTCACCGTTACGACGTTCTTGTGTAATAGAAAAGTAACTAAAAAGTAATGCAGTTAGTCTTTTTAAGTAACTGTAACAAATTACATTTTGGTTGTGGTAAGTATAACGGTAAGGTTGCTATTTTTTTTCAAAGTAACCGTAACTGTAACAAATTAATTTTCAAAAGTGACTTACCTAAGACTGTGAAGAAGGCATTTTTGCTCCCTGCACGGTGCTGGTGCACAAAGTGTGCATGGTAGAACACGTGAGAACAAGGAAGGCGTGCCACCCATGCTTATACCGAGTCCTTCGTGGCAGGATCCTTCGACTGAACCCCAACGCGGTGCTGCACATTGCGAGGACCGTGATAGAGCGCCTGTCGCCGTTTGTGCGCCAGATTGACTTCGCCCTCGAGTGGATGTACATCGAGTCTGGTCGGGCCATTTACAGGTGAGCGGCATGCCTTGGACGCGGGTGAATCCCCAAGTCATATTTCGTCAAAATGCCTTACAAGGAAGGACAACCCTGCATGTATTGGCAGCAGCTAGCGAATCCGGGAGACCCAAGTACAACAGAAGCATGTGCGCCATTGAAAGGGATGGAAAGATAAACTAAGCTCTTCGGCTCACGGATTCAAAGAGCTAAAAATACGTGGAGCGGAGTGAATCGCAAAAGGAAAACGGCGGTCACAGCCGAGCGACTCGACGCATCACATTGGACGCATTGCGTGGCAGGTTTTTGGACGTTAGAGTGCAAAGGCAAACTCGACAAACGGGAAACTAATTCACATATGTCTGGCATTTTAACAGGACTGGCGTTCCTGAGCATAATGTCTGGGAAAGCATAAAAACTCTGACGGTGTCGCCAAGGTTCTACTGTATTTTTCTCTCTTTTCTTCAAACCTGTTGATAACCCGAAAATTCAATCGTTATAACCGATTATCATTGTATCTGACCTAAAAACTGAGCGTTTCTAGTCTGGAAACTCTTAAAAACTGATCGTTATAAGCAGCACATTGTTATATGTTGTGTCGTTATAAGTGGGTTGCACTGTAGTCTACTCGTTTTCACCTCAAGAACCACAGTAAAAGAAGTATGGCTTCTCGCGGAGCATTACTAATCTCCTTCTTTATGCTGAGAATTAAGATATATGTAGGTGTATTTTATATTGGATATATGTTACCTTATCAAGACGTGCACATTTCAAACGCCAAAAGCATCGCTCCTGCGTCCGACGACCAAATTTTGTGAGAACTACTTTGAGCGGCGTAGGAACATTGAGCAAAACTTCCTTTTTTTTTGTGGTGAAAACGGGTATAGGAAGATTACCCCAAGGGTATGATGGCAAATCATCTTTGGGAAATCTGAACAGTGTAGTCGGTGACAATTTCAGGGGAAGCTCCTTCCGCTTTTTTCCACTTATCCAGCATTCATTCTGCTTAAGTGGGAAGAGGTGGGAGGGGCTTCCCTCTCTTAACCTGTCACCGACCATAGTGAAAGTTGGAAAATGGTTTTCTGCCCCTTTCAGAGAATTAATGAAGGGGCGACTTTTTTCTTGCTGCATTATCGTCACCACGTGTCGTCTCTGGCCACTACAGGCAGGACGAGAAGGCGGAGTCCACCTGTATCGTCCTGAGTGGGCGGCTGCGTTCGGTGCTGACACGGGCCGACGGCAAAAAGGAGATGGTGGGAGAGTACGGCCGGGGCGACCTCGTTGGCGTGGTGAGCGCTCCACTTCTTCTCGCTTCTCATCGGCCATTACTTAGCGCCACGGGCGGGACACAAGAGCCCCACTCTGTCCGCGAATATAAGTGCCCAATCTTCGCTGTGGGTCAATCGCGAGAAGTTTCGGGAAGTATGCTGTTGTGACTCCGCCGTTCGGCCCTTTAGGCTTGGCGTTCGGGTGGATTGAGGTGCTCTAAAATTCTCTCAAAACATCCGTTCTTGGGGAGAGCATGTTTTGAGCGGGTGCAGGGTATACTTTCTTTTAAGTCTAACCCAGATGAAAATCGGTCCACCTGCAGCTGGATTGCGGAACTGGTTCTTGCTGAATCCAGCTGGAAATGAGACAACCCAGCTGAATCCAGCTAAGACCAGTTCTATAATCTAGCTGTAAGAGGACTGATTTGACCTAGGAAGTCATTTTGGGATTGCTAGCAGTACATGTTCCGACCACTACCGTCATGTCCGAATCAAGTGCAGTGTAGGAGGCTTTCGTGCGTCTTTTGGCACTACCACATGAACCTTGACCACTGCGGAATGTTGAGCCAAGGAAAGGGTAGGCAGCCCTGGCCATAGCACTGCAAACAGTCGTAGTGGGAGATTCCGATTTTCTTTCCTTTTTCCTCATCTGCAGGTGGAGCTCTTGACAGGAGCCAAACGTGCCACCACTGTCATGGCTGTCAGGTGAGCTCTTTCTTTGGACGTCGTTTTATAGCAGCATCCACCACCAAATGTGTGGCATTGGATCCCCCGATTAAAGATTCAATGTCTCAGTTTACATGGTTTTTGTATTATTTCAAGCTTCAAAAAATTATCCTCGGGTGTCTTGGGAGCAGCGAATTAAAAAGATGTCACAAAATTCTGAACAGATGCCCCCTAGAGTGAAGTAAGAAGTGGCAAAGAATATGGTGTGGGTGGTCTTTGGAATGAAAGATTGGAATGTTTTACAAAAGTGAGCGATAAACACGTGGGCAGCCGCTATGAATTCACGTGATACAGGAACGGATATACAGTAAAACCTCGTTAATTCAACCTCCGCTAATTCGGAAATTCGGATAATTTGAACTGCCGATCCGGTCCCGTCAAACGTGTGTATTAGTCAATGGCACCAAACGCTCATTAATTCGGAGGGAATGTGGTGCGCTATGGTTAATTTGGGTGAATTCGGCAGGTGGGGTTCAAGCTACCGTCCGTTCCAAAAGGTATGACCGCTATCCATCCCAGGTGCACACATGGTTTTTCCGGTTTTCCCATGGTTCTTTGCTATTCCGGTCTTCGTGTTTTGCACCAGTTTTGCTCTGGATTGCCGTGCATCAGCGTGCAACTCTCCTGACATGGAAAAAGTGTAGCACAAGTGATTGACGACCAGAGCGGCAAAATTGCGACACGCGGTGCTATTGTTCCCGAGTGCGCCGATAGCGAGAGTGACAGTCACGTTTCATGCCTCAACGCGGGGTGGCCGGCGGAAAGCAGCCCATCCTAAAGCCTGCATTTTAACAGCTATCTTATCCCTCAGTTTTTTGACGGTCACCCCACGTGCCCACGTTGGAACGTGCAATGTGACTGGCATTCTTGCTATCAGCGCGCTCGGAAAAAATAGCACCAGGTGTTGCGATTTTGCCGCTCCGATCATCGGTCAGTTGTGCTACTCGTTTTCCGCTGCAGCTGTATCAGGCCAAGAATTCAGTGACGAAAGTGGAAATACTGAAGGCCTTGAAGGACGGCTTCTCTCAACTACAAGTGACGGAAAGTTACGACGTCAAGAGAAGCACTTTGGTCACATAAATGAAAATTGAGGCCGAGTTCCTACAGGCTTTCGAGAGCAAGAAGTTCAACGCGAAAAGAAAGTCGCTGTGGAAGGCGGTGCACCTGAAACTAGAAGAGGCCTTGCTGCGCTAAAAAAGAAAAAGTCAGCGCACGGGATGCGTAGCTCTGACAGTGCGAGTGGGGTGGAGCACTCGATTGCGCTAAGGAAAGTTGTCGTCTCTGCCCAAATGTCGTCCAGAAAGCAGGCGGCAATAACAGATTTCTTCTCAAAATAAAGGTATGTCGCAGGGAAACGTTTTCGCTCAGTTTTCTTTGTCCTTTCGATATTTCAACTTTCGGATAATTCGGACATTTTTTCCAGTCTCATGAGATCCGAATTAGCGAGGTTTTACTGTAATGTGGTTGAAACAAAGGTAGATTTTTCGTCTGGGTCGCCTGGTCTTTCGGAGTGGAGTCCCATTTGGCGTCATGCCCTCATGTTTGTTCCATGATGGCCATGCTTCATGGGTCTTATTGATATATGTTGAAGGGATCTTTTTTCTTATTAGAGAGCAGCTCTTAGGCGCCCGTTTCCAAGTTGAGCGGCGTCGCCGTCAATGTAACCGTGCGCGTTGCTTTAGGGGACGTTTCCCCGCTAAATATAGGAGAAAAATTTCCTGCTACATTTAGCGGGAAAAGTTTTCTACTAAATTTAGCGAGGAAATTTTCCACTAAATTTAGCGTGAAAATGTCCCTGCTAAATTTAGCGGAGAAATTGACATCACATGACCTCTATACCAATTAGAGGGGAAAATGACGTCATGACTTCGTGACACGCTACCCATGGACAAATTCAGCGGCAGGAGGAGAGTATGGAGGAGGAGGAGGCTCATACCCTCCCATCTGTACCCTCCCCTCCTCCTCCTCAAGAGCTGCACTCTAGTTTCGCATTACATATATTTGTAAATGTCTCATTTTTATTGTTGTTTCTTTGGAATTTTAAAGGCGTCGGGCAAGGAACTGTGCGTCGATGTGCCAAAGCCCCTTGACCTGTGGCCGACCTTTCCTTGTGCGGTGTCGAATTGTTTGTTTCCCCTTCGCAGGGACACCGAACTGGCGAAGCTTCCAGAGGGGCTTTTGAATGTGATCAAGATAAAGTATCCCGTGGTATGCATCCTCCCTGTATTTCTTTTGTGCAAAGTAAGATGAGTCTTCTCTGGCCTAATGAGGTCGCATCTCTACCAAAGTGTTTTAATGTGAAAGCATTAACTGGGTCCCATGGAGCGAACCGACGTCACCAGGTGTGAAGCCGTGCCAAACGGCACCTTCCCCTATCCCAACGGGGCAAAGCCTGTTGTCTGTAGCAGAAATCTGATGAATAGGCTCCCATTGGCTGGTGTGCGTCATCAAGGAAGGAGGCTGCCATTGGCTCTCGTGCGCGACGTAGTTAAAAAAATACGGCATTGGAGAAGCCTTCTCCATGGTGGCGCAGCGCACGCGGCGGCCCGGCCACCACTAAGAGGTGCGGCGATGCGGGCCTGGCTGCACAGCCCGCTCGGGCAAACTCCGGAGTGGTCACACGGCCGAGCTCAGCGTGGCGCGGCCACTTCACGTGAGTGCGTGCTCGGCTGTCGGCTGCCACCTCGGCAGTTGCAAAACGTGGCCGTCCATGCCACTGCGCCGCAGACAAACTAAGGGAGTGGATGAATGCCATTCATGCTTTCTCATTCACAACTCGTATGAAGTGCTTAGGTGTCGTCAAACTTTTGGTGTTTATACCGCTGAATATGAGGATTATTTTATTTTCGGCAAATTTGAAAGAAACTAGACCCCTCTTACAGTTTGACGAAACAATTTTTAGACCTATCTAGTGCGGAACAAGCCTCTCATATTTTTGAAAGGATAGATGCATACTGATTGCCCCCGTAAAAAATGCTTAATTGACTTCAGAGTGCTTGTATGGTCACCTTAAATTTTTGTCTAATATTTAACTTGTAAAGCGCCTGAAAACGAGGATACGAGGAAGAAGGGAAGGACCAAGTGCTAACTTACAAATGAATCTTTATTGAAATTGTACATAAATTCGGGCGCCCAACACAAAAAGGCAAACTTCTTCCTGTGTCCTTGTTTTTAATGCGCTTTACAAGTTAAACATATACCACTAGCCCACCTATCCATTTACTGTCTAATAGACTGAAACGCGGCACAGCTCTGTTTACAAGCGGCCAGTCTCTGTAATTTCACCATTGCTTTGTGTGGCGTGTGCTCATTGTTGACAATGTAGAGATGCTTCTAGCTTTATTTGTGCGTCATATTTCCTGCCAACGTATGTTATGCCCGACTATTTGAGTTTGCTACCTGAGCCCGAACGGCAGCGGTATTGAGACGAATTGTGTGGGGACGGCGTTGCCTTAGACGATCCGTGCGCTGTAAACAAGGGACTGCTGGAGTTCCGACGTGAAGTTGCTGCTACCGACGGCGATGACCCTTGTCGTTGTTAATTTATATATGTGAAAGCATTAACTGTCCCGTGGAGCGAGTCAATGTCATTAACTGGTCTGAACGGCAAAGGCATCCCAGCTTTGAAACCACGCAGAAAACCACACCAAATGGCAGTGATATGTAGCTGCCGCTCGTCAGTTTCAATTAGCGCCACCCCGGGGCGCTGCGTGCCCGTGCCAGAGCAGAAACGGCCGAGGCGCCCACTGATCCTCTCGGCACCCTGGCCGTTTCTGCTCCGGCGCGGGCACACAGCGCCGAGAGGTTCAGAAGTGGCTGCGAGGATCAGATGTGGACTCGATACTGAGAGGATCAGAAGTGGCATTGGTACCGAAAGGATCAGAAGCGGCTGTGGCGCCGAGCAGATCAGAAGCGGCTGCGGCGCCGAGAGGATCAGAAGTGGCACCAGTACAGAGAGGATCAGAAGCAACCGTGGCGCCGAAAGGATCAGAAGCGGAATCGGTACTGAGAGGATCAGAAGCGGCTGCGGCGTCGAGAGGATTAGAAATGGCCTCAGTACCAAGAGGATCAAAAGTGACCTCAGTACCGAGAGGATCAGAAGTGACCTCGGTACCGAGAGGATCAGAAGTGGCCTCGGTACCGAGAGGATTAGAAGTGGTCTCAGTACCAAAAGGATCAGAAGTGGCCGCGGCACCGAGAGGATCAGAAGTGGCCTCAGTACTCAGAGGATCAGAAGTGGCTGTGGCGCTGAGAGGATCAGAAGTGGCCGCGGTATCCAGAGGATCAGAAGCGGCCTCGGTACCGTGAGGATCAGAAATGGCCTCGGTACCAAAAGGATCAGAAGTGGCCTTGGCACCGAGAGGATCAGAAGTGGCCTCGGGACCGAGAGGATCAGAAGTGTCCTCGGTACGGAGAGGATCAGAAGTGGGCCTCGGCAGTGAGAGGATCAGAAGCAGCCTCTGTACCGAGAGGATCAGAAACGGCCTTGGCACCGAGAGGATCAGAAGTGGCCTTGGTACCGAGAAGATCAGAAGTGGCCTTGGTACCGAGAGGGTCAGAAGTGGCCGCGGCGCTGAGAGGATCAGAAGTGGCCTTGGTACCGAGAGGATCAGAAGCGGCCTCGGTTCCGAAAGGACCAGAAGTGGGCTCGGTACCGGTTAGAAGTCGCCTCAGAATTGAGAGCATCGATCAGAAGTGGCCTCGGTACCGAGAGGATCAGAAGCGGCCTTGGTACCGAGAGGATCAGAAGTGGCCTTGGTGCGGGGAGGATCAGAAGCGGCCTTGGTACTGAGAGGATCAGAAGTGGCCTCGGTACTGAGAGGATCAGAAGCGGCCCCAGTACCGAGAGGATCAGACGTGGCCTCGGTACCGAGAGGATCAAAAGCGGCCTCGGTTCCGAAAGGACCAGAAGTGGCCTCGGTACTGAGAGGATTAGAAGTGGCCTCGGTACCGAGAGGATTAGAAGTGGCCTCGGTACTGAGAGCATCGATCAGAAGTGGCCTTGGTACCAAGAGGATCAGAAGCGGCCTCGGTTCCGAAAGGACCAGAAGTGGGCTCGGTACCGAGAGGATTAGAAGTCGCCTCAGAATTGAGAGCATCGATCAGAAGTGGCCTCGGTACCGAGAGGATCAGAAGCGGCCTTGGTACCGAGAGGATCAGAAGTGGCCTTGGTGCGGGGAGGATCAGAAGCGGCCTTGGTACTGAGAGGATCAGAAGTGCCCTCGGTACTGAGAGGATCAGAAGTGGCCTCAGTACCGAGAGGATCAGACGTGGCCTCGGTACCGAGAGGATCAGACGTGGCCTCGGTACCGAGAGGATCAGAAGCGGCCTTGGTACCGAGAGGATCAGAAGTGGCCTCGGTGCGGGGAGGATCACAAGTGGCCTCGGTACTGAGAGCATCGATCAGAAGTGGCCTTGGTACCAAGAGGATCAGAAGTGGCCTTGGTATCGAGAGGATCAGAAGTGGCCTTGGTACCGAGAGGATCAGAAGCGGCCTCGGTTCCGAAAGGACCAGAAGTGGGCTCGGTACCGAGAGGATTAGAAGTCGCCTCAGAATTGAGAGCATCGATCAGAAGTGGCCTCGGTACCGAGAGGATCAGAAGCGGCCTTGGTACCGAGAGGATCAGAAGTGGCCTTGGTGCGGGGAGGATCAGAAGCGGCCTTGGTACTGAGAGGATCAGAAGTGGCCTCGGTACTGAGAGGATCAGAAGCGGCCTCAGTATCGAGAGGATCAGACGTGGCCTCGGTACCGAGAGGATCAGAAGCGGCCTTGGTACCGAGAGGATCAGAAGTGGCCTTGGTGCGGGGAGGATCAGAAGCGGCCTTGGTACTGAGAGGATCAGAAGTGCCCTCGGTACTGAGAGGATCAGAGGCGGCCTCAGTACCGAGAGGATCAGACGTGGCCTCGGTACCGAGAGGATCAGAAGCGGCCTCGGTTCCGAAGGGACCAGAAGTGGCCTCGGTACTGAGAGGATTAGAAGTGGCCTCGGTGCCGAGAGGATTAGAAGTGGCCTCGGTACTGAGAGCATCGATCAGAAGTGGCCTTGGTACCAAGAGCATCAGAAGCGGCCTTGGTATCGAGAGGATCAGAAGTGGCCTTGGTACCGAGAGGATCAGAAGCGGCCTCGGTTCCGAAAGGACCAGAAGTGGGCTCGGTACCGAGAGGATTAGAAGTCGCCTCAGAATTGAGAGCATCGATCAGAAGTGGCCTCGGTACCGAGAGGATCAGAAGCGGCCTTGGTACCGAGAGGATCAGAAGTGGCCTTGGTGCGGGGAGGATCAGAAGCGGCCTTGGTACTGAGAGGATCAGAAGTGGCCTCGGTACTGAGAGGATCAGAAGCGGCCTCAGTACCGAGAGGATCAGACGTGGCCTCGGTACCGAGAGGATCAGAAGCGGCCTTGGTACCGAGAGGATCAGAAGTGGCCTTGGTGCGGGGAGGATCAGAAGCGGCCTTGGTACTGAGAGGATCAGAAGTGGCCTCGGTACTGAGAGGATCAGAAGCGGCCTCAGTACCGAGAGGATCAGACGTGGCCTCGGTACCGAGAGGATCAGAAGCGGCCTCGGTTCCGAAAGGACCAGAAGTGGCCTCGGTACTGAGAGGATTAGAAGTGGCCTCGGTACCGAGAGGATTAGAAGTGGCCTCGGTACTGAGAGCATCGATCAGAAGTGGCCTTGGTACCAAGAGGATCAGAAGCGGCCTTGGTATCGAGAGGATCAGAAGTGGCCTTGGTACGGGGAAGATCAGAATCGGCCTCGGTACTGAGAGGATCAGAAGCGGCCTTGGCACCGAGAGGATTGGAAGTGGCCGAGAGGATCAGAAGTGGCCTCAGTACTGAGAAGATCTGAAGCGGCTGTGGCGCTGAGAGGATCAGAAGCGGCTGTGGTGCTGAGAGGATCAGAAGTGGCCTCGGTATAAGAGGATCAGAAGCGGCCTCGGTACCGAGGAGTTCAGAAGTGGCCCTGGTACCGAAAGGATCAGAAGTGGCGATGGTGCCGAGAGGATCGGAAGTGGCCGTGGCGCCGAGAAAATCGTAAGGGATCTCGATACCGAGAGGTTTAGGAGGGGCCTCGGTACCGAGAAGATCATAAGCGGCTGTGGCGATGAGAGGATCAGAAGTGGTCTCGGTACCGAAAGGATCAGAAGCGGCCGTGGCGCCGAGAGGATCAGAAGTGGACTTGGCACCAAGAGGATCAGAAGTGGCAGCTGTGCGAAGAAAGACATTCGCTTTCGCATTCACAATTCATAAGAAGTGTTAGGTGTACCGCAAGCCTTTCTGTGCCAAGCCTGTTCACGGCCGACACGGTGCAGGCGTAGAAGCCTCTCAAGGCCTACATTTACTTCGAGCCTGTTTCTGCGCTGCCGGCGGGATCAGGAGACTTTGAGTTTGTGGAAGTGTATATCTTAATTGATTAAATACACACAGCGTCCTTCGAGTCAAGGTATCATATTTTTCTTACCCTCATGACCACAAGGCATGACAAGTGGTAACACTTCGTCTGTTCTGCCAAGATCTCTTTCTGCTTGGCAGCACGGGCGTAGCGAGCCACCGACAAGCACTCGGCCGATGCTTTGTGCGCAAACACCGTGGGAACATAATCTGGGTGGTCTCAAACAGACGATGGTTTCCCAGCACATAAGGAAGCCTCGGGACGGTGATTGATTTGGAAGCCACACTTGCCTTCAAGAAAGTGCTTGCCGCATAAACGGTCGTCTGCACAAGGCAACCTTTTTTTTTTCGGTCTACGGATATTATCCAACTTCTGCGCCTTTCAGAGTCCGCTGGGAACTTATGGAAACTCACTGCACTCCTTTTGCTGTACCTTTTGGTGCAATTAATGGCTACACAGCTTTGCGGCATGCTGAAATGCTATGATGCTCATAAAAAACGTGCGCTTCTGCCCACACCACCCTGCTCCGGCGCGATCACAGCGCCACCGCAGCTCCATGACGTCCAGCCCGTATGTCGGGTTATAAATGGAATATGTGGCCTGGCTAGGTATAAATGATCCCTACTGGAAGTGTTTCGGGCACAAAGTGATGGATGTTGCATAAATTGGTGTGCTCAGGCATGCTAGCGATGTGTTATATAAAGGAAGCGTGTAGAAAAGTGTGGCTTCTTCTGCTCTACTTTTTTTTTTTTACAGCGATAGCTGTTGTGGGCTTTTCCCAACCCTGGGAGTAATGGCCATTGTCATTGTAGTAGTTGTAGTAGTTATTGATGTTGATGTTGTAGTTGGCTAGTGATGTGTTTTATGAACTAAGCATGTAAGGCAGGCATGGCTGCTTCTTCTCTCCTTTTCTTTTACAGTAAGAGCTCTTATGGACTTTTCCGTCACTGGAAATGATGTCCATTGTCGTTGTACTAGTTGTTGATGTCGTATAGTTAATGTAATAGGGTGTAGGGCGACCTTTGTGATATTGCAAACAGCTCGAAAAAAGATTTCCTGTCGCTGTCAGGAATCAAACCTACGTCTTCTGCATGTGAAGTGGTTACGTTACCACAGAACTACACAACAGTACTGGCAATCCACTTTATTATGGACACTTTAAACACGTGCCAGATTGAGCCGCCATGGTCGACCTTCTCTAGTTTTGCCGAGATGGTGTGCCACCGATGCGGGCGTTGACAAGCCTCCACAAAGGCCTATGCTAGGGAGGTAGCACCTAAAATGGCAGTAACCTTTCCTGCTGTGGTAGTGAGAAAGTGAAACGAACGGAATAGGAGGGAACAAAAACTGAAGGTCGGTTATGGCGGCACCCATGCATAGCTGCCTGAAAGCGTCTATACAGTCTGTGTGGAACAAACGTCGGCATGAGTCTCGAGTAGTGCCCACTAGATGTTCACAGTTGCTGTGATGTTGCAGTAGAAAATTGTCATTCTTGTTTCATTTTAAATTTAATCGAAGTTAACTGTTGAAATTAAAAGCTTCAGCTAGGTGATGCAATCCGCTGCCCGATTAAAGGTGTTCATTCACATCCATCCATCCAATACTCTCTAGAAGGGCCTGGTCATGACGTCATTGTTAACGAATCACCGAGCAGCCCCAAAGCGGCGAGGCGTTTGCACTGAAACTCGACACGAGTATGGCGCAAAGCGGCAGACGCGGGTGTCTTGCAGGTGTCGCGGGCGGCAGACGCGGGTGCGGCAGACGCGGGTCGCCGCGTGCTAGTGTCGCGCTTGTTGGGAGCTGCTAAAAGAGGCACCGGTGGTGACGCCGACGCCGTTTATCGCAGGGAGAACTGTAAGGTGTATGCTCGTGAGAACGAAGCCAATCCAGCCAACGACTTTGCCGTGACTGTATTGTTGACAAACACGGGACTGCAAATATTTTCTGTTTATGGACACGAAGCTAAAGGGGTGCGTTTCTGAGATAAGAAAGAGAACCGAAGGGACGAGGCATTCCCGACACTGCCCCTTTGGTTCTCGAGTGTCGCACACTCCGAGGAGCTTGCAGCTCGTGTTACAGAGATGCCCGAGCCGATTGCGGACAACCATAAGCCCATGTTGGCTGTGCTCTGTTGGCGTGGTGGGCGGTCGACCATGTGGTGAGAGAGTTTTGTTGCAGGTGGTGACTCGCCTGATTCACCTGCTGGGCCACAGACTTCTGGGCAGCCTGCAGAGGGGAGACAAGGTCACAGGTGGGCTCTTGGGGCACTCGGGGGTCTTTGCTTACTTCTCGGCACTTCAGTCAATCTCAACGTCTCGGTCGTAACATTTCGACTACTTCAGCTAGCAACATAAAAGCAGCAAGCACTTCTGACATGAAATAGAAATTTTAAAGGACTGAGGTGTTTCTAAGGAACCGAATTAGTCCCAAGCTTTAAGAAGACACGAAGCTGAAAAGTAAAGTGTAAGCATGTCATTGGCAGAGGTTAATGTTGCCCTAGCTAGTGGAACAAAGTATCATTGTGCAAGTTTCTCTTTATAGCCAACTCAGTAATGCCCGATGAGTCTTATCACTATCTCTTCCTCGCAAGCCTAGCGGGAGTTGTCCTTAAGACGGAGCCTCGTTACAACCTGCCGGGAATGTCGAGTGCCCTTTGGAAGCACGGTGTGCTCCTCCCTCCCGCAGCTGCCTCGATGATCTCCCGGCCATCGGGCTCCAACTTCACCACAATTGCTGTCCTGGCTGTGAACGAAGACGTGCCCCTGTCGACCTTCACCCTCGAGCTGTGCCACGCCCTGCGCAGCATCGGTGAGGCCCCCTGGGGAAACTCGCACAACGCTATTCCTTTCTTTCCTGGTGAAACTCGGGACTGGAATGCCAGAGCCCTGGCCTAGGTCGATTGAGAGTAACTAAAATCACCCCGAAAAAACCTTTTTATTTTAATAATTGGTGAAAATTTAGGAGTTTAGTAGAAGCTCAAGCCTCCAACATGCGCTTGTTGCTTTTCGCTGTGCATGTGATGAAGTGTTATCAAAGGCAGAAAGCTTGCGCTATGAAAGGGGTACTTAGTAAGCTCTAACCAATTTCTTCATCGTCTCCGATGTTTCGAAAGCTGGCTCGGCCCCATGTTCGTGGGTATGTGGGCCCAAAGGCTGCTATATACACGGGCTGTGATGTGTCGCATAAAAACGGAAGAAAAAAAACAAAAAAAAACAAAACAATACTGACAGAAACAAGATAACAGATTGCAACCCTTGGGACCACATACCCTTGAACAATATGCCAAGCCAGCTTTGAAACGGCGGGTGTGATGATGAAATTGGTTAGAGATCACCTGGTACGCATTTCATTGCTTACCTAACCAGACGGAGTTCTGCCAAAATGTTTACATTTAAAGCTTGCTTTGGAGGTGCTTCTGAATTCTTAACCTCTGTCCAGCTATGCCGATGCAGCGTTTTTTTTTTGTGTCAATCTTCGGTGTCGGACAAAAATTGGCATCTATCAGGCTCAAGGAAACAAGTCCTAGGCATGGTCTTCTCCAACCTCCAGGGAACACATATGTAACTCATATACTTGTGAAAACCTCCTGGTACAGATAGGATATGAAAGCAAGGAGGTGGTTTCCAAAGAAAAATGACCATCTCCACGTGGTGAATGATGTTGATTGGGGCGAAGCTCTGGTGGTGCTGATGATACTGATTTGGTTCATAGGTAGTGCTGATGATGCTGATTTTTTTTCCATGTCAGAAAGAGATTGTGTGGTATGGAACGTGGTTATATACGCATTTGAGCATTTGACCGCAGCGCCCCCTCGTCTATAAACGTTGAGCCGATGCATGCAAAGTTTAACGCGATTATATACGCGTTTGTTCGCAGCGCCCTCTCCTTTATAGACGTTGAGCGGCTACATGCAACGTTTCATCCATGACATCCCCAGCTCTTAAGTTACTACCACATCTCAGAGCCCCCTACTCGTCCCGCAGTCGTGGGCGAGTGGTTAGGGTGATGGACTAGAAATCCATTGGGGTCTCCGCACAGGTTCGAATCCTGTTTACTGCACAAACATTTTTTCTTTTTTTAAGAAGACAGATGGGATGGCGATCGATGTGAGCACAGACGCCGGACGGACAAGGCTAGACCCTAAAGAGCTTTGCCTTTAAAAAAGCAGCCTCACTGGCAGGGGTAACTGTGTTCTAGGTCAACACAAAATAAACCTGTAAAAAAATGTCTTTTTGTGAAGCTTAAAATTTTCACTCCAATTCGAGTGTTTTTTTTTTTCACTGTTTACCATTTGCACATGCCTAAAGACACCCATATATTTAGCATCTAGGATGGTGTTGGGTGGTGGCTGGGCAAAGCCAAAAATCTAAAAAGAAAGGTGTCAGTTTGACGCCTTTTTCCAGCCGAGAAGACCAACCCAAACATTCAAGTGTGTTTAAGCAAACCATGCATGGCAAAACATTTGACACATCATGCGACACATTGGAAAGGTGGCCGAATTCGACCACTCCAAGTTCTGCCGGATTTGGCTGTCTTTCCGACGCATCGTATGACATACCTGGCGTTTTGTCGTGCACGTGTTCACACCGCATGCTGGGGGTCGCACTATGTGGAACGGGGCTCTCGTGTGGGCAGGTTCTGTGTTCCGGCTGACCTCTGAGCTGATCCGGCGGCAGCTGGGGCCTTCTGCCCTGGACACGGCCAACGAGTACCGGCTGTGCAACTGGCTGGGCCAGCAGGAGGACCGGCACAAGGTGCTGCTCTACCAATGCGACAGCCACATGAGCTCGTGGACCCAGCGCTGCATCCGCCAGGCAGACTGCATTCTCATCGTGGCCCTGGCCGACCAGGAGCCTCTTGTGGGACAGGCAGGAACCCTCTCTCTCTCTACACCCCCTTGGCCGTATTGCAATTAGGCCGCAATATTTTGGTCGTCTTGCAATTTAGCCGTTATGCAATATAGCCATAATGCAATTTGGCTGACATAGTTCGGCCATAACGCAGTTGGGCTGTGACTTTTAAAGCTCGACAATTGTGCGACCGTAGACAAATGTACACCTAGCATTGTAAAGTGGTAAGAGATTTTTGGTAAATAGACTTATAGCTGTCTGTGCAGACGGTTCTAATGGTTATCCTGTTCTTGGTCCAGTCTTGTCTTAGGGTGAAGTTTCTATGTTTTGCCAACTAGCCCATGCTCTTACACTTTCTCGGGGAATATGGCTCCCGTTTTTTGGTTGGCCCATAAGTGGGGGGTAATTGTGTGCCTTGCAGCAATTAGATAATTACCACGACAAAACTTTGTCAACTGACATTTTTGTGTTAGAGATGCTAAAACCACCTCCAAACTGTTGGCAAATATCCTTTGTTATAGTTTTAGTTTTATTTGAATAAGGTCACCAAATTGTTGTTACCATTTGTTGGAGATTTTTTACTTCTTATGTTGCAGAAGCTGCCAAAAAATATAAAGCTGCAAAGACCATCCGTGGAATTTTAGCCATAAGTAAACAACAATAAATTAGGGGTCTCAGTTGCAGCATAGCCTTGTCGTTATGGCTCTACATCATAAGACAGCCTGAACCAAAAGAGACTGCTGTTGCGATTGAATTGAGTGTCCATGCTCAGCACGGAAAACATTCTATTCGCGTTCAATTTTCAATATTTGTGTTCATGAGCCGTTAAAGATTCGAGAGCTGCTCATGTCTATTTTTTTGGGGTGCTTTTTACGTTTGCACTGCCACTCAAGACTCGAGGCCACTTCAGAGCACACCCTTGACATTGCGCTTGATTTGCTCGGCTTCTGAAGTATATACCAAAATAGTGCTGCATGGCTGTAAACAGCCCTGACCTGTGGGAAGGGATTTCATAAAGTTTGGAGTGGAGAATGTAGTCCTGAAGGACAGCCAATTTTGTCCCTTTAGGCCGTGGTCACACTGCCAATACAGTCGAATAGCGTTAATTCGACATCGGTTAATTCAACTTATCGTTGAATTTGACCCTGCTGAGAGGTTCCGGCAAAAGCCCATACATTTCTATAGAAAAAAAAAAAAACTTCTTATTTCAATTTTGAAATATAAAATATTGGATAATTCGACTTAGAGAAAACCGGCGATGGGCGAATTTCAAGCATGATTGGCCATGCATGACGCACAAAAACGGGCCTTCTTTTTTTTTTTTTGAATTACGCGGTAATGAAGTTCCAAGGCGCGATTGGCCACGCCCATCGACGAAAAAGACCCTGTTTCAAATTTTGAAGCATGCGCCGATTGTGAAGAGAGAGAAAAAGAGAGCACATGTTGGGACACGAGACCCGTCTGGGTCTCAATACAAAACAACGATTGCGACACCGCTGCGGAAAAGCAAACGCTGCGGAGAAGCGGTGTTGCAATGGTTGCTGGCGGCAGCGGCACACGGAACCAAAACAATCATTGCAACACCGCTGAGCGAGCACTGCTCTGCAACTGTTTTGCAGTGGCGCCGGCGCCGCCGTCGCACCGAACGTGCGAAGAACATGCACGGCTGCTGCCACTGCCATGCGGCAGTGTGCGGCGGCTCATTGTTTTGTTTGTTTGAGACTCGCGTCGTCGGAGTGCCGGGACGTGTTAGGCCTTTGCATGATGCGGTCCCGGTATTTCGTGGACGCACCGTAGAGGTGCCTTTTAGCTCGTTAGGCTACGAACTTTCGTGGGAGTTATCGGCAAGCGACACTAATGTTGTTGTAGGCATGGGGTGTTTGCAGCTAGGCTAAAAATGTTGGCACACCCGATCTAAAGCGCTGGATATTCAGAATTTCGCACGCATCTTTTAATTCGATAATGCGACCCAGTTTCGCACGTCCCGTCAAGATCGAATTAATGAAAGTCGACTGTACATCATACAAGACAGTCCACACACACACCGTCTGAGGCGTGTTTCTTTCTTGCCTGACGGCCCTGGCACATTGGTGAAAACGTTCTGCATGGCACTTTAGTAGCACACGAATGTACGAAGCAGATACTTTGGTCGTCGTGTCTGCGTCTCTTGTACGATGTACGAGCGGCGTGATTCCTCGTTTGTTTGTGTGCCAAGTGCCCCGGCTGTGTTGCCGAGAGGGCGGACTCTAGCCCGGCCTATTCTTGTCTCCAGCTGGAAAAGCAGGCAGAGAGCATAGCGCACCGCACCCAGAAGGAGCTGGTACTGCTGCACCGGGAAGGGGCGGACAAGCCGCGCAACACGGTGGCCTGGCTCAACATGCGCTCCTGGTGCTCCTCCCACCACCACATGCGCTGCCCCAAGCGCATGTTCACCCGACGCTCCCCGTCCAGGATCGTGAGTGCTTCCTCTTGGCGACGCTTTTCTTTGTGCCTCCCCCCGTTCCTGTTGCCACTCGGTCCTTGTATCTCTCTCATCCGTAAAATCTTGTCGTGCGTGAATAGTGGGTTCTTAGTTCGAAGCGAATTCTAAGCGAATATAGTGGTTTTGGCCGAATATTTTCGAATCGAATATAGAATAGTTTTCTCCGAGCCTTTCACTACTTAGACGAAATTTTGGCTAAAGTCGTGAAGGTTGTTCCCAAGCTTCCTCTTGTCCATTTATTTTGGTGAGACACTTGCTAGGAGCACTTCTATTTTCCTCACTATGGTTAGCGCACGTGCTATCCACACAGTTATGTTTTAATTTTCATAGTGCATAGAAGTTTGGCATTGCATGTGCTTGCACCAGCGGAGGAAGTTGAAAAGAAAATTCCAACAGGTGGCGATACCCAAACTTGTTGCCGCAAATATAAGCCAATTTTAAACCAGACTATAATTTATGGAGCTGCGACCTCAGAAATTCTGATGCTTTGGGATGGCAAGCGAATGATGGATTTGACATGAAATGAAATCTAGGAAGATACCTAGTTATGCCTAATTGAGTAAGTTTACGAAACTTGCTATACAAAAATATTCTTTCTTCAATCACTAATTTGAACGAAAAGAAGAATCACGGATGATGAATGCAGGTTGTGAGGACATCTCTGCCTAATGTTAATTATAAAAATTTTACTTCAATGAAGACATAAACTTTCACAAAGTTTGTTTATTTTTGAATACACACGGTGGCGCATGCTTTTCTGCCAATGATGCAATTGCAATATTCACTTTTCCAAGTGTTGATTGGGACGAGATAGCCCCGTTGAGTGCGCTTCTTACCGAGCACCGGTGCACTGCGGAGAAACAACACCCACGGAAGCAAGCTCCACGGGTGTTGCTTCTCCGCAGTGCACGGGTGTTCGGTAAGAAGCGCACTCAACAGGGCTAACCTGCCGCGATCAACACTTCGAAAAATATGAATATCGCAGTTCATCCCGAAGTGAATATCGAATAGTTATATTTGAAACTACTATTTGAAATTATGAATATTTGCGCAGCAATAGTCAAATCCACTCATTTTCACCCACCTTAGTAAACCCTTAATTTTCATGGCTGGCATAGTTTTCACCAGGTTAGCATAAAGTAGTGAGTTAGTTTTCAGCTCTAAAGTTACACGTTTCCACCATAGTTGATGCCTGCCTTCGGCGTGTGCTGTTTTGTCAGCTCCAGGCGTACCGGTTTGTGTTCTGGTGGCAGCAGCGTGGAGTGGTACCAGCTTGTGCGTACCAGCGGCCGCGGATGCATGACTGTCGGTGCATTGGTGCAATGTGTTGGTGCCAACCACTGATATTTTTTCTCAAAAAAGAGCTGCATGGTTTTAATAATTGCTATATGAAATCTTGAAATGTGGTGTGCTAGGCATTAGGCTGTTTGTCTATTATGCTCGTCGCCACTCCGCGTGGTCGGTTGATAGTACTGCCACTTATGTGAATGGCCGTCCATTGGTTCACTTTGTCTCCGGAGAAAGTGTAGCGGAAAGGCTTCCTAGTCTGCCGCATAGAGGGACTCTCGTTGCTTTGCTGAGCGAGAAATTACTGCACAGAAAACAATTGCATGCTTCACCGCAGCAATGAATCTCAGTTCGTCAATTTCTCCCATGAGCAAATTTGCCTTTTCGCACACTTTTTCTTGGAGCACAGCGAATGTGGCCCAATGACTTTTCTGGTCACAGTTTCAAAGCATCGGAGATAAAAATATCTCGGCGCAGTAAATCTTTCAAGCAAGGCCTGTGCTACAGCTGCCTATACATTGGTGGTGAAGTCGGAGGTAGCAGTGGCATTCTGTTTCCATACCTTTCACAACCGAGCCCGCTGCAGTTGCTGAGTCATACCGCCCTCTTGCTTTGCTGCCAGCTGGAGGTGTACAAGAAGGTGGAGGAGGGTGTGGTGAATGTGCACTCCGACTTTGCCCGCCTGGCCCGCTTCTTGACGGGCACCTCGATTGGCCTGGTGCTGGGAGGGGGCGGTGCCAGGGGTTGTGCTCACGTGGGCATGATCCGGGCCATCTACGAGGCGGGCATCCCCATTGACATGGTGGGCGGAGTCAGCATCGGATCCCTCGTGGGGGCCCTCTGGTGCCAGGAGGTGAACGTCACCACCCTCGTCCAGAAGGGGCGCCACTGGTCCAAGGTGAGGCATGGAGAGAATAAAGAGCAACTCAAACCACGTAGTGTGTTTGAAATATAATGGCGGATGCCTCTTTGCACCAGTTGTTTGCTCGTGCGCATGTTGTGAGGGCTCATACAGTAGTGAGGGACTCCACGGTTGGAGAAAAGGTTGTGTGGGATGTCCTGCTATCGAGAAGCTGGGTTCCTTCGTGCTGCCGTGCGGCAAAGTCAGTCTGATTAGGAGGACCTTTTACGACGACGGAGTCTTTGTTACGCACCTCTATTGGGGTGTTTGGGGGTGGACCTAAAAGTGACCGGAATGAATTTCTGGAGGACAGGCTGTTCATAGTACCGCCTTCTGCCGCTAGCAGCGTTCAGTGGTGCCCCTTCCGAGTCAGTTTGCCTACCGGCGTCGTCTGCTAAAGCTCTAGCGGCATGTTGCGAATTTTTTAGAGCGCAGCTCTTAGGCGCCCGTTTCCGGCTTGAGCGGCGTCGCCGTCGGCGTAACCAAGGTCACCCCAAGGTCACGTGACCCCTCCCAAGGTCACCTCAAGGTCACGTGACCCCCCAAGGTGACCCTCCCCGAGGTCACGTGACCCCCCCTCCCCTCCGAAGTCACGTGACACCCCCCCGGAGGTCACGTGACCGCTCCCCCCGAGGTCAGGTGACCCCCCCGGAGCATATTAACAAATGAGGGGAGGAGGAAGAGGGGTCTACTCTCCCCTCAGTACCCTTCTCTCCTCCTCCTCCTCAAGAGCTACGCTCCAATTTGGCGTTCCAGGGAGTTGTAAACGGCTTTCACTTTTTCCCAAGTGCTTCAAAATCGTTTCTTGTCTTTTGAAAAGTCCGATTTGAAGGACCGGCATGGGGTTATGAAATTTTGTTTTCTTTAGGGAGAAAGCTTGTGGAAACTCTTTTACTGCTTCAGACAACTTACAAATAAGTTGCTATGAAGAAATTGCGGATCTACAAGTGGTTTCCTCGTTTCAAGGCCGGTAAATTATCGATCGACGACCAACCTCATTCGAGGTGACCCTCAGCCTCTTCAACTGATGCAAACATCGGGAAAATTCGGGCATTGTTCATTCCGAGTTTGTTCCTCCTGGTTGAACTGTTAATTTGGTGTTTTCCCTGGGAGTTTTGCGATGCTTGCACAAATCAGTGAGGCAGAAACACCCCGGTTTTTGGGAAAGGGGGATTGTGGTCTCACCACGACAATACCTTAGCACAGGCTGCCCTGTTACTGCAACAATTTTTAAACAGAAATGGCATGGCACCGTTTCTTCAACCCCCCCTGATTCACCGGACATCGCCTATGTGACTTTATTCTGTTCGCCCGTATGAAAGAAAACTTTTTGTGGATGTGGTATGTCCTTCAAATCAGACATTGCAAAAAAAAAAAAAAAAAAAAGATTTTGAAGTGCTTGGGGAAAAAATTCACATCGTGCCGACTTTAGCAAACGACGATGATCGGCAAACGGACTCTAAAGGTGTGCCGCTAAGTGCTGCTAATGGTGGAAGCTGGTACTACGAAATTCATTCCGGTTATTTTTAGGTCCCTCCTCATAATTATCTTTACAGCAGTGAGGTGCTGGTGCAGCGGGTGAGTTCTAATGTCGAAGGGTCCACTCCACCGTAGAACTTCACCCTGGAGGGGCGTTTATTTGCCTCCCGCCCGAGAAGGCACGTGCTCGCTCTCAGCCAAGCACAGCAGATTTTGAGTGCCTATTGAAAGATCCTCGTAGCAGTCAGTATATAAATACTGTCCTCTGGTGGGGCTTACCAAATCAGCTATCTTGGTTTTAACGCGTAGGCCCCCAAAATTGGCTTTCTACTGAGTTTTTTTCACTGCAGTAGAGTTGTCTGAATCTTTCATTTCTTTCGCAGAAAATGACGTCACCATGGAGACAGCTGTGGGATCTCACTTACCCTATTACTGCTTGGTTCACTGGTGAGGTTGATTCACTAGTCTCTTTGTGTGCCTTTTGTAACTTTTCTTAAACTCTGACCGGTTTATGCTTCTGTGAAGAGTGGGCCACTGCATGGGCCTAGGCCTTTCGAAAACCCCGGTCGAGCCTAGCTTGCAGAACGGGACTGGGTCAGGAATCGCACATTTTTGCTTGGCTTGGACCGCACTTAAGTTTTGTACTAAACATTTCTCGTTGGCTCGGGCTGAGTCTGGACAAGGATGCTTCCAGGAGTTGCACCTTGTAATTCAATAAAAACAGAATGTGAGCTGATTGGCCCTTCAAGTTTGAAGAAAGGCAAAACAAGTGAAGAGCAAACTGCAATGTGTTGCGGGGCAGCAGGCAGAAAAAGGGTAGAAATCGGCTCGAAGGGAACAACAAGACTTCTTTTGTGTCTGCATGGAGACTACAAAGTGAGCTCAGGCAAGACAGCGGAACACAGCATTGTACGAGTTCCTGGGGAGACACGAGTGACATTAATGGCTGAATAGCCTCTTTTTTGCTCCTGGGTGTCTGGCTTTGTTTGTGTTGGTGATCATGAACCAATCCTAGCAAAGTACAGGCATCATTCTTCCAGGTTTAGTTTTTGGTGTGATGTTGCTTCGTATAATGGATGAGTCATTGTTGTCTGTACTGCAGAAACAATAGTCCCTTGCCAAGTAAAGAGCAGTGCAACATGAAACACCGAACCAAATATGCTGAGTCTGCCATGGGAGTGATGTGCGTACAAGATCCGCTGACTTGTGGTTTTGTGTAATTTGGCGTGACGAGTAGGTGTTTCAGTGACTGCACGTGAACATGTGGCAGCTATGAAAGCAAGCCCTTCTGGCAATCTCGCCATTTATTGTAGTCGTCGTCCATGCTCACCAGTTCTGCATGATGTTAAGATTCTAGCAAAATATAAAGAAAAAGTGTGCCGAGAAGTTCACGAGGCGTTTGAGGTTAGGGCACAAGGAAATGAGTGCGTCAGCGAACCCTCCCTTGCCCTCTCAGGAGAGAGTTTGATTTTGTAAAGTGGTTTTATCGATTGTCGTGACTAATAAGCGTTCTGCAACAGCTTGTATTATCTTTTTTTTTTTTCAAACTTCAGTTGCGAGTGTGCCTTGTGTTGTTTCCACTCTTTGTTGTCCCTGTCTTTTTTGACACTTTTATATATTTGGATGAGTCATTCATTCGAGCTTTGAATGTTCTGAAATTGTTCGTCCAAATCGCACTATGACATTCTATTTCTACAAAAACTGCTCCGTTCCCAATTGCCGTACTAAGATTGGGCATTTAATACATGGGCTGCATCAATATGACCTACGAGGCAAGGACTGCACTTTTCCTGCTCTAACGTCATCATTAATAGATTCACAAACAGCCAGCCAGCTCGCGTCCATGTCGCTGTAAAATATGCCTGGCAATGCCTCACCCATTGCTTTGCCCCACACTCGTTGAACTTGAGCAGATCTGCCCCTTGGGGCAGGTCAGGGATATACTAGCGACGACATGATCCCTAGGTAGGACAGGATGCATCCCTTTCAGATCATACGGCATAAGGAGTTCGAGTCGCAAAAATGAAAATAATTGGGCCGGGTTCTGGCTCATGTTTACTAAACCTGCTGGGAAGGGCTGGGCTCAATTCAGCCCTCTCTAGTCGGTGACAAGTTAAGGATTCGGTAGACGCTGCACCGTGATCTTTCTCCCTTCGATAACTCTTTGTCGCATGCACTGCCAAAGCCGAGTGGAAAGCAACGAGCATGTGCTGGGGGGGAACTTGTACTGAATTGGCATAGAACCTTTGGGCCCGTGCAGTGCTCTTGGGCAGAAGGTAGTGAAGAAAGCGGCAAAGCTGACTGCCCTTGGTGACTCGTAGGGGCGGCCTTCAACCAGACCATCTACGACCTCTTTGGCGAGCGTCAGGTGGAGGACCTGTGGCTGCCCTACTTCACTGTCACCACCGACATCACCAGCAGCTGCATGAGGATCCACCGGCACGGTAGGGCTCTCTCTTTCGCGCAGTCTTGTACACATTGCTCGAAAAAAGTAATAGATTATCACGCTATTACTCTCGGTTAAAAATGAATCAATTAGATTGCTCGATTACTCGAGAGGAAAGGTGATTGACTGCTTGATAAAGTACCTGTCATTCGCTTTTCCGGTTACTTCCGATGTTCAAAACAGATTAAGGGGGGACACTGGCTAGAGAAACCCGTTAAGAACGAACCCACATACAGCGAATTATTGTCAATATCGAACTCACAGAAAATTTAAATAAAAATGTGTGTAAAAAGTACTTTTTAAAACAAACAACATATTGGCTATACCAAACTTTTTCCCCCCGGGAAGGCTTCCAAAAATGCGCAAACAATCGTCTCCTATTCTCCTATACTTTGTCTCATCCTACGATGGACTAAAGGTCAAAGCCAGAGGCCACCAGATCCAATCCCGTTACACGTTAAACTATGACATGATTAACATTTATTAGGGGTGGACGAATCATGCTCCGAATCAAAGAGTGCTGCATCATTTCTGTAGCTTCCACACTGCAAAGAGCCTGTATGTTGTGGCTTTCTTTGCGATGTAAAATTGGTCAGTCACTCAGTGCTATTCAATTTGAACCAGTGTCCACCCATCCCCATTAGACGCGAGCACCGACAGATGCATTGAAGCCAAATACCAGGCAATTTCTAAGTGGCTCGTGATTGGATCTGGTGCTTCGTAGCTTTTGTCTTTAGTCCGTCGTGGAGTGGACTAAAGTCCCCCCCCCTTCCAGACAAAATTAGGAAAGAAAGAAAATTCCAGAAGCTCAAGCCGCGAACAAAAATGAGCGAAGAAAAGCAATTCCGCTGAAGGGGCACAGAAAAAAAGAAAATCAGCACAAAGCGTTTTTTTTAAAGAAGAGAAGCGATTCAAAAGGGAAGATAAGCTAAAAAAAGAAAAAAACTGCACGCATGCACAAACATTTTTATAAATGTATTTCTTGAGTGGTAAGTGGTACGAGTTCTTTATTTTTGGCGAAATGACCGGTGTATAATGAACAAATTGTGGAAGTTCGCTGTATAGGGTTTTTGCTATATCGAACTACTTGCTAGTATATCAAACTGATCGTGGCGCTTCCTGCTGTTCGTTATAAACGGGTTTGACTGTATCTGTCCTATGTCAATTTTTGAAAACATAGTTTTTTTTCAATGAGGACTTCAACTTAAAACAAAATGAAGTACAGGGTGTCACAAAAGAAAATTTACAGTCTCTTTTAGCGCAAAAATAAACTAGGCATCACCGAACGCTCATTCTCCGCCCAAAGGTAGAGCTAGTGGTCACAACCAGATGCCAAAGTTTCATCCCAATCCGATAACTTAATCAAAAGTTATAAGTGATTTTCTGAAAATTTCAATGGGAAAATGGAGCCCATTTTTGCCCGTTTTTGGTTTCTGGTACCATAGAGCCCCATATGTTCGAAAACTCTGTCAGCCGCCATTTTCCCATTGAAATTTTCAGAAAATCAGTTATCATTTTTTATTAAGTTATTGGATCGGGCTGAAACTTTGGCATTTCGTTGTGACCTCTAGCGCTACCTATGGGCGGAGAATGAGCGTTCGGTGATGCCTAGTTTATTTTTGCGCTAAAAAAGACAGTGTAAATTTTCTTTTGTGACACCCTGTAGATAGCCCAATTCCCCAGTAAATTTAAGTTAAGAAACATCTTGATTGTGGTATCGGGATACCTTTACCTTCGAACAAAAAATTCCTTCGTACGAAACTTGCAGCAAAAAGTGGAGCTGAGAAAAATACATTCAAACATTGAACTTGTTTACTAGCCGCCTCGGTGGCTCCGAGGCGAGAGGGTCGGCCTACGGATCCCCAGGTGGCGGTTCGAATCCCGACCGAGGTGCCCGCGATATGACGGAGGCTTATTGCGGAGAAGGCGCCGTGTAACCGAGCTTTCGGTTGCACGTCAAAAGATCCCCAGGTGGTCCAAATTAATCCTCAGTCCTCCGCTGGGGCGTGCCAGATGCCCGTTGTAGGTTTGGCACGTAAAACCCCCCAATTTGACTTTAACTTGTTTACTTCATTACTGCCTCACAATGTGTTGAAAATATTTTATATCTACTGAACTATTTGCCGTATGGGTATTAAATTTAATGGAAAGGTGTATAATTAGTTTCTAAAACTGAGAACAAATTTTTCCAAAAAAATTTGAAATGTAAGCCCATGTCCCCCCTTAATTAAGTCGCTGCGGTTTTGAAAATGGGCGTTTCATAGGGTTAGAAGCATGGGATTACAGACTACTTAACATCTCAATCCACGACTTTTGGTAGACTATCCCCTGTCAGTGACTTGGTTCGAGGACTCCTTGGCAGAAAGGTTAGTAGAAACGAAGGGTACCATTAGGAAGGGGATCGAAAAATAGTAATGGTTAGAAGTCATTTTATTACTTTCAAAAGTAATGTGATTACTACATAATAAGGTGATCAGATGATTACAGAGTTACTCCAAAAAGTAATCGATTACGAATAATTTGATTACTGTACCAGTCTTGCGGCCCCTGGGGCCAGGTCGGTCCCCGTACGGCACCGCCTGGCCATCGGCTGCTTACCCATTTCGTGGGACAGGGCTCACTGGCACACGTGGCCAACGAGATGGGAGTAAACAAACAAATTGAATTGATTACTACTAATTCTTTACTTGGACTCTTTGAATCACATACTCCATCTGCTTGACTCGGGGCTAGCTCGGCACATTGAATGCAGCGGGACGTCTTTAATGTGCCCTTGCCCCAACATCGAATTTATTTCTACTTTGTGGGGTAGGACAGTGCTGTAACGCATAAAAATATGAAGCTACAATTTTTTTTTATCTCGAAACCATGTGAGCAGTTGGAGTTTTGTCGCGCGACCCATTGAAAATGTATTTCGCTCGTGAGGATCTGAAAGCAAGCAATGTATCAGTTTTAAGGACTTCCATATTACGCGCAGATTTGTGACTAGACAGCTGCCAGCTGGGTGGCTTGCTTAGGCTAGTGCCTCCGATGAAACGCTTTATAGTGGTGAATGACATTCTGTAATGAGAAACGTGGCTTTTGTTGGCTGCCCTTGCGGAATGGTACTAACACTTCCAGAGTTGTCAGCTGCAGCTGAATGGGGCCTTGGAGCGAGTAACATAACATTGCACAATTGAAACGTCTTTCCTGAGGACAATTCTGGTTTAGGGAAGAGAGTTGATAAATTGCATCAAATAAATTGCTAAAATCGCTTTTACATGTAATGGAAGTATATAATGCACGATAGAAGTGTGACTGCTAGAGTACAAGGTGTTTATTTTTATTTAGACTTAAATTGGTTAAAAAAAAAGCCGTGAGAGCTACACTAATGCTGTCTGTGCAGGCAAGTTATACGGCCAGGGGGAGTTAGTTGTCGCAATAAATCGACTAATTAGCTAAGGTTTGTTCATTTACTTTTTAATTAGAGAAGATAAACATAATTCCAGTTAGAAATTTGCTGATCGTTATTGGAAACCACTACATCGGTAAATTATAGAAAGACTTGGAGCACATGGGAAGCGCGGTGGTGTGCACTAAAATCACTCCTCGTGCAACAGGCGCAAGGCTGGAGGTGTGAAAACGCACCTGGTCAGCTTTTTTGTCTCATCATGCGCATTTTGACATTGTCAGCCTTGCACCCGTTGAATAAGGCACTGCCGTAATTCAATGTTGGCAAGAAAAATGTTTTTTTTTTCACAAGCTTTGTTTGACATTATGATCATTTTAGAAACCTTGTTAGGTGTCTTGAAGATCTGTGCAGACATTTGCATGGGTAAGCTGCTGCTTTGTGTATGCTCGTAGAAAGATGTGGTTTCGAAGAAGGCTGTGTGGTTCACGACATAGACTCTCCGTGTTGAAACAGAGCTGCTTTCGGAGTGGGTCGTCATTTCCGCCTGCCGACGGTGGACGGCACTAGGGCGGAGAATCGTCTGCCTCATCAGGGTCGTTCGTTGCTGCTGGAAAATGCCGCGACAGAATAGGATTTGTGTGCTTGCTTCTGCCTTGCCCCGCAAATTCCAGCACTTTTTATTTGCGGGCTGCTAGGCCGATTTCTTTTTTCTTTTTCTCTCCGAAGCAATCTCCTTGTGCTTGGGCAGTGCTTCCCCTCCCTGCAGTCTTTTAGTGCCAGTAGGAATGCCCTAACACTCTTTGCTTTGTGAAACTGCACTGTTTTTTGTTTTTAGAAATGGGGTTTTCGGTGCCAGGTGAGAGTGATGTGACATTTTCTTGGGTTTGTGACTGTTGTAACAGTCGTATAAAGAATTTTCCCCTCCCTACACTTTGTGCAATGACATGGTGTCTTCGAACGCGCGCACTGTGCGGCATCAAGTTTCAGGGATGCGAGTTCCCACTGCTCAAGCGAAGCCTGTTTCCAAGTTAAGTACTGCCTTTGCATTGTAGCCGAGCCACGCGCCGATGCCACCTCGGTGGCTCTGAAGCAAGAGAGGCGGCCTACAGATTCTCAGTTGATGGGGTGGAACTTGACCAAGGTGCTCACCATCTGATGGAGGCTTATTGCAGAGTAGGTGGCGCGCAACTGAGATTTTGGATGCACGTCGGAAGAGCCTCAGTAATGAGAATCATAATCCTCGGTTCTTCACTGGGACATCCCAGATGCCTTTCTTTGGTTCGTCACAAAGGAATACCTCTCAAATTAGATTTTTTGAGCCATGCATTGGCGCATAGCTGCGTGCAGGGCTATTTATGAAGTGTGTAAGCTTCTGCACTGCTTTATTATAACAGTGCCTAGAGTAGGTGGTTGCTGGAGGCAAATAGTTGTCTCTCGAGGCCAGAATGTCTGAGAGCTCCCCTACTAGAGGACAGTAGACCTTGTGCGAATTCGTTCGCCATCTGTTGGACGTGGCGCCAACCTTCCTTTTGACGCAGTCTTTGAGGCGACCGGCAAAGTGCCGTGGTCGTCAGCGGCACATGGAAGCGGTGCGCAGAGACTGCACGACTGCTGTGTTTTGCCCCGTAACCGACGAGGAAATAAAATTAAAAACAACCGACGTAAAAATTAAGATTGTGTTGTTTTTCTTCTCAGGTTAAAGGCATTATAACCAACATCTAAATAGGCGTGGTGCTTTCCTGCTCGATTCATGCTCCTGAAAGAGCAACTGTAGCATTAGCGCTGTGGGATCCTAACCTTTTCTTTAATGACACTTTACATCTTTACATCTTTATATTCCAAAGTAACATCAGTGAGCATCTGTTCGTTCATGAAAGTTTTTGAGCTTAATCTTGGCTATCATCATAGCTATGCCCGTGCAGAACAACGGCGAGGCCCAATGAACATTACTTAAATACTATACTGCTTTGTCTCTTGTTTTTTTGTTTTTTTTTCCGCTTGAGTAGGTTCCTTTTTTTTACACCCAATTGATAGTTGATGTTAAGTGTAGAAGAACTAGGCAACGTAACAACAACTTTGTCTTCCACAAGAATATAAAGACAGTGGTGCTAACACGCCAGGATGAACGCTTGCTTGCTTTACGTTGTAGCATGATTAGCACGTGACTCTCGCATTCCGGGAAACATTTCAAGATGTAGGCGGAAGCCTAAAAGCGGGCTTTTGGCTACTAACCAGGACGTGTTGGCGAGTCGCAACAGATTGGCTTCGCGCTGCGGGAGAAGGCTTTCTATTTAATCCCTATACTGCAAGCGACCACTTTTATGAGCACTGACTATATTCTGTTGTGAATGAGCATAAAATTGAAAAGCGTGCTGAGCAAGATGACCGAGTTTTAGGAGGAGCACATTAAAATGTCGCTGACATTTAATAACAAATTTTCGAGGATGTGCCGAAGGGTATACCCTAAAACACCGCAGAAGCCCTTTGTTCGGTTTTGGCTTTCCGTACGATAGTGTTTTTTGCATTTGAATACATTAAATGCTGTGCACTTACGCTGCCAAGGCACGTCGGTGTTTTTTTTTTTTTCGTGTTTGTACTTTGCTTAAGCTTTTGTTTATAGTATAGTGAATCTTCAACATAGTTTTTCATCTGCAAGATTAAAAAATTCCGACGACACCTAAGCGCTTCTTACGAGTTGTGAATGCGAAAGAATGAATGACGTTCTTCCTTTTTCTTAATTCGTCTGCGGTGCACTGGCGTTGACGGCCACGTTTCGCTACTGCTGAGGTTACGGCCGCTGAGAGGAGTATGCGAGGCTGCTGAGAGGTGGTGCTAATAATGAATAAGGTCTTTTGAGACCTTTCTGTAGTTTAGCTCAACACTTGGCTGTCGTGTCGACAAAAGGGTAAACGACGTAGCTTTATAAAATGTCTTTGGCCCAGCTACCTCGAGCACTGTCGGGTTCAAATGAAATTCAAACAGCGGAGCACGTTTCTTTTGATACCTGCTGTGTAACTTGGAGGGCACTAGGAACTGATAGGACTGCGGAATGGAAAGAGGGGCTACGAAGGTGTGCGCTTTAGAGTAGGTGCGTGCTCTCATATCCTCCTTTCCATCCCGCATTTCATTTATACTCGATAATACAGGGGAGCAGACATTTGAGGCACTAAGCTAGGCTCTGAAAGAAAGCAGAAAAGAAAGGAACGTCCGGCACCTCTGCCATCTAGCCCAGTGGTAGCCAATGAAGTTGCGAGGAGCACAATGGGCCTCCAAGCCTCGCGCGTCTGCTTGGGAGTGACGAGCACTGGCAAGAGTTGGTCTTGTTTCAGGGTCTCTGTGGCGGTACATTCGGGCGAGCATGTCTCTGTCGGGCTACATGCCTCCCATGTGCGACCCCATGGACGGACACTTGCTCCTGGACGGAGGATACGTCAACAACCTGCCAGGTGAGCCCCTCGGAGGGCTCCACCCCTCACCGTTGTCTGCTGTGTCCCGCATGCTGTCCGTCCCGCCCACTAACCCTCTGTCTGTCTGTTGCCATGTCTGGGCCCGTGGGGCATTTCTGTTCTTAGTTGTGCGATGCCCCGCATGGCTGTGGGCTGTCCTAGGGGATACTCCCAGGTGGGAGGCAAGCGCATCTCTGCGAGACGTTCTCCTCGACCATCCCGAATTGATCGCCCGTTCAGCTTCGGAAGAAGCACGGAGAGTCTCTGTCGTGAACTTGAGGACTGGAGCTGTGACGAGGGGGGTGCGCCGAAGTCGCCGTATGGTTCCAGAGTGCCTCGTTTCTTGTAGTTTGCCAGGAGCGAGTGTAGAGCTCACTGGATGGTTGCCTACATCGGTGCCAACCTTGGTCTAACGTCGACTTTGACGTGGGACAAAGCTCAGGGACCTTATGGAAGCTAGCTCAGCTGTTCCCCGAGAAGTATTTGCCGAGGCATTTCTTGAAATGCCGCTCGTTTCGAGGGACCTTGTGTTGAAGACCTCCGAAAAATATCTTCTCATTTGAGCCGAGGAACGTTGGGTGAAGACTTAGGAACCTGGCACTCTGAGAGCATCCTGCATCTGTTCAGCTGTGGCGGGGGGGTTTGTCGACACCTGTGTGTGTGGCCCGTAAGGTTCCCTGTGGCACTACGTGCGGGCCAGCATGAGCATCGTGGGTCCCCTGCCTCCGCTTTGCGACCCCATGGACGGCCACCTCTTGGTCGACGGCTGCTATGTGAACAATGTCCCAGGTAACAACCGAGACGCACCTCGCGGCGCGACCTTGCGGCAATTTGGATGTGACGGACCGCGCGGCTCAGGCTCCTTGTCTTGTTTTCTTTCCATAAAGCGGATATGCCAAGCAATTGGACTCGAACGCGCAGAAGAGAGTTTAAACCGAAGCCGTCGCAGATTTTCCTCTGCAGTCAAATTGCACTTAAGGCCCATTCGCACAGTAGCATTTGACTACATTGCAAGGTCTTTCATTGAGTTACAATTGTGGGTTACGGGGACATCTATGCTTTGTATGCCACGTGGTAACCGGTAGACCGATCTCACCAGCCAGTTTAACGACACTGCCACCACAGTTGCGATGCATCGAGGGAATGTTTGTTTTCCTTCATGCTTGACAACCTCGCTATTGCTCTGCATGTGCAGAGCAACAGGCTTAAGGTACGTTCACACACTTGTGTTCGACTCCAACCAACTGAGACAAGTCCGGTTTTAAGCCTCTTAGGATGGCTTACGACCAGATGCGCAGCAATGCAGCCGGTCGTAAGCCGTCTAAAAAGGCTTAAAAACTGGTCTTGTCTCTGTCGGTTGGAGTCAAGTGCAATTGTGTGAAAGGCCTTTAGGCTAGGAGGCGCAAGCTACCACCCGTTACAAAGGCTATAGCCATTAACATTCATCCATCCATTGTGGAGCGCGCAATGTGGTACGAGCACTGCCACCTGCCTCTTAAAGGTATTGTGGCATCACGCATGCTTGGAATGCTCGGTGAGATCAGTCTATCTGAGAAATAGCTATACATGCGACGGACAAAGAATGAATGTCTCGTGGACTTGCGGTGTAATTTAGCATAACATAGTCACATATAGCAAATGTAGCTGCTTTTAGTCATCACCCAATGTAGTGTTGAAGCTCCGTTGAATCGATTAATTTTGGTTGATTTCAAGCATGTTCAGTGCCCTCTCTGTTTGACTTTATGGACTGAACTGTTGCTTATGTAAAAAGGAGGGGGTCTGGATCTCTGGTTACAGGGGCACAGGCACAGGCTTATACATAATGGTGTGTTTTGGGGAGAGTTGAGAAGATGGAAGGGACGAGGCAAAGGACACTGGCCACGGGGCAATTTCTCCACTCGTCACTATTTTTAAATGCACTACGCAAGGAAGTAGCTTTCAGTGCGCCCTAGAAAGGTTGAGACTTTTTGGTGGCTCAAAGATGCTGTTGCCAATCGAACTGAGGGGGTCTGTACAGTGGAGCAGAAAAAAAGAGCAGGGAGACGGTGGCACCCGCAAAGGCCCGGCACACGAGTCTTGGTGACGAGAAAGTTTGTTTAGTTTCTCTAATAACTGTGATTTGTTGCACAAACCCACGAGAAATTTCCGTTATATTATAGGTGGATTTTCTTAACTAATTTTTCAAAGGAGGTGTAGTATTGTTCACAATCACAGCCAGAATTGATGAAAAGGTTTCCCTTACATATCCCTCTCATACATGTGGCACACTGGTTTTGGAGGTGTCGGAGGCATACCAATCTACGAAGCCGAGCTAAGCTGGCCTGCAGGAGTGTTTCTTTGTTATTTTTACCTCGACCCCCACGCCTGCCCAAACTCTAGAGTGGCAAATGTCTGTCGTGTTGCGTCCACCTCACCCTGCCTGCAGCTTTTTTGTGCATGTTTTTTTGGCAGTAGTTTTGTTCTCTGCAGCACGTCAAATGCTTGACTGCTTCCTCTCATAGAAATACTATATCCAATTTTAACTAAGATTGCCATAAAGGCTTAAGCTTGTTTCACATGGTGCAACTTTTGTCCAGGCACAGTGCGATTGTGGCAAAAAAACAAATTTGTACTTTTGCTAAAATACATGTTGTATCCTTGGGCTTTTAGCTGCATAAGACTGAAAGTCTCACCAGTTTTTTTTGCACATTCACTTCACATGTAATGGCCTATTAGTATAACATATACACACTGCAGAAAAGGCATTTTGCGTGCTTCCATTTGTTTCTGTCGCCTCTTTTGGTTCTTGATGTTGAAACATGGTCAATTTGTTATGTGTTTGTTATGCTATGTTGGATTTTTCTTCAGGCTTGAAAATGAATGTGTTTGTCTTTTGTGTCTGAACCAGTGGCATTTTTCATTTAGTTTGCCAGTGTCATCACGGAAGTGCATTATTTTTATATGCATTCAGGAAAGCCATGCCGTTGCTTGCTTGCACTTGTCTATCATCAAGCTGTGACCTCCTTTGAAAATTGGTGCCATCAAACTAGCATTTTGATGGGGGCTTCTTGGCTCATGGGCGTCCCGGAGGTTCAAGATATTTAATGGTATTTCAATAGTGCAAAGTGAACTTGGGAAAACTTTTCTTGTATCCAACATTTTTTTTCTAAGGAGATTTAACTGCTTGGGAATCAAGTTCATGGTGCAGCCGTAAGTTTATTAAGTTAAGCTAGAGTGGCACGAAGACTGAACGTACTAGGAGTAGGAGCAGCGGCAAAAAAAATTGAAAGACTAGAACACACACCCAGGGGAAAGGAACTGACAATCAAACAGAAATAAAAATGTGCAAAAATCGTTTTGCACCGTTTTTCGAGAGTCGAACCACAGAAGGCTGTTTACCGCATAGAAATCTCAAACAATTGCAATTTTTTTTTTCTGCATATATAGTACACTCACGTATGCATTTTCAATAAACAGTAAAAAAAAAATTTTTCCGTTGCAGTCTTTTTTTTTTTTTTGACTTGCGTTGCGGTTATTGGAAAGAAGTTCATTTGTTTATTGTGATGAGAGCGAAACAGTGAATGGTTCATGCCAGCAATGTGTGCGAATATCGGGAAGCAAAGGGCATTTTTTTGCGGGGCGTTGCAAAGAGGAAATTTGACCACTTGTCTCCCTCCCTGTTGGCGTAGCGGACATAATGCGCGAGATGATGGGGGCGGAGACGATCATAGCGGTGGACGTGGGCAGCCAGGACGAGACGGACCTGACCAACTACGGAGACTCCCTGAGCGGCTGGTGGCTGCTCTTCAAGCGCTGGAACCCCCTCGCCAAGTCAGTCAAGGTGCGGCGCCCCTTCCTTGCCTGCGGCCACGTTAATGGCTTTATACGGGGATGTTTGGATGTCTGTAAATAACCGTGGAGGTTCTTAAGAGTGCCTCAGTGTGCATGTGTCTTCAATAAGTTAAAGGGCCAGTTTTTTTGGTATCGTTGTGTCGAAAGAGTTGCTCGGTAAGTCTATGCGAGTTTGAGGAAGAAAGGTAAGGAGAAATGAGAGAAAAGCCAAGTGTGTATCACCTTTCGTGACCATGTGGGTTGGGAAAAGTGTATACGAATTTTGAAGCCACACTGGACAAGGTGTGACCCCACAAGGGTGAGAAAGCTGTGCAAGCAGTTTCGTTTTTATATTTATTTAACTTCGAGGCCCGAAATACTGCACAGGAATGTGGGTGAAGAGTTGCAGCAATACAAATCTAGTTCAATCATTTAGCAGGGTTGGTAGATATGGCACAGTGAAGCTGATCTTAAGTGTATACACGTTTGCAAGTACGGCTTCAGGGCGCTGCCATCTTGCTTGGCTGGGGTGTGCTTGGACGAGCCATAACCTGATTACGAAGCCTTGCTAAGGCGTCGTAATCGGATTATGGCTGCGCCCAAGAGCGCACCCCACGGAGAAAGATTTCGGCGCCCTGAGACCGGACTTGCAAACGTGTATATTACCACAGTCTGCTGGAAAAAACTTATCGACAGGGTTCGACTGTTTTAGCGGTTACTAGCTTGGTTCAGCCTGAAGATCGCCACCTAGATGGCCCTCCTCTGGGTCCTCTCTCTGCCTCCCTCGTGCTGTATGATACATGTAGGTGTTGACACAGTGTGCATCAGAGCTGCCAGGTATAATCCTTTCCTCGCATTGGTTGCAAACGGCGCCACCAGATGTCTTTGATAAGCTGCTATTGGTAGCCTGTCGTGGGACCGGTGTCCGACGCTTCTCTATGGAAGACAAGCTTTTTTTTAAATTGTTTTCTGGGTGTGCCATGTTATGTAGAACTTGGCCCTTGCACTATGTGTGTCGTTTAGACATATCTTCGTCATTGACCCCAGTGTCGTGCCTCAACGGCGGCAAGAGCAGTTCTATGAACGGTTCTTGGGGAGATCTCTGGCGTGCAGTTTAAGCCAGCATCCATTGAGGTCAGAGCAGACGCGCCGAGCGTCTGCTTTGAACTCGACGGACGCTGGCTTGAACTGCACGCCAGAGATCTCTCCGAGCCGTTCAAGCTCAAATGCCATAGCAATAAGACAACTTTTTTTTTTCTTCAGTTGCGCCATCTGGTTGGCGTAGACGCTGTTGCGTGGGCTACACGGACGCGTGCCAGTAGGACTTTATCCGGTCGATAGCGTCGCTGTGTTGGCTGTGCCGTGTATCCCCGCCTAAACAGTATCTTACACCGTGGCTTCCCGCTCCCCAATATAACGCCTGCCGGGCGGTGCGCACCCCCAGATCCCGAGCCTGCCGGAGATCCAGTCGCGGCTGGCATACGTGAGCTGTGTGCGTCAGCTGGAGGAGGTCAAGTCAAGCGACTACTGCCAGTATGTGCGGCCGCCCATTGACCGCTACAAGACGCTCCAGTTCGGCTCCTTCAACGAGATCATGGAGGTGGGCTACGTGCACGGCCGCACCCTCTTTGCCGGCATGAAGGCCGGCCAGCACACCCTGCGCTCGGTGCTCAACCTCGATGGAACCAGCACCGTCCAGGTGAGACAACTCTTTTTTTGCGGATGCATGCACTGGAGCCACTGAAAAAGCTCAGGTCCTAAAGTGTCTTGTGGGTACCGCCATTTTGTCTCTTATGTGTTCTATCTGTGCCTCTGATTACTACCACAAATTCCTGCTCTTTATTAATGAAGCAATTTTAACATTTAACAAAGCAAAGGTGACCGGTACAGTAAAACCTCGTTGTAACAAAACGGGATATAACAAACTAATGGATATAACAAAGCAATCATAATTCCCCTTGCTTGCTAATAGTGGGAAGAAATGGACATTGGCTATAACAAACTAATGGTTATAACGAAATAATTACGACCGCTCCTTCAACTTTGTTATAACGAGGTTTTACTGTATAACGAATTTTCTCGGTGAAAAGTAATTGGTTTTACATAAATTGTCGCTCTCAAGTGATGCGCAGTAACAACAGTTGACGCCGCTGCCGTGCCGCGCATTCTCGGTTTTCGGTCCCAATAATTTGTTTGTGTGCAACCTTGTGTCTGGATGGCACTACGTAAGTATGTTGCTGCGTAAAAAGCCTGTACGCAGCAGCATACTAATCACATATCGCCATCTAGACATAAGGTTCCACACTAACAAATTATTTGTACCCAAAACCTAGAATGCATGGCACTGCGCCGCCTCCCACTGCGTGCGCTCGTGCATATTTTCAACACTTTGCTCCAACATGAGTTCTTTTTTTTTTTTTTTTTTCAACACTCCGTTTGGGCATTGTGCACACTCATTTTCTTGCTGTCAAATCTCGTTAATTCAAACACTCTTAATTCAAGCTTGTGGATAATTCAAATTAACATGCAGGTCCCATCCTATGCGTCTCTATGGGAGGAAATTCCCGGTTATTCAAATTTTGCTTTATTCAAACAAATTTTCGGTCCCCCTCGAGTTTGAATTAACAAGATTCAACTGTATTTTGCATGTGCATCAGTGCCTTTTGAAGGACTCGTGCGAATGACAGTATATAAAAAAAGAAAAAAAAAGTATTTTCATGGCCAGTCGCAACTCTTTTATGCTGTCTTGACATTTGTTCAACCGACACCAATTTTCTTCAGGATCTAACATTGCCAATCTTGCTCGATCTGAGTCCCAAATTGTTCTGCCTTGGTGCGATAATATGCGGTCGAGGGAGCGTGATCAGTGACTACCCGTGACGCCAAAGTCTAAGCGAAATGAGCAGAGCCACACAGATAAATGTGCCCCCTTCTTTGTGCCAGACAGACGTGAAAAAGAGCCTAGTTGGCTCGGTTGTGCACCTCTCCCCATTCTCCTGCCGAGTGCTTAGTCGATTCTGCTGCGCTGAGACGGTAATGCTGTCGCGGCTGCCACGTTCGCTGCACTGCTTCAAGAGCTTCCTCCGAATGACACATGGCAGCACAAGCTGCTGACCGATTTAAAAAAGACCAAATTTACACAGTCGGTGAACGCCTCTCATTCGCTGCATGATCTGGGGTCGTTGTCGGTGGTTTGGTGACTGTAGCGATTCATATATTGATAACTCAGTTAAGTTTGTTGTGTGGAAGTGTGGACAGCGAGCGGCAAATTAGTCTGCAGCAAGCTCCTTGCTGCAGACTAGACGGGTCTGACTGCACAGCCGCAAAACACCAGATGCTCCGTCTGGTGTCTTGGCTCAAACCCGTTTACATCGAACTTGCAGAAAAACGTCTACCAGTTCGATATAGCGTGTAATTCGACATAAAAGTTTCAATGAATTTGACTCAAAAATCCCCTTTCTGCTGGCATATTACACAACAAAATAGTCATGCATCTTCTGCAGCTTTTTCTTCATTGCATCCGCGATAACGATAAGTTTCTACGCTATCGACGGGCTCCAAAATGCTGAGGCCGCTGCCTTCTATATTTGCGCCAAACTATTCCGAGAGCACGGAGCACGTCTGAGCAGGAGCACCTTCTCCTGCAGAGCGCCGTTTTGCTCTGCAAGTTGTCTTTCCCCTAAGTAAGGCGGCTGCGTTGGGGGAAAGCCAGGTAGCAGAGCAAGCTGGCTTTTTTGTTTTTCCGGGTGGCCGTGTCAACCACCCGGAAGAAAAAATAATATTCTCTTTTGCGGACGGAGCGCGGAGAGGGAGTATGGAGCACCCTCTCCCCACTCCCTCCGCAAAAGAGATTTTTTTTCTTCCAAACAATCGACGCGGCCGCTCGAAAAAAAAAAAAGAAGAAGAAAAAGCCAGCGTGCTCTGCAAGCTGGCTTTCCCCCAATGCGGCCGCTTGCGTTGGGGGAAAGCCAGCTTGCAGAGCAATCGGTAGCAGTTGCTATTTTTGTTTGATGTAACCGTAGTTTTTGCTATATATTATCACTAACATTACTGCGCACACAAATTATTCGATATAAGGGATAATTCGATGTAAACTGGTTCGATATAGTCGGGTTTGACTGTATGACAAACTTTGCCAGTGGTGGTACTGGAGGTACGATTGCTAGCTGGTGTCTTTAAACTGTGTCACACAGCGGTGAGTACACAAAAGCATAACTACAATTTTTATTCAGGAAAAAAGAAAATGGCAATTGAGCTAAGATGCTTGGATTCTGCAGTGCGAGCTTTCGCCCCACATGCTCCGAGCTGCGATGCGCTAGCAGACTTTTGATAAGTTAATTGTTTACATACAAAACCTCATTTTTTATGTTGCTCATACTCTGTTTGGTGCTATACTTTTTTCTAAAACACCGATAAAACGATGTGCTATAGCGCAAATGCGGTTTTACGTGATCTATTTTTCATGCTCAACTGCTGCAACGAAGTTACCTGTACTACAAAATAATTTTCCGGTCCCGCGGACTTCGTAATAAAGGCGTTTGACTGTACTCTGGTCGTGGGTATCTGTATGCCTCGCTGCGTCTTCCAGCCAAGGGACTTAAAGGAGCTGTGCAACAGTTTCAGTGCTTTGCTTAAATAATTTGGGACTCGGTGTCTCGACCTTTCTGAAGTAGATAACGAAAAACCGCTTTTGCCTGCATGTCCTAGTTTTTATCTTAAAAATGGACAAAGATTGAAGTGTTCGGCACCTCTCAACACCTTCACCATCTTCCGAGTCACGTGCGCGTGACGTCAATGGGGGTTGCGCGAGGTTTCGGTGAAGCTCTCTCTCTAGAGCCATCAGTGAGCAGCGAGAACTCATCCGCTCGCGACCGCGTGACCACGTGCTGGCGGGCGCAGCGCGAACAATATGGTGAAAGGAGGAAAGTCTTATCGGGGTCCGGCCATACCCGTCCGGCTCTGTCCCCCTCCCCCTCCGGCTTCTGGCGGCTGTTCGCGGTAGCATATAGAGCTGACGGTTTTGTGGACCTAGGATAGATGGCGCCACTAAAACTCCATATAATAATAGTTTTCTCGATGATACCAGGTTTTCGATGCATTTATATTTATTTTGGATTGACAAGATTTATCGAAAAGTTACCTTTTATTGAGCAGGTATTCGCACAAATTGCTGTCTTTCTACAAGACCCCCCTTGACGTCACGCCGCGTGTTTCTCATGGCCGCCACTCGCGGCTGCAGGTCGGGGAATTTTCTAATTTTTACCTCGCGATTATGCGGTGGAATCGCAACATTTTGAAGGAAGGAGGTGTGTTTTCTGTCCTTTTGACAAGGTGAACAATGTCAAAAGTAGAAGATGCCAATTCTTTCAACGTTAAAATCGTTGCACAGCTCCTTTAATTCTGCACGCAGGCCTACATCAGATGGCTTGGGTTGCCCACGGCAGGTCCTTTTTGTAAGACTCTGTGCCGCTGCATCTAATGAAATTGTCTGGAACTTGTTTTCAGCTGCTGTGTTTACCGTCTTTTTGTTTTTTATGCTCGTTTTCTGCCTGGCGACGTTGCAGCTGCATGAGGCTACGGTTTGCCACGATCGGTGCGGTTGCATAGTGGCGGATTGGAGACGGCAGTTGCACGTTCCACGGTAGCTTGCTCTGTAGTGGGCCAATCGACGAAACCCCAGTCCCCAGCGGCCGAGGGTTGGGACGCTGCGACGACTTCGTCCGCTCGTCTTTCCCAGTGGCACTTCTATACAACCGACCGCCAAGATCGCGACAAGCCGTGGCATTTCCCAGTGGCTCCCGCGACATTTTGTTGCCACATTGGGGACAGCTTGATGCAAGGATCATACAGGACGCTATATTCCACTCACCCTTAAGCTGACAGTAAGGTGGCAGCTATGTGCTCGTTAGAGCAGTCGTGCGTATATCCTTCGCCACATGATCATGCTCCCGCCCATGCCCACGCACAGAGTGGGTTCAGGTGACGAAAGGGAGGCAGTTTATAGGTCCAATAAGTGCATAGCTCCCACTGCACTGTCGCCTGAGGATTGAACGGAATATAGGGCACGGGGGGGAAAGACGTGTTCCACGCGTCAGATAGGCACTAGAACTGTGTGTCAGCTGTGGCTTGTATTGGACCTTGGACGACTGGCTAACCCATGTTGCAACTGTGCCCACCCGTAGGCCGGTAAAGAGGGCCGACCTACGACGTTCACGGACTTGGCCGAGATGGTGTGCGCCATCAAGCAACCTTACAAGGGGCAGCCTTCCTATCCAGGTACTGGGTCAGACATCGACTGCGTGCACATTTTGCGCAGGAAATTTGTGCAAGCTCGACACATTTCTCTTCTTGCAGTGCACCCCTGAATGAACTTTTGTTTTTTCCTCATTTACCTTGTTAGGCTCAGACGAGGAGGATGACTACGATTACAGCGAACAAGAATTTGTCACGGACACCGACAAGGTGGGTCCTGTAGGCTGCGTCCGATTCCAGCGTTGATCAAGCCAAAGCAAAACAGTTGTGCTTATCCCATTCTGTTATAAGTAGAGTTCAGTGTTTTCGAATAAAGTCTGAAAATACTCGCTGGTAAAATTTATGTTAATTCAAATTTACCCGGAAAAACTCAGTTTCAACGTCACAATGGCAAAAAAAAAGAAATTGTATTTTATGAGTAAGCTTGGTCAGGTCTCAGGGTCAGTGGTCTAGAGGAAAGGTCTCTCCAGTTTACTTTTAAATCTTTGAATATTGACAAAAGGTGTTCACCGATTATCTCGGCAAGTGATTTTATCGGGACAATGGGTCATTGTAAGTTTGGGTAATGACAAAAGCCACTGTTCAAGTTTTCAGTTTATGCTTGGAGGAAGGTGGGGTTCTGTCTTTATAACAATGAAAGCTATGATCATGGAGAGGTGAGAAGCTAAAGGTTTCATCTTGCCTCTCCCCCCCCCCCCCCCCCCCCCTCTGTGTAGCTGTAGGGTGGAGCGGTGGTATGGGATGGGAAGAAAACAGGCTTTCCAGAGACCTAAGTCAAGAGTTAGTGATTTCAAAGTAGCAACATTTATTAAGAGAACACCTGTTTGCAAGTTTTGTTGTGGGACTGTTAGTAATACCGGTGGCAAGGGCATGAATGTCTAATCCAGCTGAAGAAATGCCTATTATTTGATATAGGTGAGTTGTTATAAATTCAGGGCAAGTTTGTGTCTGGATCATATTTGTTTTTATACTGAATTCTGAAAAAATGGGCACACACAGAAAAATTGGAACTTCGAATTTCGGAGAATCGTGAATTCATCATAAATAAACTCTGATAAACTACTCTACAAATTTCGCGAGAAATAAACTCTGAAAACACGTAATCCTAGTTAGAAGGACTTGACTTGCTGAGTTTATTGAAGGAACGGACAAGAACTGCAACATGCGTCACAAATACCAGTTTGCTTAAAACCGAGCTGAGCACATCTCGCTCATGTGCTTTTACCTTTGAATACTGCTGCAGATAAGCACAGATTCAGTGTGCCAGCACACAAATAAAGAAAGCACAAAGTGTGCTTTCTGTACCAGTACCACGGGTGTATGATCTTTTCTGCTCTGTGTGGACGAGGCAATGGTTATGTGGCCCCGAGGAAACAGTAGATAAACTGTTGACTTTAGCACTTTGGGCTGCCACCTAGGAAAGACTCATTAGCTGGTCTGCTGCATTGATGTCACTATATGAAAAAGCAGGTGCCTCTGCAAGATGGGTTGATAGGGTATCTCCAGCCTAGTAGACAGGCTACTAGGCTATAAATGATGATCGTGCCCAGCAGGGGCTCCCATAAATCCATCTTAAGTGTTCACGCTAGTGCAGAACTTAGGGAAACAACCAGCTTGTACGCTCATGACGCTGCTTGGTTATTGCCACCCGCACACTGGCTAAACCTTGACTCCTCTGCGTTTCTGCCCAGGACGAAGAGATGGAAGAGCTCTTGAACGCAAATAGCCCTAACGACGCTGTCCTGGCTCAATCCTGAAGGCAGCTTGGCCCGACACCATAGAACAAGCCATATCACAGCATGCCACGAGGCTCGCCAGAGACCCCGGGAGACTCAGTAGTCAGTGACTAAGTGCACCCCGATTTGCCGTCTGCAGGGTCATATACTAAGCCCCGTGCATGTACAGAACCTAGTCAGAAGTCAAAGTGATGACTCTTTGCACGTCTGCGAGACAGTGCTACTATTTATAATGGCTACTCCTGCGTTTTTCACATTTGTAAATATAGACGGTGGTGCGCCAAGCCAGAATCGAGCTTGTGCGTGTCAATGCAATTGCTCTGCAGCAGTGGCGGTCTCAATTCTATTTTCATAGGTATGCGTTTTGCTCTTTGCCTTTTATGCGCAGAATAAAGGCCCGATTATTGTTTTCCTAGCTTCTGTCTCCCCTTGGCTCGTGACATTCGGCTGCGAGGGATGCATCGCTCGCGGTCACTTGGCCCCCGATCCATTTTTAGACCGTCTCAATGGCACTGAGTACAGTTGAACCTCAATTTTACGAAACGTGATTTTACGAATTTCCCGATTTAACGAACAAATTTGGATTCCCCGTGCAGCCTATGCGCGAGGTCTCCCTTCCTCGATTTTACGAAGTTCCCGATTTAATTAGTAGGTCTCGGTGACTTCGTTAAATCGAGGTTCAACTGTATCAGCAATCATGTGCAAACTGAAATAGTCCTCTAAAATTAATTTCAATGGTGCCAATTGGTACCAGCAATTGTGTGCAGTTTAACAGACATAGAACAAACTACCCTATTTGTTTGAACTTAGGTTGACGTTTTTTCCAGCAAAAGTTGCTTAAAATTAGAGGTCAGCCTATAATCGTGGTCAAAGAATGGTTGACTTCCCACCATCTCACAATAGGTGCAACAAACAGACAAAATCACTCTGTTATAGCAGACTACGCCACCGTATGCTTGCTTCGTCTATCGGGAGGTGGCGTCACGAGCATGGCCTCTCTCCTGCCCCTAGGGCGACACTTCTTTGCCAGCCGAGAGAAAAAAGGTGTTCACCGATTATCTCGGCAAGTGATTTTATCGGGACAATGGGTCATTGTAAGTTTGGGTAATGACAAAAGCCACTGTTCAAGTTTTCAGTTTATGCTTGGAGGAAGGTGGGGTTCTGTCTTTATAACAATGAAAGCTATGATCATGGAGAGGTGAGAAGCTAAAGGTTTCATCTTGCCTCTCCCCCCCCCCCCCCCCCCCCCCCTCTGTGTAGCTGTAGGGTGGAGCGGTGGTATGGGATGGGAAGAAAACAGGCTTTCCAGAGACCTAAGTCAAGAGTTAGTGATTTCAAAGTAGCAACATTTATTAAGAGAACACCTGTTTGCAAGTTTTGTTGTGGGACTGTTAGTAATACCGGTGGCAAGGGCATGAATGTCTAATCCAGCTGAAGAAATGCCTATTATTTGATATAGGTGAGTTGTTATAAATTCAGGGCAAGTTTGTGTCTGGATCATATTTGTTTTTATACTGAATTCTGAAAAAATGGGCACACACAGAAAAATTGGAACTTCGAATTTCGGAGAATCGTGAATTCATCATAAATAAACTCTGATAAACTACTCTACAAATTTCGCGAGAAATAAACTCTGAAAACACGTAATCCTAGTTAGAAGGACTTGACTTGCTGAGTTTATTGAAGGAACGGACAAGAACTGCAACATGCGTCACAAATACCAGTTTGCTTAAAACCGAGCTGAGCACATCTCGCTCATGTGCTTTTACCTTTGAATACTGCTGCAGATAAGCACAGATTCAGTGTGCCAGCACACAAATAAAGAAAGCACAAAGTGTGCTTTCTGTACCAGTACCACGGGTGTATGATCTTTTCTGCTCTGTGTGGACGAGGCAATGGTTATGTGGCCCCGAGGAAACAGTAGATAAACTGTTGACTTTAGCACTTTGGGCTGCCACCTAGGAAAGACTCATTAGCTGGTCTGCTGCATTGATGTCACTATATGAAAAAGCAGGTGCCTCTGCAAGATGGGTTGATAGGGTATCTCCAGCCTAGTAGACAGGCTACTAGGCTATAAATGATGATCGTGCCCAGCAGGGGCTCCCATAAATCCATCTTAAGTGTTCACGCTAGTGCAGAACTTAGGGAAACAACCAGCTTGTACGCTCATGACGCTGCTTGGTTATTGCCACCCGCACACTGGCTAAACCTTGACTCCTCTGCGTTTCTGCCCAGGACGAAGAGATGGAAGAGCTCTTGAACGCAAATAGCCCTAACGACGCTGTCCTGGCTCAATCCTGAAGGCAGCTTGGCCCGACACCATAGAACAAGCCATATCACAGCATGCCACGAGGCTCGCCAGAGACCCCGGGAGACTCAGTAGTCAGTGACTAAGTGCACCCCGATTTGCCGTCTGCAGGGTCATATACTAAGCCCCGTGCATGTACAGAACCTAGTCAGAAGTCAAAGTGATGACTCTTTGCACGTCTGCGAGACAGTGCTACTATTTATAATGGCTACTCCTGCGTTTTTCACATTTGTAAATATAGACGGTGGTGCGCCAAGCCAGAATCGAGCTTGTGCGTGTCAATGCAATTGCTCTGCAGCAGTGGCGGTCTCAATTCTATTTTCATAGGTATGCGTTTTGCTCTTTGCCTTTTATGCGCAGAATAAAGGCCCGATTATTGTTTTCCTAGCTTCTGTCTCCCCTTGGCTCGTGACATTCGGCTGCGAGGGATGCATCGCTCGCGGTCACTTGGCCCCCGATCCATTTTTAGACCGTCTCAATGGCACTGAGTACAGTTGAACCTCAATTTTACGAAACGTGATTTTACGAATTTCCCGATTTAACGAACAAATTTGGATTCCCCGTGCAGCCTATGCGCGAGGTCTCCCTTCCTCGATTTTACGAAGTTCCCGATTTAATTAGTAGGTCTCGGTGACTTCGTTAAATCGAGGTTCAACTGTATCAGCAATCATGTGCAAACTGAAATAGTCCTCTAAAATTAATTTCAATGGTGCCAATTGGTACCAGCAATTGTGTGCAGTTTAACAGACATAGAACAAACTACCCTATTTGTTTGAACTTAGGTTGACGTTTTTTCCAGCAAAAGTTGCTTAAAATTAGAGGTCAGCCTATAATCGTGGTCAAAGAATGGTTGACTTCCCACCATCTCACAATAGGTGCAACAAACAGACAAAATCACTCTGTTATAGCAGACTACGCCACCGTATGCTTGCTTCGTCTATCGGGAGGTGGCGTCACGAGCATGGCCTCTCTCCTGCCCCTAGGGCGACACTTCTTTGCCAGCCGAGAGAAACTGCTATCGTTTACTGTTAACTGTCACTGCTCCACCTATTGTCGTACATTTCGTACGACAATGGGTGGAGCCAGGCACGTAGCCAGGGGGGAGGCCTATGGGGCCCAAGCCCCCCCCGAAATCCTTCATTTTGCTGGGACCTCCCCTCTCCCTCATACAGCATTTTGTCATGGGCGGGCCCCCGCCCGAACCAAAATCCTGGCTACGTGCCTGGGTGGAGCTACCTACGAAATGTCGTACGAAATGTCAGAGGTAACCACCTGCATCGCACCAGGGCGGGCATTTGTGCCAGTCTCTGCGTTTTTGTACGTATAATTAGCCAGATTGAGTGGCGAATTCGGAGATGGGTATGTCGGGACACAGGCTAGGTTATGAGAGTTCTTTAGCATTGAACAGTCTTGGAAAACAGTCACCTTGAAGATTTCAATATACCGTAATATCCCTAGAGATGCCTCAATCCTGAACGATAACCCACCTCTATTTTTGGCACAATACTATTCTATATTTTCAAAAACGACGAAAGTAGCCCACATCTAGTAATTGCAGGGCCCTGGCCAATGGTGACCTCTGCAGAAATGGTGTCATTTAGCCGTGGCAGGAGATAAACAAACATTGCTGACTGGGGACGAAAGTGGTCTTTGGTTTAGTGCCCATCCCTGCGATTACAAGTTTCCCAGGTCACAAAATCGAAAACTGTCGCTTCTCAACCTTTTTTGATTGTACACTGAAAGGTAGCCCACTTCTTATATTCACCCGATTTGCTTTCGATTTTAGCTCGGCTATCTCTAGGGGCATTATGGTAAACACATCCTCTAATTATACGACAGTTAAAAAGGGTATTATTGAATTTTAGTTAATTTAAAAATTGACTGCTACAACTACCCTTGCACTGTTGTCCATTTGAGAGCCTAACCTAGATGCTAAAACAGGTTTTGCTCACATTTTGTTTTTTATTTGTAGAACTCAATTTTGGACACCCTGTATAGGGTGTTTTCACTGACGTAATTTCGTCCACCATTTTGTTGTTGTGAGCTGTCTGGGTGTGACAGACTCGAGCATTCCAAGGATTTACATGCCCCCTCAAATGCGTAGAGGACCGCTGACATCATCTCAATCGGTTACGATGTAATCCTTCAATGTGGTAAATTTGTTTGAAAAAACAAACTAACAACAAAATGGCCAATTGACGTCATGTGCAAACAACCTATACTCCGCAATGCTTGTGTGATGGCTGATTTTGTACAAAAGATATCATTATTAAGATGCTTTACAAAAAAGCTTGCTTGCCAGATTAAAAATATAAGTATTTCAAAAATAAAAAGAAATTTCAAGATAAACCTGTTTTATTAGTGTTTAGGACATTTAATATAAAAATATAAAGAAGCCACAATTAGGGGTGTCGCGAACCGGCCGAGGTTCGAGTTCGACCAGGTTCGACTTTTTCGAACTTTTAGTGGAAAATTCGACGAACCTTGTGTTGAGGTTCGAATCGTGTGCGCATCCGCGACAGGCTGGCTAGTTGGCTTCGGATTAGATGGTGATGGCTAAGGGATGAATTAAGGGCACCGCTGGATTGGTTATTTCAGTTAATACAGTACAAAAAATTAAGTTATTAACTTCTTCAGTGATTAGAATTGGTTTCTTTTAATTGCAAAACAATATTTATTATTTGTGCAAAAATTGCACAAATAATAAATTCTCCAAACCTAGACATGCTTGTATCAAGGCCTGGCCACACTGTCCACAAAGTCGAACCGGTCGAATCTGGTGAAAAGTTCGAAGGTTCTCGAACCCCGAAAGTTCAACCTAAAAAGCCGGTTCGACAAAAGTTCGCGACACCCCTAGCCGCAATATAAATGAAAATGTGGTCACCTCAGCCCTTAGCCTGCCTAAAGTTTTGATGAGTCAAGACTAGGGGTGTCGCGAACCGGCCGAGGTTCGAGTTCGACGAGGTTCGACTTTTTCAAACTTTTTGTGGAAATTTCGACGTACCTTGTATTGAGGTTCGAGCCACCCTAGTTCGACTCATGTGCGGATCCGCGACAGGCTGGCCAGTTGGCTTCGGATTGGATGGTGATGGCTAAGGGATTAATTA